GATGGAGCTATGACATCATTGTGGAGCAGAACATTCTGGAATGTGGAGTAATGACATCATAATGACATCAAGAGTGACATCATTGTGGAGCAAAAGATTCCAGAACCTTCCATGAGTGAGTCAGAGTGAGTCATTGTGGAGCAGAATATTCTAGAAGGAAATGACATCATGAATGATGTCATTGTAGAGTAGAATAATCTAGAGCTTGATGACATAATATCTTTCAACAGAATACCTGCAGGAGTATCTGTGGAGTCTTATGACATCATAATGACATCATACCCTATGGGTACAATTTTATGAAGTGTCAGGTGAGTCAAAGCATCCTAATGAAAAAGTAAAGTAAAGAAACACTAGAGAAAAGTAGGTAGCAAAAATAAGACAGTTGGCAGGAATTGAAACACAGTCAAAAAAATAATGCAGTTGGCAGGAATTGAAACACGGTCTTTTTGGATAGGTTTTTTATTGGCTTTGTACTTTTCTCTATGGTTTTCTCTAGCCAAAGTGAATAAGCCAAAGGCAAGGCTATACCTTAACCTTCATTTCCCTTCTCACATCAACTAGGTCTAAATGTGATTCCCATCTCACATTAGACTTTTTCCGTCAAAAACGTATTCAGATCATGAAACTTGGGGAAAGCTGGAAATATGGACCATGGTTTGAAACCAAGGTATGGGTTGACTAGTCTGAGGACTAAGCTAGCAGACTTTATCTTTTGAGGGTCACCTAGTATTCATGTCCATGCATGATTCCCACATCATGCAGGACACCGCGAGAACAGATATTAGGGTCTAAGGTATGTGTGTCATATGTGATGGGTATATGGCCTTTAGACAAGACTCATTACTTTCACAGTACACAAGTTCTATGGACTACTGTCAACTTCAGACACCTTATGTGCCTTCCTTGGTTGTGGCCGCAGTTTTGGCTTTTGGGTCTGTCTCTCATTTTTAGGAATGACTTTAAGCTCACTTCCTTCACTAAAGTTTGGCCTGCACTACTATGTAAAGTGTTTCAGAGCAATCCATGCTACAATATGACAACAACTCACGTCCACTTCTCCTTCGAATTCGGGTGCATATGGATCTCCGTCACCACGATTCCAGTACTCAGGAGGCCCTCATATGGATTCCATCTGTAAGGATTCATATCCTTTACGCCCTGACTATAGCTTCACAATGAGACACACGGATACATGTCCTGTCAGCCACGTGACTCACTGATGCGAAGAAGCATCACGCTTCGCATCCGAGTCACGCGGACACATTCTCTTTCCTTACCTTCACTTTCTTGTTATGCTCAACAATGAGCTCGGTCTTTCACCCTCGTTCATAACTATACCCTGGACTTATCACCAAACTATCTCTCATCATTCTCTCTTATTTTCATTCCTTCGCCCAAAAAACAGTCAAATACCCAATGGTTCTCGTCATTCCTGTGCACGGCGAGCTCCCTATTACTACCTTAATTCAAAAACTAACATACTCTTACTCATTTCCGTTATTCCTACCCTGTCAGGCTCAGCGCCACCATTCTTCGTCTCACTGAACCTTCACATTTGTAATAATCAAGGACCCTTACTCTTTTGTAGATAAAATACAGCCTTGAGACTCACTTTAAATGTTGGTTGATTTCCCCACTACGAACTCGCGTCAGATCCTAAGAACAGTCCTATCACCTCGAGTCACGCAATTCCCTTATCAGACTCAACACCAGCCTTATACATCGGTCTTGGTGAGCATCGGCATCTTTTACCCATCGTTCATTCCCAGCAGCGCCTGCAGCCAATGAGAGCTCAAACATTCGTTGTTCTAGTATATCAAGACACTCCAAGTCGATGTCTATATCCATCAAGGATGTTGGAGGTCAAGCCAGGTATCACGCCAACAACTTGAACAGCATTCATGCAAAAAATATGTTAGCATCTGCAAAGAAAGAACATTGTTATTAGTGGTTGTGCAATAGAGTATGGTGCGTGTCTCATGCAATTAGTACTACGTGCCAGTAGTAGCCAGAGGGCGCATTGTTACGACTTGGATGGTATCTGTTGGCGACGCTCAAACAGAGCTTGTGTCGTCAACGGTCTGTGGACGTCCCTGGGCTAGCCCAAGGTTAGGGGTCGTACTTGGCGTATCTTCGGCAAGTACGATTTGACGCCTATGTCCAAATCGGGTAGCTTATGTCACGCGGGTGCGAGACGATAAGCTATATCGGCCTAGGCTTACGACACCCAAAGGTTAATCGTAAGGATCATCGTTAATTAGAAGGACAGAAGTCCGACTAGTTAACAGGGGCTTTGTTCGTCGACGAAGTCGATGAGTAAAGGTCGAGACTATAGGCTTATCCGCGAAGAGCAGATAAGAAGATAGAATATAGACTGCTGGCGAGGCAGAAGGATCACTCTGGTGAGAGTAGGAGGTCAAGAACCAAATAGATTCAAGTTAGGGAATATGGTACATGGTAGCGAGTTTATATAGAGGATAGGAGACGTATTAGTGGATGATGACTCGTACTACCGGGAGAGGCAATCGGTAAAGGGTAAGACCATAATAGGAAGGCACGTTCGATCTAGGTAGAACGTGCTGGATAAGAAAGTGAGTTCAAAGATCAGAATGAGAAGTGAAACACGCAGGGGCACGATCGTGCAACTGCGGATCTAAGTATAAGTCGCATGTGCGACTGCGCACCGAGTCAGAGGTCAAGAAAGGGAACAGGGCAAAGGGGATGCGTCGTGCATCGTGTCATAGGTTACCGTCCAGACGGTAAGGGCAAGGGGACTGTCCGCAGGATCAGTCAGGTGGTGAAACGGAGCATGGGTATGCTTCGTCAGCGAAAGGATCCGGCCAGATGTACTGGCTTTGCTGAAGCGACAGGTAGAGGGCGAAAGGGAATGCGAGGATGACGAGGATGACAAGGGTAAGGTTGGGGTAAGGGTATGATGCGAGGGCTGATATGAGGAGGATCAGGAGAAAAATGGTAGGGGCCCAAGCGTCTAGATGTTCTTGTAACACGCATAAGCGAGACAGGCCATTGCAAGGAGGGTGATCTAGTGACAGTATGAATGTCAATGTCTCATGCAGTACATAGTACATACAGTAATGATATCAAGACTCACCATCATATGGAAGACAGGACAGCCGCACTCACTTAGTCATGTGTCACAACCCAAATAACGAATAAACACTTGGGCAGAGACTAGGACTCGACTAAGGTTATCGGACTGAAAAGAGAGGAGCAAGTACGTCTTGGATTGCTACAGTGTAGATACAAGAGGTTTGAGCTAAGGAACTATCGACCAAGATGTACTACCTATATACAACTATTGAAACGGAGATTGAAACTGAACTACAACTACTTAGCCAATCATAAAATAGAAAAGGGAATCGTACCATAGAACATCGTAGAATATTAAAGAAGCATCACATGACCATATCTTATCTTATCGTATCTTATCTAATCTATTCACAATCAAAGAACTCATCTTCTTCATCAGTCACATCGAAGACATGTGTCGTGGGCGCTAAAGGTATTTCGGGAATGATAGACACTTTCAAGGTAGGGTTAGGGTTTGACTTAGGCGCTGTGTATTGGCGCTTAGGAAGATTTAGGAAAGAATAGTGGTTTGTTAAAGGTACTCGTGACATTACCCCCTCTTTAAGGTGAGTGTCATCATGAACAAATGAAGGTCGGATATTCTTTTCTCTCCATCGTTTGAAATCTTCCGTAAACAGTACTGAGCCTTTGATTCTTCTTATGGAACTCCGTTAAAGGAATTGGAGCGTTCTTCAAATTCTCTTCTGGCTCCCAAGATGACTCTTCCTTCGGGTATCCTTCCCATTTTACTAGGTATTGCAGCTTTCCTCGGAACAATCGGCTATCTAGTACTTCTTCTACAGCAAATTCTTCCTGATCGTCAATCAATTCTGGAGGTGGTCGGTTTGGAGGCGGATGAGGAATCAATCGAGATGCATGATATGGAGTGAGTAATTCTACATGGAAAACCGGGTGGATCTGATATTTCTCTGGCAATTTCAACTTGTAGTTCACTTCACCGACGCGTCTGAGCAGGTGCTGTGAGCCGTCAAACAACTGAGTAATGGTAGGATCACATACCGCAGTAGATAGACTATGCACAGGTTCAAAGTCGTTACCAAAAGGGTCTTTGTCTTCTTCTTGCGCAGAAAAAGGGTCTGGGTCTTCATAGTCGTCCAAGTCAGTAGCGACAGCATGAGGGTCTTGATCTTCAATATCAGTACAGATGGATCGGCATCATTGAAGCTGTTCGTGCAAGGTTTCCTAAGAAAACTATGAGTTAGTTGACGCGCAACACCTCGAACAAGTGAAATCTTACCTCTTCTTCAGTTCTTTCGAGCCATTCCTCATACTCACTCCACTGCACTGCAGGCACAACAACCATGAGTGAGAATTCCTTAGTCTTGAAAGTTGTTGTCTTCGGCGCATGTCGAGATTGGACCAAGCACTGAGCCAAAAAGTATGGAATAGCAGGCAAATGCCCAGATAGGTCAACCCAGGCAGCATCTCGGACGACAAATTCTTGAGTGCGCCAAGGAAATCCCCTTCCAAATGTGAGGATTTTGGGTAGAATGGTATCGAATGCAATTGCTATGAGACTAGGGGTGTCCAAGCGAGCATCAATATCCTTCTTTCCTTCACATATATTCTGGTATGAGCAGTCAGAAATATAACAACACAAGAGAGATAGAAAAAATCATACCCCGAAGTTGATACCACGTCCGCTTTTCTTCCATGAATTCCCCTCATACACAGCTGTTATCTCTAATGTAATAGTCTCCACAGGGGGTGGAGCGTATGCTAGTTTAGCCCATTGCTCACGCTCCAAACTATATTGAGCGTGGTGTGCCGAGTACCCTGTGGGACCAGGTACCCTGTTCTGGCTGGAACCAACTGGTGGTTGTTGCCATAATAAAGGCACGGTAATATCTGGGCCTGGAAGGTGGCCCATATGCACAGCGCTACTCGAGGGCTGAGATAGGAAAGGAACCACACTGAGGGGGGTTGATGGTAGCCATGAAATTCCGCCATTGAGATGTAATTACAAGTTCTAAGTAGAGAAATGGGACTTACATCTGCGCTGTGCAGCATTTACACTTTGCCGTATGACGTTAGGATCAGGGAGTGATTGCGCAGCTAAATATAATCAATTGCGTCATTGGTCAAAAATTACATAGGAAATTTAAGTGTACTTACAAGAAGGGCGAACTGAAGAGGGTCGGACTGATGTCAAAAGCTTCTGTGCATATCGTAAGTAACACGCTCTACAGACGAAGCGACCAGGTTGGCTGGGCACAATGGTGGCAATGTAATGATATGGTGCGCCTTTCAGGATAACGCTACCGCAAGCAGGTCGACCACAGATACGATCTTCCTTGGCAATAGCATCCTCAGTGAACTGAGATACAAGTTCCATGTTGGCAGTGGCAGTAAGTACTTGTGCGATGAGGATGAGTTTAAAGAATACTGTTAGAACAATGGCCCTACAATACTTGAGAAACGGACTTATATATTGGACCATCCAGGACAACTCACCGCTTGCGTCTAAGTTGAGGTTTATCCCGCAGCACTGAGGTGCATCTGATAAGTTGAGAGTTGCCGAATTCTCCATGTTGGATAGTTAGGATCAGAGTCACCATGATTATGGTCATATTCAGTCAGTGTCCAGCTAAAACAGACTCGGAAAACGGTGCATTGAGCATCCAGTGTGTTTCATGTGTCGGACTTTAGTATCAGACTTATTCTATAACCTTGCACCCGGGCTCAGTACAGCCACGAACTTGTTCATGTCGGACTTTTGTTTGTGTCGGGCTCAGCCGCCGTTTGTCGTGTCCAGCCTGTAAGTCTTGTGTTCAGCCTGCAAGAAGTGCCTTGACTATAATCTTGCTGTATCTTGCTATTGTTCAACCGCCTCTTATCTAAGATCTTGGTGTTCAAGTTAGTATTCAATGTGCCTGCCTGACCGACTCTTATTGAGACATTTAGTTTGCCTATTTTATTGAAGTCTTCAGTGTAGCGCTCAGTGTGCTATTAGTGTTCAGTGTGCTTGTCTCTTATTGGTGGGTGTTCAGTGGCCTATGTGCCTATCTCTGACCCTTATTGAGGTGTTCAGTGCACCTATTGCGCCTATTTGACTTACTGGTGGATATTCAGTGCACCTATCTCTGACTCTGATTTGTGGGTATTCAGTGCACCTATCTCTGACTCTTATTGAGGTGTTCAGTGCGCTCTTCTCTTATTGGTCTTCAGTACTCCTATTCAGCTGACTCTTATCTCTACCAGTACTCGCACATGAGTTTTTAAACGCTGGCTATATGGTGACCGCCACTTGTACCGCTATGCCTAACCAGAACAAGCCAACCCATACGTATTTCTGTATGTGTAGTTTACAGGCTGACATAACTTATAATATCAGCGCCTCTTGAGGAGATCACTCCACATATTCTTAGGTACTGGAAAGCTCGTCAAACTGACAAGAAGATTGTAGAGAACTTGCGGAACCACTATGATACATCTCGCTATGGACTAGGGTCAGTCAATTTCCATTGAGTACTACTTTCCTAATGTTTGTGGGTAGGATCACGAAGTTCAAAGAGATACACAATGAAATGGGTCTTTTGCGTACCCGCAAGCAGAACCACTCAATTGATTCCATCCGTGAAGCCATGATTGAGCTCCGCCAGGCATACCCAAATGCCAGTGTGCGGGAAATGGTCATTTTGCTATTTCACGAAAAGGAAATGAACGTGTCGAGGTAACTCATTCAATTACCATTGATCTGTAAGGGATTTGACTAGCTATCAAATAGAAATCTGGTGATATCATACTGTGCCGCCTATGAAGCAGACCTTGTACGTCAACGAAAAGCTGGTCGCTGTTACAAGAACATCTAGACGCTTGGGCCCCTACTATTTTTCTCCTAATCCTCCTCGTATCAGCCCTCGCATCATACCCTTACCCCGACCTTACCCTTGTCATCCTCGTCATCCTCGCATTCCCTTTCGCCCTCTACCTGTCGCTTCAGCAAAGCCAGTACATCTGGCCGGATCCTTTCGCTGACAAAGCATACCCGTGCTCCGTTTCACCACCTGACTGATCCTGCGGACAGTCCCCTTGCCCTTACTGTCTGGACGGTAGCCTATGATATGATGCACGACGCATCCCCTTTGCCCCATTTCCTTTCTTGATCTCTGACTCGGTGCGCAGTCGCACATGCGACTTATACTTAGATCCGCAGTTGCACGATCGTGCCCCTGCGCGTTTCACTTCTTATTCTGATCGTTGACTCACTTTCTTATCTAGCACGTTCTACCTCGACCGAACGTGCCTTCCTGTTATAGCTATACCTTTTACTGATTGCCTCTCCCGGTAGTACAAGTTATCACCCACTAATACGTCTCCTATCCTCTATATAAACTCGCTACCATGTACTATATTCCCTAACTTGAATCTACTTGGTTCTTGACCTCCTACTCTCACCAGAGTGATCCTTCTGCCTCGCCAGCAGTCTATATTCTATCTTCTTATCTGCTCATCGCGGATAAGCCTATAGTCTCGACCTTTACTCATCGACTTCGTCGACGAGCAAAGCCCCTGTTAACTAGTCGGACTTCCGTCCTTCTAATTAACGACGATCCTTACGATTAACCTTTGGGTGTCATAAGCCTAGGCCGATATAGCTTATCGTCTCGCACCCGCGTGACATAAGCTACCCGATTTGGACATAGGCGTTAAATCGTACTTGCCAAAGACACGCCAAGTACGACCCCTAACCTTGGGCTAGCCCAAGGACGTCCACAGACCGTTGACGACACAAGCTCTGTTTGAGCGTCGCCAACAGATACCATCCAAGTTGTAACAGTCGCCTTAAGCGCAGGCGGTTCTGGGCTGCAGGCGTCAATGATATATTTGCCGTCGACCAGCACAATAAGTGGCTTCGATTCGGACTTGCATTGCATACTGGGGTAGAGCCATTCTCCGGCCGTATCATGTGGATCCGAGTCTGGCATTCGAACCGCAACCCTCAACTCATTCTCACATACTATCTTGATACCATCGAGAAACTGGGCCATAAGTTTATTTAAATAACTATCTATTGTGCTATTTACTTATTCAAGTTGCCCTACCTGGGTATGACAGACATTCCAATGGTGACTCAGAGCGATCCTGGCACTGAAAACTACGGAATCGCCAATGCACATACCATGCTGTGTCAAATGTATGATCCGGCACTGCAAGGTACATTACAACACCGTTGGATGCAGACGAAGAAGAATGTGAAACCGGAGATCACCTGGTCTCAGTTACGGCATCGGTTTACCCCTGGTTTCGAAACACTTCTGGATGAAGGAGTGGAGAACAGCTGGTATGATAGTGACAACACCCTTCAGGTGTAAGTAACCTTCGCTCTAGTTCTCTGACATTTTAAGTTTGCTTACAGTTGCGCATTTAGCATGATCTTCCGTTGGGTCTTCATTCCATGGTTGCAGTGCGAGCTAGATAGGTATCAGGACCGTGTTAACAACACCCTCAAGAGGCCAGATCGTAACAAGGTATTTCAATGGTATTCATTTACATTCATTTAGCGCTTACGATCACATAATTTAGGTGCTTCCGCATGGCGTACCTAATCTAATATACGAGTCTGCAGAAGATTTTGGGGCTTTAGACTTCAAGGTATATTTTATTTGAACACTACTTGAATTGCATTGTAACTAACTGGTGTATCATTCTACTAGGTAGCAGTGAAACAAGATGCTATAGACCATGTCCGCAATATCTATGTGAACCCCGATCATCCTGTCTTTGATTTGGTTCCCAAACTGCTCAATGATCTTATTCAAGACTGTTATGATGATTTAGGCTGTCCTCCAGTCACTTGCCAGTCCGTGTGGACAATTTACTTAGATTTGTATCATTCTATTCAGCACTCTGCACAGATACCAGCCATTGTCGATTCTCTTACAGATGTCACCGACTCGGATGAAGAACATTTTCCTCTCCTCGAAAACCAAAAGGACCTGTTTTTTCATGGGGATACTGATAGGGCTTACTACATGGGTGGTATTCACGGCAGACATGGTCTCGGTATGTTTTTCTCAGTTTGAATTAACTTTGTTTTAAATTATTGTACAACAGATGCATCTGATCATCGCCAGCTGGATGAACTGGCTGAGCTGGATGAACCAGGTGCTGACTTACTCCCTACAGCTCCGATCATAGAAGAGGAGGGCTTGGTTATTACAGGATTCTCTGATGAGGAGGACAATGATGAAACATATGTTTGGTAGCTTACTGTCACAACCCAATAACGAATTAACGCTGGGTCGAAGACTAGGACTCAAACTGAGGTTATCGGACAAGAGAGGAGAGGAGCAAGTACGTCTTGGATTGCTACAATGTAGATACAAGAGGTTTGAACTAAAGAACTATCGACCAAGACATGCTACCTATATACAACTATTGAGACGGAGATTGAAACTGAGTTACAACTACTAGCCAATCATAAAAAGAGAAAAGGAATCGTACCATAGAACATCGTAGAATATTAAAGAAGCATCACGTGACCATATCTTATCTTATCTAATCTATTCACAATCAAAGAACTCGTCTTCTTCATCAGTCACATCGAAGACACGTGTCGTGGGTGCTAAAGGTATTTCAGGAATGATAGACGCTTTCAGGGTAGGGTTAGGGTTTAACTTAGGCGCTGTGTATTGGCGCTTAGGAAGATTCAGGAAAGAATAATGGTTTGTTAAAGGTACTCGTGACATTACCCCCTCTCTAAGGTGAGTGTCATCACGAATGAATGAAGGTCGGATATTCTTTTCTCTCCATCGTTTGAAATCTTCCGTAAACAGTACTGAGCCTTTGATTCTTCGGTATTTTCCGGCTGCGGCCGTGGGATTCTTTTTATGGAACTCCGCTAAAGGAATTGGAGTGTTCTTCAAATTCTCTTCTGGCTCCCAAGATGACTCTTCCTTCGGGTATCCTTCCCATTTCACTAGGTATTGCAGCTTTCCTCGGAACAATCGGCTATCTAGTACTTCTTCTACAGCAAATTCTTCCCGGTCGTCAATCAATTCTGGAGGTGGTCGGTTGGGAGGAGGATGAGGAATTAATTGAGATGCGTAATATGGCGTAAGCAATTCTACATGGAAAACCGGGTGAATCTGATATTTTTCCGGTAATTTCAACTTGTAGTTCACTTCACCGATCTTCTCTAGTATTTCGAAGGGACCTAGACGACGATCTGACAGCTTTTGACTCGGACGACGTTGTTTGAGGTTCTTCGCGTCAAGCCAGACTTTGTCTCCTTTCTTATACTGAGGTGCTTCTTTTACTCCTTTGTCGTAGAAACACTTCATGCGCTCATTGACCATCTTAAGAGTATTTTCGGCATCATCTCTCGCTTCTTTCATTTGATCAACTCTCTCATTGGCGGCGGGGATTACGGACATAGAGTTTGGATGTATCGTGAAATCTGGGTTATACCCATAGAGAACTTTGAATGGACTGTGACCGGTTACTGTGACTGCATTGTTGTGTGAAAACTCTGCTATCGGCAGCCAAGATACCCAATCATTCTGTCTATATGACGTGAACATGCGCAAATATTGTTCTACTTCTTGGTTTACGCGTTCAGTCTGTCCATCGGTTCTAGGGATGATAGGAGGTCGATGCAGACCATTTTGTTCCTAATCTTTTTGACATTTGTCCCATGAACTTTGATATGAACTGAGTTCCTCTATCTGAGATCACTTTCTTCGGTGTTCCATGATGTTTCCATACGTTTTTCAGAAATAGCTCGGAAATACCCTTTCGAGTCTACGTCTTTGGTGGTGGGAATGAAGTGTGCTTGTTTCGAAAATCGATCGACGACTACAAAAATGCTATCACACCCTTCACTCTTCGGCAAATCCACTATTAGGTCGCAGGTGATTGTCTGCCAAGGTCCTTCTGGGACTTCATTTGGCTGTAAAGGCCCTGTTGGTCTACTCGGAAGCACTTTCGTTTGTTTGCACCTATCGCAACCATCTACGTAATCGTGGACATACTTCGTCATTGAAGGCCACCAATAGTTTCTGGAAATCAATTCTAAGGTCTTAGCTCGTCCAGGATGTCCAGCCGGTGGAGAGTCGTGAAACAACTCTAATATCTCTCGGCGGATCTCTTTGTCATTTGGAACGTAAACTAATCCTCGGAATAACACCAATCCATCCTCCACATTCCATTCTTCGATTCCTCTACGCAATTGAACCGGTGCTGCTTTAGCGTTTCTAATGCTTTAGCGACTTCAGGTTCTCGTTCTGTGCATTTTCGTATCTTTTGGAGTAAATGTTTTTCTCCATGCACCAAAACTTGACCTCTTTTAGCAGCTTTTACAGTAAAGAATTCCGGTTTCAAAAGAATGCGATCTGAGTTATCGTTTTCTACCCCCCCTCTATGGTCTGATCTCCGAGAAAGACGGTCTGCTTTGTCATTAACCACACCAGGCTTGTGTTGGAGTGTAAATTCATACTCCGCTAGGAAAAGACTCCATCTAGCTTGCCTTCTGGTCAACTTTTGACTCGTCATGAAATATTCTAGGTTCTTATGATCTGTCCATATTTCAACCGGGTGAGGTGCTCCCTGCACATAGTGCCTCCACTCCTCCAACGCTCTAATGATCGCTAATAACTCTTTATCATGAATGTCGTAATTTCTTTCCGCATCATTCATTGACTTAGAGTAATATGCTACTGGATGCCATAATCCATCTTCCATCAGTTGAGAGAGAACCGCTCCTGTTGCGTAATCTGAAGCATCGGTCTCTATTTTCTTTTTCTTCTCAACATCTGGCATGACTAGAACGGGAGCTTCTGTGAAACGTTTCTTAAGTTCATCAAAAGCTTTCTGTTGTTTCTCCGTCCAGTCCCATTTGACATCTTTTCTTAGCAGATCATTCATTGGTCTGGCTATATCTGAGAACCCAAGTATGAATCTTCGATAGAAGTTGGCAAAGCCCATGAATGCTTGGATATCTTTTACGCATTTGGGAACAGGCCATTTCAATACTCCTTCTACTTTCACAGGGTCCATCGACACATTGCCTTCTTCCACAATTAATCCGAGGAATTCAACTTTAGACTGTTCGAAGCTACATTTCTCAGGCTTCAAGAACAGGTTGTTTTCCTTCAACCGTTTCAGGACTTCTCGTACCACCTTTCGGTGCTGCTCCCTATTTCCATTCGTGAAGACCATTATATCATCGATGTAGACGACTACTGTTTTGCCATCTATTAGGTCTCTCAGAATTTCATTCATCATAGTTTGGAAGGTTGCAGGCGAGTTCGTAAGTCCAAAATACATTACGGTCAGTTCGTGGTGACCAAACGGCGTTTTGAAGGCCGCCTTCCACTCATCTCCTTCTTTCATGCGAATATTATTGTATCCCCATCGTACATCCATCTTGGAGTACATCGTGGCACCGGTTAAAGCATCAATTAGATCTTGAGATCTCGGTAGCGGGTATGCATTTTTCACCGTTTTCTCATTGAGCTTTCTATAGTCCATCACCGGTCTTAACTTGCCATCTTTTTTGGCCACAAAGAAGAAAGGTGCTGCTACTGGAGATTGTGAATTTCTGATACGTCCCAGTGCAGTCTCAGTTTTCAACCATTCTTTCAATGTATCCATCTCTTTGGGTGATAACGGATAAGGTTTCGCATTTGGCGGAAGATCGCCCTCGTCTTTAAGATCTATCGCATGATCCCACTTCTTTCTTTCGGGGAAGCGCTTAGATTCTTCTTCTGAGAATACTCCCAGGTAATCATGAAGCCAGTCCGGTACCATTTCTTCTACCGATTGCTTCTTTTTAGTAGCTTCTTCTGCTACCTTCTGCTCCATGGCAACCGAGGCTTTATAACGAATCCATAGTCTCTCTGGACTCTCTTCGTCTTCTATTTCCTCAACCGTCGCCCTCTTCATCGACATATCTTCTTCATCCTCGTCTTCATCGTCCGTAGGAATCAGATCAGGTACATCATCTATCTTTTTTTGTTCTTTTCTTTTTTCTTTCTTTTTTTGTCTTCTTTCTTTTTTAGTCTCACATTTTACAGGGCATCGAGAAAGTGCAAATCGTCCTGCATTCTAGTCAATCTCTGGATTATGATATCTCAACCAATCTATACCGATAATAACATCATCGTTTCCTAAGTCTGTAACCATGAAGGCTGCTTTCTCTTCTTCATGATCACCAATCTTTAGACCTAGTTCTGCAAAATGAGTCATTGATCCAGCGGCATTTAGTGATCCATCAATGTTCCTGACTGAAATAGGCCTTAATAATTTACGGCATTTCACACTGTTCTTTTCCACAAACTTCTCACTGATAAATAGTGTTGATGCACCGCAATCCACAAGTGCTTTTACGTCTGCTTGTCGGTTCTTTCCTTTCAACGTTATTGGAATATAAAAATGCTCAGATTTGGATCTAATATGTACTTCTGATACATCTTGAAACGTAGAAAGAATAGAGAAACGATTGTTCGGGTCTAGGTCTGCAGACTTTGACTTCAACCCCTTTAAAAATCCTTGCCTTTGTTAGAAGTGATCCAATCTGTGAACCACTTCGGCGCGGAGTTTTCTTCGACAACAGCAGCCGCTTTGACTTGCGCTTTTGGCGCACCTTTACAGTTTCTCGCTATGTGTCCTTGTTCTCCACAGCGGTAGCAGGTGAAAGCGCCAGGCTTTCCTTGGGGTTTGGGAGCTCCCCTCTGCTTGCCAGAGTCCACATCCATAGCGTCACTGTCTTTGCTAGGACCAGCCTGCCTTGGGTTATTGAAGGTTCTTGGGGTTTCCTTGTTAGGGGTCCACCAATTACTCTTCTTCTTTTCAGTGTCTAGCTCCTCGTAGTTACGTCCAATCTGTATGGAGTAATCTATGAGCTTCTTGAGGGTGTCTTTCTCAGACGCTGGAATATGAGCGAGTTGCTCCTTGATCCGGGTTTGTAGACCAGATCGGAATTTGAGGCGGAGGTCGTAGTCGGAGTATTTGGTAAGTGCAGCCTTCTGCTTGAAAGCTGCTGCGTATTCAGGCACTGATGAAGATCCTTGCTTCAGGGTTTCCAACTCCCTGATAGCTTTTCCTTCTCTGTCATCTTGGCCCCACATGGTCTCGAATTCTTTCGTCCAATCCTCAAAGGATATTGGCTTGGAATCAAGCTCAATAACATATTTCTGCGCCCATTTAGCAGCAGATCCTTTAAGGAAAGACAGGGCAGTCGTAATTTTCTGCCTGTCTGTGATTAACGGCCACTGTGACATGTATAATGCCAACTGAGTGGTGTAGACTTCTATGGAGATTGAATCTTTGTCTCCAGTGAATTCTGTGGGTTTCGACAATTTGACTTGCGAAGTATTCGGGGATTGTGCGAATCTCTCCAGCTTCTTCTTCAGTTCTTCTATTTGTGCATTTTGAGCTCTGAGTTGAAGTTGTTGAGTCGCATTCTGTGCGCTGAGGGTATTATTGTGGTTGAGGAGTTCTTGTGTCCTCACGTACAAATCGTGTGTTGCCATTGTGATAGCGTTCTGTACGTAGTTGGTGAATTCCACTGGCATAGCTATGCCTTGTGGTTGTGGTCCCTGAGGCCCTTGTTCTTGGGGTTCTTGAGGGTTCTTGGGTCCCATTTCTGTTTCGTTGACTTCAGCCATAGTGCCAGGTGCGTTCTGGAATCCAATTCACTAATGACTGTTGAAGAGCGGGTCGTAACGGCTCTTCCGGATAGGAAAGATGATGAAAGGGGAGAAGGGAAAAAGGATACGTAAATGGAAAGCTAAAGGGGTCCCCAGTACTAACTGGATCAACCTCGTCCTTTAGGGTCAAAGGGTTCTTTAATCAACCCGACTGACACTTCCCTAATTACTAACTAAAAGAAGTACATAAAGCTATGCTTTGTTAAGTGGGAAAAACACTGTGTGCTTCGTGTGTGCTACTTCTCAGTCACCGAAAGGGTACAGGTCTAGGACAAGTTATCACTCTTCCAGCCGAAGCTTACAAGTGCGAGTCTCACTAGAATCCCATATCTAAATCCTCATGGTAACGATGGTAGGACTATCCGCAGATGCGACAGTTCCACTAGACTTAACGAAAGGTTCTACGTGCGTATGAAGAAAGGTGTAGGTATGAAAGCAACTATAGTAACGTTGAGCAGGCAGGGTCTTGGGCCAGCACTCAAAGTTGTAGTGAGACGCCTAATGTCGTCAACACCTCCGTATACTGGCGGCTGCAATGTAAGGCAGGGCCTGGTATAGGACTACTAACTACAAAAGACTATTCGTGAAAAGCTCAAGCGAGCAAAAGGATGGGTTTCAGAAAATGTGGTCGCGACTGTTTAGGTCGGGCAATGGAAAACGTGTGATGATGATGAGAGATGTGCGAGCGGTGTGCAAAGAGTCGGAGTCTCCTATAGTTCAAACCTAATGTCACAACCCAATAACGAATTAACGCTGGGTCAGAAGACTAGGACTCAAACTGAGGTTATCGGACAAGAGAGGAGAGGAGCAAGTACGTCTTGGATTGCTACAATGTAGATACAAGAGGTTTGAACTAAAGAACTATCGACCAAGACATGCTACCTATATACAACTATTGAGACGGAGATTGAAACTGAGTTACAACTACTAGCCAATCATAAAAAGAGAAAAGGAATCGTACCATAGAACATCGTAGAATATTAAAGAAGCATCACGTGACCATATCTTATCTTATCTAATCTATTCACAATCAAAGAACTCGTCTTCTTCATCAGTCACATCGAAGACACGTGTCGTGGGTGCTAAAGGTATTTCAGGAATGATAGACGCTTTCAGGGTAGGGTTAGGGTTTAACTTAGGCGCTGTGTATTGGCGCTTAGGAAGATTCAGGAAAGAATAATGGTTTGTTAAAGGTACTCGTGACACTTACTGTAGAGTCCATTGTTTTGTGTTCTTGTTTTTGTCGTCCTTTGGGCTGTAGTAATACGGCGCTTGGCCACACATTGATTAAAAAAATTTGAGTGGGCACAGGTGTACGGAGTCCCTGCATCACACCTGCCTAGTATGGGGTGTTGTCACGCTATGTAACGAGCGCGGCTGTCCTGTCTTCCATACCATCAAGAAGCCACTACACCCACTACCGCATCCGTGCCGCAGCATAGTACTCAACTTGTTCTCGGGATTCAGACTCTCAAAAGCATGACCGTGAGGCGCATAATTGATGAGTTTGACGGTAAACCAATTATATTGTGCACGTCAACAGTGATTATCGAAACTAAGAGTGAAATGTGCTGATTTGGTGCGGGTGCGGCAGTAATGATGCGTTAGTGGTGCGGCAAAATACCTGAGCCCCGCAGTTTGCCAGTCAAGGCAAGTCACGATTATAACCTACACGTTTCCTTGCACCAAGTTATTTGTGTCAATCAACATTCCATCCTCATTCGATTCGTATGAGGAACATTCTCTGTTACATAAAGTCCCATGCTTGGAGTTTACAAGGAGATTCGGAAAAATTTTCAGCTCAATTGTGCCAGTACATACTATCATTTCTGCACTGGGTCCTACTGACACGGCTGTCTTCATTTCTCTATGGCACGATTAAACTAATTCGAGAGCAAATCACAATCGAAGAGTCGCTATTGAGATGTTGAAACGTTAATTTTCAAATCTTGGAGCTCATGGCATGGTGTTCACCACCACATCAAACATAGCGGCCCCTGGGTCACCTCGGATACCGCATCCTGTCTGATCCAGTCATTCAAATTGACGATATCTTCCCGGTGAGTACCCTTTATATCATTTTACATTGCATTGATGCGACCCCACACATGATACACCACCACCATGCACATGTTAGTCAAGAATGCTAACGTGAGTGCCACTTTGTTGTGAAAGTCGGGGATTTGGCCGACTCTGGGGTTATTCTATGTAGACTCTGGAGCCAAGTCTAAGTTAGCCTGCCTCATGCGTGACACTATGTTTTCCTCGAGAGTGTCAACGTGAGCTGAGGAGCGTTATGTTGAAACGCGCAGCATACACTCGCAACTACGTCAGACATACCATCCCACGTGAGTCATTCTTCATCCGAGTGCAATGGACTAAATTTGGAGTGAGGATATTGTCTGACGGAATGTTCAAGGCAATTAGTCTACCTGGTCATCAAGGTTTTACATGACGAATACTTATGGATGTAGACTAGTGGCGACCTTACGCTTACTACCAGTGACCAGACATTGATCCTGGTCTTGGTTCAGGTACCAAAGGAGACTCGGCGTTTATGTGCTGCACACTTAACCTTTGAACCCCCATCGTCTTGGAATTTCGACAAGTAGCCGCGGACAACATCTTTCCTTTTTCCGCCGAGCTGCTGGCACACCACTTTTTGTCAGAGAGAATGTTCCAGGCAAGAAAGTAGTCTGCCTGCCGACCAATGGTATCTAGTCGCTGAGTGCCTATTGTCAAATATCAATTCACTAATACGGCCTGACGCAAACGATTCCGAAATACTTTAGCCGTTCAGCCGCGGACGATTTTTGATGATCTTGCTCCATTGATAATCAATTGATCCTCTTGCACCATCTACCTGATACTGAACCTGAATCGCATCAATGCGTATCTTCTTGACGCCACGAGAGGGTCCACGGGGGAAATAGCGACACTGTCATGCATGTGGGTTTGTGCGACTAATAAGGCTTCTCATACATATCTTGTACTACAGACAGGGACCTGCCCAGTGGATATACTTATACTCTATGAGTCCACCTAGTATACTAATCGTGGCCACCCATTTCCAACGTTGGACAGGCCGGAACTGCTCTCCAGAGCTGTGTACCGATTAATGCGTCCATTATGCTACAGGTGTCTAGGACCTTAGGATTTGCCGAGATTTGTGACACCTCTACCTCTTATCATACCTCTCGATTCGCTAACCAACTCCATCGACCTACACAATCTCTACTCCACATTCCACACTTGGGTTGCCTAAGGCTGCTGATGTGTCCCATTACAATGCTGTAGTACGGATTACCTCGGGCACTATCTGGATGAGGACTACGTCATTGTTCTTAAAATGCATTATCAGATGATAATCGGAGTCAGCACCAATAACTGTCTAGGCCTTGAGTCTTTCGTACGATATAGCTGGAAGTTTTTGAAGTTCCTTCCCATCTAAAGATGCCACCGAATGTCAGTCTGGGCGCAAGGCATCTGCCGGGTCTTGGTCTAGAGTTACACCTATTATGTCAATGAGTGTCTCACAATCACATGGTTAAATGATTCAGGGAAACCGCTGGGGTGTTCTTGTGTTCTCGTCATCGAAGGTTCTGTTCAAACCTGTCAAGGTCGCGAAGGGTCTTTCGCATGTGAGGATCATGAACACCCTGAAGACACTATGGTCCAGATTATGACTACGTCATGGTGTCGAAACGTGCGTTGCTGCGGAACTGTCTAAGTTTTGCAATTGCTTTTATGTTATGTGACCGAAACTAAAGCAAAAACGATGAACCAAAATTTGACCCCTGAAGACACCAGGTTCCTGACGATGCAGTTCACGCGCTGACTCGCAAGGCCGCTTCCAATAGCGAAAATGGCCAAGAACTTTAAGCACTTGAAACCCACTTGTTGAAATTATCATAATCGATGAAGCATACTGGTGAATGGTCAGCTCAAGATCTGGACAACTCCCTCGATTATATTTTCTGAACAGTCATTGGCTAGAACATTGTGTTAATAAGTAGATACTCGTGGCGTTGTGACTCAAAATTCAGAATTTGGAATGAGTTTTCTAGACTTGGTGACATGGGGCCAGCTGGCGCGGAGCCCCTCATTTGTTTCAGTGAGAATCTGGAACATTATATGTAATTGATAGGATCACCTGAAAACATACTTAGTATACTACTGCAATGCATACGGATTCAGTGCTCAGCGCTCCGAGTCAGCAATCAATGTTGAATCTTGAAAAGGTCGAGCCTCTCTTGAACTAGTATGCCTGAGACATTGGACAACCTTCAGTGGGTGCTGACCTAAGAAGGCAAATCGTCCTTGATTGGTCCAAATATGTTGACTGACCTCGAAGCTTCACACTCTTATTGATTCCCCTTCTTTTTGATCTTGAAGCCTATCCCACTCTGCCAGCACCTTGAACACCACACCATCCATTGGCAAAATGACCCTTGATACGTAATGCGAGTCCACTCCCGGAGGCATTCCAAACCACCGGGACCAGTAGTGGGTACATGTTACTAATTATTTATTTATGCAAATGCAGCAGGACTATAAAGACATATCACCCAGCGGCTCCAACTGCATAAAACCACCTGTATCCATTCCAAGCCAACTCCTACCTAACCAAAAATTTGTTGTCATCATGAATGCTGAACAGTGCGTTCTGCAAATGTCAAACTCTGGCCTTGGTTATATCTGATGAATCCCAGATTTCGCAGAGCTGGCTATCAAGCCATCGATAGAATATGTGACTACCATATCACCTTGAGGGATAGGCCTGTCTCATCCCAAGTCGAGCCAGGGTACCTCAGGAAGTTGCTCCCTTGTACGCATTTTCATTCCCCCTCGCGCTTCCTTCTTATAATCTTGAGCGCAGCCTCCGCCCCCACTGAAGGCGAGGACTTCCAGCTCATCGCGGACGACTATCAAAAGTACATCATTCCTGGTACTTGAACCTGACTTCAATTATTCCACGAATTGACTTATCTCATTCGTGCTGACAGGCCTGACACACTGGCAGCACCCCTCATTCTTTGCATACTTCCCTACGTCAAGCACATTCGAGGGTATACTTGCAGAACTATACGCATCTAGCACATCTAACCCTGGATTCAATGTATGTCGCTCTAATGCAAATCTCCTGCTGTCTTTGTGACTTTTTGCAGTGGTCTGCCAGCCCAGCATGTACGGAGCTTGAGGCTGTGGTCATGGACTGGATCGCTCAATTACTAGGGCTTGATGAGTCGTTCTACAACATCTCCAAGGTCGGTGGCGGCGTAATCCAGGTTTGTTCCTCACCCCTTCACATTTCTAATTTATACTGATCGCCATGCATTAGACGTCAGCATCTGACTCTGCGTTAGTCGCAACTGTCGCTGCACGTTCACGATATATTCGTGAACACCCTCAGGTGGCGATGGAGAATCTCGTGCTCTATACCACTACCCAAACCCACTCGCTTGGGAAGAAAACTGGGCTTGTCTTAGGCCTCAAAGTGCGCGCATTGGAAGTCACAGCACAGGATGACTTTGCATTGCGTGGAGACACACTCAAGGCAGCATTGGAGGAGGATATGAATGCCGGATTCCACCCTTTCATCCTGAGTATGTTCTTCGCATGAATTGCTGTCTTGAAATTCATTTTTTTTTTTTTCATTCTGCAGTCGGTACGGTAGGGACGACATCTTCCGGTGCTGTCGATCGGCTCGACGAGATTACTGATGTCGGTATGTATACCGATCATGTCATTAAATCTTTTTAAAATACAATTTTACGCGTAGCGAAACATTACCCTTCCCTTTGGCTGCACGTTGATGCTGCATGGGCAGGCGTCGCATTCGTATGTCCAGAATATCGCGAAGCATACCAACTGCCTGCCATCAATAATTATGTAGACTCTTTCTGCACCAATTTCCACAAGGTTTTTTTTACTCCTGTTTCGTGGCATCAGTCTAGGGCTCATCAACATTCGGCAGTGGGGTCTAATCCATTTTGATGGTCCTTGTTTGTGGGTGCGGCACCGGAAACATCTTATCGACGCGCTAGACGTCACACCTGAATATCTGCGATCGAAGGACGGAAATGCTGGTCTGTCTCCAAGTCCCGTTATGATTATTGCCCGTTGTATAAACGACGAATGTGTATAGGTACCGCTATTGATTACCGCAATTGGCACATAGGTCTTGGCAGACGGTTCCGGTCGCTAAAATTCTGGTTTGGACTTCGTGCACGGGGGGTCAAGGGTCTCCAAAAGTACATCACCGACGTACGTTAGCTAGTTATCGTCAGTATCTTCTTATCCATACTGACACTTTTCCCTGTCTCGCCAGTGCATCAAGTTGAACACCAAGTTCGCACAGAGTATTTATGAATCCGATTTATTCTCCTTCGTCACCCGACCTTCCCTTTCCATGACAGTCTTTAGGCTTGCACCAAAGTCCCTTCCTCAACTCAGGACTTCCGAGCTAAATATTTTGAACCGTGCTTTCTATACACGACTTGCAGCACGGAATGATATTGCAATCACCCAGACGGAGTTGAATGAGGTGTTTTGTATTAGGATGGTGATTGGGGCTGAAAAGACTCTAGAAAGTGATGTCGAGCACGCGTTGTCGTTGATGAAGGATGAGGCGATGGTTTTGATGAAAAACTGGGAAGGGATTGGAGGTCGGAGAGGCAGGAAGACGCATGTGGTTCCATCTCACTCTCACTAAAATATGCCCATTGGACTTAGCTGTAGTCCTTGATGGGCCTGTATTTTTTTCCCAATACTTTGGGTGTAATCCTGACTATCCTTGTATTCGCTCTCCTTTCTTTTGTGTAATTGGATTCTTTTTCCTCTCACATCGCCCGGCTCTTGATGCTCGTGGCTTTGTTCATCGGCTACCTCATTGGATCAGTCTGATTCAATCGTCCAGATTAGGCTCTTGCTTTTTATCCCGCAGTATTGGACATTCATGGCAGCATTTCATTGAACCATCCTCGAATTCAAGATCGTTTCTAGGAATACAACACGAGCATGATTAGCGTGAAAAGTGTGATGACGAAACCGAAATTGAGAAGGCTAACAAAACTGCAATGTCCAACATATAGTACTGATAGCACAAGGCCTGCTGCTCAAGATGGCGTGACAAAACATGATTATTATAATGAATGCAAAGTCCAATGTGGCCTTCAGCACGACACTAAAACATGGTGAGATTATGTGCTCAAATATGAGTGTGTCTCATACTCAGGACTGCGAAGATGATGCTCCTATGATTTGACGGCCAATAACGGAAGAAGATTTGAAAGTTATGAGATGCCTGTTGACCTCTTCACAGGCCTCCCAGCATTGGCTTCCACCATACACTTGGTTAATTTTGTGGACGCAAGGGAGCATGTAGAAGATGATGCGAGCGATAGCTTCGGCATCCCTGACGTCAGGGGACTCAAGATCCAATGCATGTAGGGAGGTGTGTTGAAATGACTCGGTTGTGGGATCAATATCGATATGTGCGGCATCCATAAATATTCGCAGTTTTTGCAAGTGGGGACATAGGCGAAGCGCTGCGAATAATCCGCGGAATGTGACGGCAGGTGAACGAAGATGGAGGTCTCTTAACTCCAACGAGCGGATGTGCGGCCAACTTGACATGGCTTCAAAAAGAAGATCGTTGTCAAGATGGCTGCAGCAATGAGGGAAAATGAGTTTCAGGACTCGGAGTTGCCTGAAACAAAACAACTGTCTGATCGGTGTAAACAAATTTCCTGAGCGTTCCTGGACCAGTGATTCACCCGCGAAGATGACAACGCGTTCGAGGGTCTGACATGCACTGCACTGTGACAGGGCACGCAAGAGCAGGTCAGCCTCTGCCCTCTGCAAAGTATCCACATTGACCTTGACCCCCTTCAGCAAGGGAAATTCAAAGTTGCGCATGACTGCGATAATGTATGCTGCGCTGTCAACCGAGAAATAAAGATGCGTGATCTTCAGGGAAGGTACGGAATTGAAATCGTCGCTGCCGAACGGGTAAAGGACTTTGCCATGAATCCATACTGTGAGAAGGGTAGGGAGCTTAGAGAGGTCCTTCCATGTCGCCCAGTCGACCGGTGGACAACGCAAATTTACCAGCTGCTTGCACAAACAGAAACTAGTACTGTTAGACAGTGGGGAAATTTCACGTGATGGACCACACTGAAATATGATGGATAAGTCCTCCAAGGCAGCACAACGGGTTACGAGAACTTTCAGATCCAGCTGAATCTCCGGTATGACGCAACGACGCAGCATAGGGGACAGAAATAGATGCAAGTATCTGGGTGGAAGTAGAGTTCTAATCGTTGACAGTGACAGCAGTCTTGGGAAGATGCATATATCGACGGGTAGAGTTGAGATAAGGTGAAAATGACTATCACGGGTTATGGAAATTGAGCGCACACGGGCGGCATGGCGCAAAAACTGACGGGTCTCGTGCTCAGATAGAGGATCGACAGATTGAGAACAGAAGTGCTGCGTTGAAAAATCGTGCTATATCATGAAAGACTTGAACATATGATAGGACGTTGCGCGATTAGTCCACACTCACCTTTTTATCGCCACCATATATCATTGGATGCAGTCTTGTAACACAACCTAACAGCGGGTCTATTCCATTCATGTCAGCCCAAAGCAAATCCATTGCAGGCTCGTGGAAGGCTTTGCATGTGCTAGCAAGCGCTGCAAGGTATTTTCGACTCGACCGTCTAAATTCCGTCGAGTGATTCACCTGCTCGAATATGACCAGTAGGACATCTGGTACAAGGAGAGCCCGATGCTGCGACATAGTACTACCGCGAGGGGAATGGAATTGAATGGATAGAAGTGAATTTCATTTGACTTGTACTGCGGCCCGGTACTAGTCCGGTCAACATCACAGAGTTGGACCCGAGTTAGTATTGACTCACAACCAATCAGGCCATGCAAGTACAATCATCTCGCAATCGATTTCTCTTGCACACTCCAGCAGCTTGTCGGGCTCGTGAAGCTTCCCCGCCAATGTCGCCATCGCGTCTTGACCTCCCGGACCCTGGACTCGGTGTAAACAAACCAAAAAGAAGGAAGGGCCCAGCTGTTGATCTCGACCGGCATTCAACACTCTTTTCCGGGGATTTCTGTGAATACATCAACTTTGGTTGTGAGAACTGCCAAAGTATCTGCGATTGCTGTCGTTGAATGCTGTCAATTTTGTGATGCCACCGTGACAGCGCGGTCTCGACGTCGGAAATGCGAAACTTGAACTCTCACGAAAGCCTTGGCACCACCCCCTCCCTGGGACCGGTAGTCATTGGTGTGCTTGCGGCCTCAGCTGGAGGCTTGTGGTCACATGTGCAGTCAAATTTTCACGCTAGGCTGCGAATATTATCAAGTTTTCTCTCACCAATATATCAATCGTGCGAGTCGTAAGATGGCATGAACGACTCATACTTTCTTGACGCCCTCACGCCATGGATATTGAGCAGTATGTCTTTTACACTGATGCTCCTAATCCCATGGTGTCGACGCATATCTGACATACCGCAGATTCCGCAGAGCTGGTTATCAAGCCATAGACAGAATATGCGACTACTATATCTCTTTAAGGGATAAGCCTGTCTCGTCCCAAGTGGAACCTGGCTATCTCAGAAAGGCACTCCCAGGTGTCTACTTTCCATTCTGGCCTGTACTTTCTGTCTGATCATCCCCATTCCAGTGTCTGCCCCTACGGAGGGCGAGGACTTTCAACTCATCGCGGACGACTATCAAAAGTACATCATTCCTGGTATGTGACTGTGATTTTGCACAGATTCACCAATCTCATTCCGACTGACAGGTCTGACACACTGGCAGCATCCTTCGTTCTTTGCATATTTCCCTACAGCATGTACATTCGAGGGTATACTTGCGGAACTATACGCGTCTAGCACGGCTAACCCTGGATTCAATGTACGTCGCTCTACCGCAACCCTCCCATTATCTTTGTAACTTTTGTAGTGGTCTGCGAGCCCCGCGTGCACGGAGCTTGAGGCTGTGGTCATGGACTGGACCGCCCGATTCCTCGGGCTTGATAAGTCGTTCTATAATACTACCGAGGTCGGCGGCGGCGTCATTCAGGTGTGTTTTGCATTCTCACTTCCGTCACCAAATGATATCAATCCCTATGCCGTACACAAGACATCAGCATCTGACTCTGCGTTGACTGCAACTGTCGCTGCACGCTCCCGATATATTCGTGAGCATCCTCACGTGGCTATGGAGAACCTCGTGCTCTATACCACTACGCAAACGCACTCACTAGGCAAGAAAGCCGGCCTTGTGCTAGGTCTGAAAGTGCGTGCACTGGAAGTGACAGCAGAAGATGACTTTGCACTGCGTGGAGAGACATTAGAAGCGGCACTGAAGGAGGATGTGGATGCTGGGCTCCACCCTTTCATCCTCGGTATATTTTATCAATGGATCATATATCATGGAATTCACATCGTTCGTTCTTGTAGTCGCTACAATTGGTACAACGTCTTCCGGTGCTGTTGATCGGCTCGGCGAGATTGGTGATGTTAGTGCGTATACTGACCACGTACTTGGTTTTGATGAGAGCTCATCCCTACATGCAGCAAAACATTACCCTTCTCTGTGGCTACACGTCGATGCCGCATGGGCAGGCGTCGCACTTGTGTGTCCTGAATATCGCGAGGCATGTCAACTTCCCTCCGTCAATACTTATGCAGACTCGTTCTGTACCAATTTCCACAAGGTTTGTTCTATCTCCTGATATCAGCCTGGAGCTTATAGTATTGATATTCTGCAGTGGGGTCTCATCAATTTCGATGCCTCTTGTTTGTGGGTGCGACACCGGACACACTTGACCAATGCACTAGACGTCACACCCGAGTTTTTACGGTCGAAGTATGGGGATGCCGGTGCGTATTATCTCCTGAGTTGACGATTGACGAAATGAACGTCGGATTTGTCTAGGCACTGTCATTGATTATCGCAACTGGCATCTTGGTCTCGGTAGACGGTTCCGATCGCTTAAATTTTGGTTTGTTCTGCGTTCCCGTGGGGTTAAGGGGTTCCAAAAGTATATAACCGACGTATGTCAAGTATTGATGATTGATTCCAATGTAACGCCTGACATTCAGTGATCTTACCTCACTAGTGCATCAAACTCAACGCCAAGTTTGCAGAGCGCATACGGGAATCTGATCAATTCTGCTTCGTCGCGAAACCGTTCCTGGCACTGACAGTTTTCAGACTTGCACCTAAGTCCCTTCCTCACCTCACGGCTCTCGAGCTAAATACTCTGAACCGGGAATTTTACACACGGCTTGCAGCACGGAGCGATATTGCAATCACGCAGACGGATTTGAATGGCGTGTTTTGTGTGAGAATGGCGATTGGCGCCGAGATGACAGTGGAAAGGGATATTGATAGGGCGTTGGATGTGATCGGGCAGGAAGGACGCGCTACCTTGAGGGAGTGGGAGAGAACGTAGGTACTAGTCTGTAACTAGTTTCATTTATCAATGCGTTGGTAAGGGATATTTCGATGCAAGCTATTCTGAGAACATGGGCTGATAACATATGCATAAGGCACTGATTTAAGATAAAACTCTGGATGTAGTTTTCTCTCGCACGATTCTCTGCGTCGTGTCTACTCAATCATATACATGTGGCGTATCGTCGCAGGTTCTCGCATGACAGCTGGTACCAGGTCTAGATTGACTATTATGAAATATTTAGTTGATGTTTTAAAATTAATTCTTAAAGAAACAATTATCGGGCTCGCAATAAACAGATTAAATTAAATTAAATTGCCTGCTTTCTGTTCGAGGGTTTGCCAAGGGCCAAGCACTGTGACAAGCTGATGAACTGTGATGCTCAGGACCAGGGTTAACCGGTTAACCTCATAACTTGTACCCGCTGCCAACAGTCTGCAAGCGGAGAAGTCCAATAATCCATTTTAGGAAAATAAATAACCGGCTTGGCTTCGGGTTAGGCACAAAAGTCGTCTGACCTTATGATGGAGACCATTCATGGTCTAAATACATAACGGTCGCATCTTTTCGTACAATTTCTTTTTGACCACCATGACCATGTCGGCGAACAGGCATACTCCCTTGAATATTTGCTCACAAGCTAACGACGAGCATTGCCAACTAAGCGTGCGCTTCGACGACCAATGCGTCCTCATCCCAAAGCATTCTCACCGTCACCGTCTACCAAGAATGGTGACAAAGTCTTATTCTCTGCCGTTATGGAAGAGGCGTCCGTCGAACTCAGGCGGGCCTTCGTCTTCTCCAGAAACAGACGCCTTCGTACCAGAAGACAGCCATGTTGTTCTGCGAGTTCCGATTCCTAGGTATGTCTACCAGTTGCTAGTGAACTAATTCACAACTGAACACCGAGATGCGTAACAGTTTCTCCAGTAAAGCGCAATCTCCTACTCGTACTCGTAATCTAGGACCTAAACCTCTCTCTCCTTGTCTGGTTCACCGTTCCCCATCTGCTATCTCACAGGCAGCCCCCGGGTCTCCCCAAAGTCCACAACGCCCAAGACGCACAGCGTCATTGTCGCCTTCTCGCTCAGATCTCATAACCATTCCGCTGCGGCCATGCTGTCCGGGGTGTGAAGCCGTGACGGAGGCGTCTTTGTCGCAGGGAGATACTTGGACTGAGCACTTCTCTCGGTCCGCACGCAGACGGCGCTCGCTCAGCGCAGACGAAGGACCACGGACCATTACAGTCGAAGGGAGCGTCGCTGCTGCATCCTTTGGGCTGCCTCGCTGTGCTCCGATTAGCGTAGATGAGGTTGATAAGCGTCGGCGGTCGAGCGACTCGGCGGTGACGGCGTCAACGTGGTTGAATATGGGGGGAGGGGATGTCATGGTCAATACGCAGCGCCCGTCATCGTCACCGCGCCCGCCGAACTTGGCTGTGCCGTCTACTCCTCGGATACCGGAGGAAGATGATGCCGAGGACGAAGAAGACCAGCTCTTTCCTCTCCCGTCGCCTCGTCGGTCGCCTGCGACATCTCCCACACCCAGCCCATCTGCTTCTGTATCATGCATCGGGATTTGTAGGCCGAGTGGGAGCCCAGTGCCGTCGAATTCTTCGTCGGTCAGCTTAGGCACAAAGATGAATAAAGATCCGTTCCTTGCACCACCTGTTTCAAGGTCGTCTTCGTCTCTTTCTCTTGCAAAGACTTTCGAGTTCGATGAAAATTCACCGCGTGCGCCATCGCCTCAAGTTCTTGCTACAGCTGCCTCGATCTCCACACGCCCTTTCAGTCGCTCCCCGTCGCCGCAGACCTCATGCGCTCCCTCCATTTCAATGTCCTCTTCTACTTGGACAGAGGAGCTTGGTGCTGGTGCAAATAAAGAGCAGACTCCACTCACTGTTCCATCCCCTACCTCGTCCCTGTCAACTTCTTTCCATCGATCACGTAATTCCACACAGTCGCTTGTTCATGCCCTGCCATCGACCTCACCGAACCTCTCAACTTCCCTGCATAAAAAACGTCATGGCTCATTGACGTTGGCTCGCCCCCGGCATATTATTGCTGATGTCCTTCGCGGGGTGGGTGCAGTCGGAAGTGGGACTGGTGGTGTCGGGGTTCGCGTATAGACTAACGTTCCTTTCCGTTTGCCAACCAAATAGTCGTCGAGCTTTATGGACGTTCCCTTGTCTTCGCTGGTAAATTTTCATGCTAAGTCCTTAATTTTTGTCTGTTTTGATTCATAAGTTTCTCGTCCATTTTGGAACATGTTACGAACCACCATCAGAACTGGCATGCATATACTGTCCCTTCCTCCATTTCGCACTCTATTGTATCATAAACCCGAGTTATCTTCCTTCGTGTGTTTAGGTATTTATTTACCTACCCCTGGTCGTGTCTCGCTCACGCGTTCTGACAGTGTATTTATCCACACCCGATTATATGATACTGCTATGTTAATGCAGCAAATTTACTGCTGTTTGTCAAATGGGTGAAGATCGTTTCAGGGCAATCATTTGCGGCCTTCCTGCTTGCATCACAGGGAGGTACATCCATCTGGTGACCTGTGGGTGAAGCGACCGTACGCATTTGGGCGTATTCAATTGTGACTGAGATAGGTATTTCCAGGGCTGGGGTGATTAGCAGATGGGGTTCCTGAGCCTGTGCTGAGGGGTTGATACATACATGATCCGTACTGTACCTTGAGGACTGGTCCTTTGCCCACCACATTTTGAAATGAAGTCCATTTCATTCTTCGAAAATTGTTGTAGACAGTAAATTCTGATGTACATGTAAATGTTTTTGAGAGGGTGTCGACGACGACGACGTAGCAAGATCATGCGTTATCTTTGACTCTTATGCTGTGTGATTGAGTTTTGAGTTCGGAAGCTAACAGCCATGTGCGACAAGCCCGCCAAGATAAGACCTGTATTCACAAATCTGTTGCAGGCGAAAACGATGTTCAAAGTATACACTTTTTTTATTTAATACCATGGCTCGTCGTGAACATCAATTCTATATTGTGAATGTCTATCATATGATATGAAAGAATGAAAAATATCAAAGGTGGGTAAAGGCCCAGGCCTATATACCATGCGTCCTTTCAAAAATCCCAGCGTGCCTGCGGCCCTGCGCTGAGTAGAGAAACGGTCAAAATGCCTCCAGAAGAACCTTGTGGACCAGGAGGCGCGTTGGGTCACAGTCACGGTGGTATTAATAATACGCGACGCGCCTGATTGTTGACTGCTAAATTTGTCTCTTACTCAGGCTGTCTTGACGTACGTTGTCCACAACTTTCTGTAAGTCTTTACCGCCAACGTGGACAATGTCAATGCGCAAGCTACCTTGTATGTATTTATCATGCTTTGTCTGGTGCTCCCCGTAATTGACCTTTACCAGTACGAGTGCTTTATACAGTCAACAGCTCTCCTCAATACATTCTTGCCCGGTCCCCATCTTCTGTCCAGGTTACTCTTTGTCCATCTCCATCTGTTGCAAATGCCCAGTACGGTTTGGCCCCGCTTAAAGCATGCCTCAATGCTATCTGCAACTCAAGGTACGTATTCTCGTACGACTTTCATTCATGGACCCACCGCTTGGCAGCCCAGAGCTTCTCCTGGATAATTCTAGGGACTTTTCTATCTATGTGCTGGACCCATTGGAGTCCCAAACTATGCCAGCCCCTGTAAACTTTTCCCAATCGAACGCGCCGTCTGCTTCAGTGCCCCAAGCAGCCCAACCACGAGGAGTGGCAGTTGCACTAGGGCTGATGTCGTGGGCGCTTACAGCGGACGAATCAGACAGCGTGACAGTGACTGGTACAGTCACAACGCTTGGCACGGGCCTTGATGCCCTCGAAGTGGTCTTTGCTCTCCGAGAGGTGATTATTCACAGCTTTCGTTGCGTCTGATTCTGATCAATAGTGCTATCAGACTAAACACATCCAGAAATCCCACCTCTCTGATGCTCTGAAATCTTGGAGCCAGCCACCCAAGGCATTACATCCCAATAAATTAATTGCATCTCCCGAACCCACTAATTCAGAAGCCCCACCCTCGTCACAAGAACGAGGCGAACTTCTTACCAGATCCGCCGATTTTCCCGAGGTTTACATCGGACCTCCTAAGCGCGGTCGGGGCCGCCCTGAGGGGACGAAGAAGAAGTCAAAGCAATCAAAGTCACAAAAACCTCATGTGTGGCCAGCAGCACCGCCGTTTATATGTGCCCCGCTTGTACGACCACAGCAAGAGCCAGACGTAGCCCCTGAAAATACGCCCACTTCTTTGCTTACATTACTATCTGCCCTGTCTTCTGGGAGAGACAATACAGCGCTTCTGGCTGCTCTTTCGACGGTAGATTCGACACCGTCGGGATCAGAGCCAAGCCCAGCGCTACTAAATGCATTAAGGGATTTACTGGCAGCGCAAGCTCAGAATCAGCAGCAGCCGTCGCACGCGCTGCAACCTGTCTCGCGGAACAATCAAGACGATGATATTGTTATATTGGAAAAGGAGCACGTGGATCCAACTGCATTTCGACGACGGGTAGAAAGGGAAGACTCTAGCAATTTAGCCACAACCACTGCAGATGAGTCGGAAACAACCCCTCTGCGCCAGCGTCGTGCCCACATTCCATCAGGCGGGAAAGAGAATACACATTCATCCCCAGTGACCCGTAAGCGCAGGCTCAGTGATTTTATGGCGGAACAGGAAAATAATAAAGCGCGGATAAAGCGCACACACGCTCGGTCAGAATCCGAGCGAACATCGGGCTCCTTTGAAGTGCCTCAACCGACAATTCCTCCAGGTCATCACCGCACCGTTCGCTCAGATTTTGACACAAGTGTATCGTCTGTAATGACCACCAGCTCTTCGCTTTTCCGTCCAAGGTCATCTCCTTCCAGGCCTATGTGCCGCTCTGTATTTAAATCCCGGTCCTCCCTTTCCATGCCACATTCAGCACAAGCACCTGTAAAGCCGGTCAAGAATTTCGTTGTGCCAGAGTGGGCACGTACAAGCACCGCTACCCGGCCAAAGCTCTCGAAGGAGGCTGAAGAACGTATCGCATTCATGGAACTGGAGAAGAAGGAGAGACGCGCTGGACGGCGAACGCAGAAACCAGGATGTTCGCAACAGGGCGCCAGAGCGCCAGCCGACCTGGCTTCGGAGGATGGATACATCTCTAGTGCGATGGTACACGCACCTGTCAAAGAGGCGACCATGCCGCGTCTGCAGAGTGCTTCTTCACACTCCTTGCCTGTCTTTGCATCTGACGTATCTATATCATCCCCCCTCTCGCCTTCCTCCCCGGTGTCAGAGACACCTCCGGTGCCCAGCACACCTCCGCGGAAAACATCAATTTTGCGTGCTACACCACGAAGCCTTGGATCTGACGATGCTTCACCACTGTTCAGCCCAACTCCCAAACTATTTTGGAGTAGCACTGGAAAGACACCGCTCTTTTCCTCCCATCCTCGCACACCTTCACGCATGGGCAAGAAGCCTGTCTTTTCTCCTATCCACCTCCGCACACCATCTACGAAGATATCCCCCCTACGACTCGGACCCAGACCGCGCTCATCCATTGAATGGGCCAACAAGTCAGTCGAACAACCCGTCGACCGCGAAGAAGAAGACCTGCTCGGCAAAGAACTTGACGATGCCCTTCAAGGGCTGGATGTCCCAGCGGTCAAGCAGCAGGACACGACAGATGCCATCGAGACTGGCGAAGACAACATAACATTGCCTCTATCTCCCCTTCCTCCTTCTTCCCCACTCCCGCCTACAAGTCCTTTCCTACTCCCTTCCATGGACGATCCAATGGAGGAATTCGTCGACAGCGACGCTTTTTTCAGCGACTCGGATGGAGTACTAGGGGACGCAAGCGAGTTCCCGCCGTCTTCAATCTCGGATTGGTTTTCCTCGGATGATGATGGTGGAGCGGACATGGGCGAGTTACTGAACTTAGACGGGTCTTCGGGGGTGGATTTTGAAGGTTCTTTTTCACCGAATGCGTTCGCTGATATGGACTTTACGGAGTTTTGGGAGTCGCTTAAGCCTCTTCTTCAGGCAAGCACAGGCGGAGAGGGGGAAACAGCTGTCAACACGGACTCTGGAGCCACAATGGGTGGTGTCGATATGGACTCTGGAAAGCTTGCTCAGGATGTACAGGTACTTTTTAGTGGATGCCTGATGTGACATCATGGACGCGGACGACATTATCAGACGACAGTTCAAGCAGAAACACATCTACGAAATTACGCCTTTGGCACGCAAACGCTTAGATATAATCAACTCGGCGAGACAAACATCAATATATATATCAAATAAAAATGCGTGCTTGCAATATGTCGCGAAGTATGTGAGATGCTAACACGTATTGACATTGTGAGCTCGTCGTGTCACTTCAGAATCATTGGTCATGCAATGCTTCAAATTGTATTCAAAGATCAGACAGTCAAGTCCAATGACCTACGTATCTCTAAAGTGGGTTATGGGACGATCATCGCACCTTCTGCGCATCGAGAATTGCTTCCATCCATGGCATTATACTCGATTTCGCCTTACTACGATTTGCAAAGAGAGCGTGAGATGCAGAATTCGAGTTGTACCGATGAGTATAGGTCAATAGCTCTGCCATATTGCTCGCAGTGAAGGTGACATCCCATTGGCAGCACAGAGTGTGCTACATTCTTGTTTGAAAGCTGAATGAAACGTAGGTGAGAAAAAAGGTCTCTATGACATTACGGACTCCAGACCTGCCGTTGGACAAGTCATAGCATTGATATTGGTATTTCAATCACTCGTTCGTCACGTAGCATCGTATGATATTACAGAATCTCGAGGTCTACCTATAGCAGTGTACCACATCATCTCTGGTGAGCAGCAAGCTGCAAAGACTTGCAATCCCAGCCGAAGAACTGGACAAGGTCCTAGGTTATGAAAAGCATTGTGTATGCATCATCTTGACGCACCATGGTCAAGTCCTCCTACGCCAAATGAATGATTTTCGACGTGAAAGCGGTAGTGAAGTGGTCAAAATTTTCCGAGTCTTATCATAAGACTCATATCGTGCATCATCCAAGGCTTTGGTTCCGATATGAACACGTAGATGGCTAATATGCGAGTGACAAGTATCAGTTTTGATGACCGAGCATCACCGCATGATACTTACTTCCACGACACGATACTCCAGAGGAACGGCATTCAGATGAAATGCCAGGAATGAGCAGCATTTCTTCTTCATGTTAATCTGCGCCGAAGACCGCGATGACCTGAAACACGCAATGAAGTAGAGAATATGCAAGACAAATTTAACGTGCCTTTGTCAAGAAAAGAAACTGGCTTGTTTTTGAATCTTGGTTTGTGAACATGGATGCGACATCGAGTGCTATCCTTGCCTCCTGGATGTGGTCTTGTCCACAGAGGGCGATACCTTTAGATATATAACCTGTCAATGAGGGCTGAATGCTGATGGACTATGTCATGAATGAAGATTAGCTTTTTTGTAAGAGATCAATGATGAATTGGGATAATTCACCTTGATTGCATCCTCCCAGGTGTATTTTCGGGCCATAATGAATGAGCAATGAGTATACGAAGTAGAGTCGTTAGCGTTGATGTGGATGTCTTGAGCGAGCAATTCTTCGGTAGTATACAAGTCGCCAGTTACACATACATTGCGGGCTGCTGTGATCACCATGATCTGCATGAAAGATGATTGAATTGTGTCTAGGATGGAAATTCAAATATTCACGCGTCGCCGAGTATTTCCCACCCTGAAATCTTTTCATCTAGGCCTCCGCTAAGGACCTGGACGTGCTTGCCGTCCACAGAAAACGTGACATGTTCCAGGATGGATGAATGCTGGAAGATGGCGCTAGTTCGTCGATCTGAAAGCCGCCAGAGACGGACATGCTTGTCGTCGGATGCGAAATTGATGAGGGCGCCAGCAGGATGTATGGCAATGGTGTTGTGTTACAGTGGCCTTGGTAGGGATGAACAACCTGCTGCCAGGTTCTTCCCCCTCCTGTATGTGAATACTGCATGCTGAAGGAAGGTGTATGCCATCGAGCGTCCATATGCACGAGTGAGAAGTTAGCCTTGGATTATCTCTACGGCCACGCTAACCTACCTCATTTTTATAGACACCTAAGACATCATAACCACTTCCTCGCCTCTGCACTGTGTACATGCATCCAACTCTCATCTCTACGGCTTCCATAACATTGTATCCTTTCACGTTATATTGCGATGTGCAGTTGCTACATCCAGGTCCTCCAACATTTCATCCTAGACGGCCTCGTGAGTGCTGTTCCTTATTGTGTCAAGCAGTCGGCCATTCCAGGCTCCAGCACATCACACTTGGCCCCCCATCTGAACGCAGACATATAAGGATCACTTCTTCACCCTGTCGACTCTCAAGATCTGTGTGCGCCAGAAACAGCCAAAATTCCCTCTTCTTCGACCTCAATAATTCTGCGGCGACAGCGTCCCCGCTTCACGTCCATGTTTTATGTCAACACTTGTGCTATCATCGTGTTCACAACCCTGCTTCCAGTGGCGTGCTAATAATTTTCCAGCTTTGTCAGCTCTAGGTTCAACTTCCTCGTTCGTCAATCCCCTGGAATACATCCTCACTAGAGTCTTGTACTATGGAACTAGTGGTACAACACAGTTGTTGATATTACTACCTTCGGCAAGCTCTTACCGCAGCTGAAGTTATGTGTTCTATATCTCGAACGTCTGTCACCACGTGTGTTTGTGAGCACTATCTATCATGGAATGCATACTCCCTGTGACTGAACCACCGAGAGACAGACACCCATTCTTTTACCTAATTAACCGATTGGCGGGCAGTGACAACAGAAAAACTGTATTCGCCGGTAGCAACAAATTGGAAAATGCTCGTTAAAACTTGACACCAAACGCAGTTCATCGATCGCAAAATTCTTGCCTCGTACCAGACTCGGAGCTCAGCGCTCAGCAGTTTAGGTCCATTGCCTCCAATTCCAAACAATTCTTTTCGCAGTTCACTTTATGCCACCACCTCCAATAGTTCTCAAGCACTATTTGAAAATTTGTCCTCAACCTCCGCATAGATCCAATGGACAACTGTGCAATGCGCTTTCGCAACTTTGATGTCAGCCTGATGTGCAAACTGTAGGATCCGGCCGCCTTCACATGTACCCCACACTTGCCGTAATGCCATAAGCGCCTTATCCTAGTTCTTTCGAGGTGCCTCCTGCGCCCGCTATCACTCAGTCATTCTGATAGGTCCGACATCACTTGTTCGAGTCCCAGGGGCTACGCACAACACAATGAACTTGCGACTGAATTCAGCCGAGCAGCTGACAGGGACATACCAGATGTGCCCTGGATCAGAATTTTCATTTCCCAGACGTTCTTGATGACAGAATCCATTACATCGAATTCATGAACTTCCGACAGAAGTTGGCTGAGCGGCTGACAGGACCCAGTCTGTGACGGTCTGACAGATTTGCCATCATGGGCCAATATCAGAATGTTTCGGCTTAAATTTTGGCTGAAATCTAAAGTTCAGGTTGGCTTACGACAACCTGTCAAAACACATGAACACCGAGGGCAAGGAAGGAGATATTGTGCAGCCTGGGGAGCATCGCAGTGTTTATGGTTAGCCTGGTCCAGTTTAGGTTCACTGTGAGCTTTCAAGGCTAGCTGGAGTGCAGACTCGGAGGGTGGCGATGCGATGCGACCAAGCGATGGGTAGCTGATGCGGAGGCTGTATAGGTCCTATGATAATATTAATGTACTTCTCTAGGAAGGATCAAAGGAAGCTGCCGGGAACCAAGTCGCGTTCGGTGCTGTATGCTTTGTAAGCTTCTTGCTGTGATCATCCAAACTGTAGCTTCGAGCTCGTCCTCGTCATTGCAGTAAGTGGTTGCGCAACTTATAGCTCAACTTAACGAAGTCCATTAATGCAGCTCGTCTCAACCAATATGTCTAGCATCAGCGCTCAGCACTCAGCTACCGCGGTCGCGAGCCATCGCTCTTTTGCTTGCAGTTTTTCAAGTAATTTTTGATTTCTTGATGTAGTACTTGTTCGGCCCTTCATGCACTGCAAGAACTTCGAAGGTCCGATGGATATGATTCACGCCTGACACCTATAGCCCGCCTCCCGATCAAAGAGCCAGAAGAAATTGACACAACAAGAACCGCCGCGCTGCCGCTAGTCCCTGTCTTTCATCTCCGTTGGCCCCTGTCCTGTCATATTTTCTTATTCAATTGAATCCAAGCTGTGAAAACAACAGCGCCGAGGCGGGGACCTTCTATCATTACTGGTATTGGGAAAGAATGGTACGCAAATTCACCGAATTAGTATTGTCGCGCGCAGTTTTATCACCTAGATTTGTAGCTCCTATCACCATTATGTGTGTGTTTTCGCCACTTCATCTTGGCCTCATCTGTCAAAAACATCCGAGGATGCTCAGTATAAAAGCCCAGCGTTCTCTGATATTTCCTTTGTCAATTCCTCTTCCCATTGTCAAATCATCATCGTACTAGCGATTTACATCTTATACAATGCCTTTCCCCAGCGATGGAGTGTATTTTGTCAGAAACATTGGCAGAGACCTCATGCTCGATCTCACGGGCAACAACACCACTGAAGGGAACCAGATTCAAGGCTACGCTAAAAATGGCACCGTGGCTCAGCAGGTATCTATACGCGTTCGAACCCATTTTGTGACCTATTCTCATGGCACCATCATAGTGGATGATCAAGAGACAGAACGAGCCAGGGTCCCCCAACAAAACTGTTAGCATTCAGTCCAATAACAACGGTAACAATGGAAATGGATGCTTTGCTACTGCGAGCGAGGTACGCTGGATCGGCATTCATTTATTCATTTTGTTGGCTGACGCAGGCGTGTGCAGGATTCGGATGTACCAGTCGTGTACACTAGGCAGGCGTTCATCGTCGATCTCGTTGGACGCATGGACAATACTTATACGTGAGAATCCGATCAAGTGCCCTGCAACCTAGCTATATCTGCTAATTTGACGACTTGCATGTACAGCATTAGCTTCACTCTTGGGAATGAGAACCTGGTGTTATCTATTCCAAGTGCGAAAAATAGTGCAGTAAGTCGGTGGATAATTTTCATAGCCTTTTTCTCATAACGTTCACAAGGTGAAACTCGAGAATCACGTCGCAGGAACTGCCCGCCAGCAGTGGGAATTTACTCGTGTTTCTGACCTCCAACCAATTACCTAGTTGTCGCCATTAGGTATCACCGTGACCTTGCAGAGGTGTTCAAGGTTGAGCGTCGAGTTATTGAAAGTGTTGTCGTATATGTGTACCTATGCCTTGTTGTATCTGCTTCTGTAGTGTATGTGTACGTTGATGAATTGATCTTGTCTGGCTCTCTTAGGGGGATTGAGTAGAAGATGACTATCGGTACCAGCACTGAATCGTTCGAGGAGGATACGCAGATCAAGCGCAGATCTCGCAAACAAGCAATGTGCAAGATGAGCTTCGCCCATCATTGTTACTACATGTATGTCTTACTCATATTCGATACGCTAGAATGTATATTTGGCCATCTAAGCCCCATGATCTGAGCTCAGGTTCCTGATTACCTCGATAGCTCAAATACGAACAACATAAAAACCGAGTAATCAATGCCGTGATCACGAACTGTCCGGCAGGAATAACCAGTGAATGTAGATTGTGTAAGAGATGATAAAGGCCCAGTACTGAATGCACGAACACACGCCGTCTGCGTTCTCTCCAGATGCAACCCACGAGCCGAATACTTCGCACACCACGATACCGCGCCAATCGTGACAACAGTCTAGCACCCATCATCGTACTACAAGGCCGCGGAGACACCCACATTGACCGACATGTTGGAATGCTGCCAGAGATGTTAGTGACACCCTGCAGTATACCTGATGATGTCCCATGACTCGTCAGCGAAAGGGCAATACAGCTGTGAGGTGTTGCGGCTGCTGATGTGATTGATCATGGCTAGAAAAAGGAAGCTTGCGATAGAATAATTGATGCATCCGAAGTAGCGACAGGGTCCTGTCTTGAAAATCCAGAAGTTGGAGTCGAGTGAACAGTGAGGCAAGAATTGTAGTGGGAATTTTGCAACATTCTCGAATGACATCACTACATTGAAAATGTGCCAGGTACTCCTCCGGTTGATCGCGGATCACTGGTAGTGAGACTGGGCTGCAGGAAGTCCAATCGTCCACAGAGGGCACTCAGCTTCAAGTTAGCGGCTGGAGTCAGACTATCGAGTGCGAAACTAGCCTGCCAGTGTATCGACCATGCCGCTTAATGGTATGATGCTTCCTATGTGTACCAGGTACCGGTCCAGTCTGCGTTCGCGAGTCATTTGTTATATCCTGCATTTTCCTGATAGGCCCTTGTTTCAGAAAAAGACCAAGACTTTTTAACGAAGACTCAAGCTTGCGAGAGTAGTACTTGCCAAATGACTTTGGCGGCTTTCAAATCATGTGATTGATCGATTCGAGCCTCATATGATTCGAGCCCTTTGTTCCTCACCTGCTCGCAAATTCTTCTTGCAGGGCGCTTCGACTTGGTTATCACCACAGCCAGCAGCAGCTATGTCTAGCGGAAACATCTCAGCTGACCACGATACCCTCCTTAAACTTCTAACTCTCCCTTTAACGAAGAAACGTCGCATTTCCGAGTCCGTACGAGAGCTTCAAGGCCCTCTAGAATCTGAAAGTGCCCCAGGAAAATGCCTTTTCCCAACACTTCCGCTCGAGCTCCTTGCAGAAATTTTGATCCAAACTGATTCTCCTCGCGATGTTTTATCTGTCGCTCGCACATCCAAGCTTTTATGCTCGACACTTGTCTGCAATCCCGCTGCCGACTTCATCTGGCGCACCATTCGCAAGAATTGCTTGCCTTATCCACTGCCTGATCCCACACCTAACTTTAGCGAGGCGGCATATGCCGCGTTCGTGTACGATGGAGGGCCTTGTGATGTGAGCAAGAATCCCTTCTCCTGAGCGGAAATAATATGGACTGACAGTGATGTGATCGGTTTATGCAGGTGTGTAAGAGAGACACAAAAGAATTTTATGCGAGCTTTGCTACACGAATTCGTTTGTGTCGTGATGTGAGTAATAATTTTCCAGCTTCTTGTAACGTGTGCTGAGCTCGATAAATAGTCACGTTGCAAGACGAACATCAGGTGGAGGATGTCTCTACCGAACGCATGAATTTGATTATTAATTACCTCATTGCAGGAATCATCTTACGGATGTTACCACTATTTTCAAAGGTCATGCACGCGACGAGATATGGATTCCCTACGTGGAGTCCACTTGTTGCTTTGGTAACTAGATTCCTGTTTCCGAACACCCTCATATTTAATCACAACTTTTCAGATCCAAGCCTCGACAATGCATGTATGATTTTTCTTCGCATGTTCCCTGAGTCTTTGGCTCAATCGAAGTTGCAGGGCCCGAGAATCCCACCATATTGATGAAGAAGTCCGAGTGGGAGCGTTTTCGGGCCGATTATGCAGCCTTCTCAGCTTTATCTCCACCTCCGTCTGAGGCGCTGCGGAAGGTTGGATGAGGATACCTTTGCATATTCAGGAATTATCTGACATGATCATTCAGGCATGCACCGATCAAATTGCGAAATTTCCGAAGGTCATGGAAGTATGTATTTTGTCTCAAGAGTCTGAGCCAAAGTGACCAGTAGTTCAGTTTGCAGTTGCGCTACAGAAGTGGAAGTGCACCTATGTCACCATGCACCGCACCATCAAAAGCAAAAACGAAAAGTGGCAAGTGGGACTAAACTGACTATCAGAACAGAAGACTAACAGGAGTGTAGGGCGAAGGCACTTGCTGCCCGGGAAGGCTGGAATGAACATGATTTGCTCAACTCTCAATCCTATGGTTCATTGCACAGGCACAAGAATTACGTGTTGGAAGAAGTCACACTACGTGGTATGCGAATGCGGTCAGGTTCATATGGATCAATCACCGTCTTACTTAGTGCCGTCATTTCAGATTTCCTTCCAATGAAGCCCCTTATCGAAGCCCAACTTCTGAGAATGCAAACACACCGTCAAAATCAAGAAAACGAAGCATCTTACCGTCAGCGTCGCGACGACGTCAAACAATACTACGATCGCCTACGGTCCGCTGGAACAGTTGTCCCAACGCTTCATGAGTTCCGAAAACTTTCGGTTATGACGACCATGCAAGGGAGCGTAACGGGTTCAAGGCCCAATTCCAGTGGCCTCGCAAAAGATATGAAGAACTCGGCCCTCATTGCAGAGCTCGTCGCAGCTGATTTGAGGACATGGATGGCGTCTGCACGGGAAAAACTGTCTGAATTACTTGGGTTCCCTAAGTGGAGGAGTGCGAGCAAGACGAAGCTGCATCCACTAGATAGGATCACTGCGCGGTTTAGATGCCAGGGATGTGGAAAGGTCGCAAAGCGGTATGAGACAGAACGATGTCTCGATTTTGCAGGTGTCTGCGCACATGAATGTCCCAGTAATGATAAGAAAGACAGGAAACCAGTGGATTGGAGTGTCGATCGCTTCATAAAAGATGAGAAGGTTCGTTGTTTGATATCCTCCCGAAAAAAAATCAGCTCAAGTATACTGTCTTCTTATGTCCATTACATCCACAGGCGTCAAATGCAGTTGCACGCCTTCTGACGCTCATCGGAATCACCGACGAGGATGCGAACGCATGCAATACCGTCAAGATGCTTGGAGCACACATTCGGTGTCTTTCTTGCGAACATGCATTCATTGTCATGGACTTCTCCACCCTCGTCAGTCACTCCTCTTCATTTCCATTTGTTTGTCAAGGGAAGCTCACCGCCGCTACACATAGATTGGTCACGCCCACCGCCATGATAACATGCAGATGACTATAGTATCCAAGGGAGAAGGGCCAGAGCATGCCTTTGAGGCGGGGTTGTCTGCGAAACTTTTGGATATGGGTTTCACGTCACAGAAGTTGAGGAGCGAGGCGAATTATCGGTGCCGTCATTGCGTTCCAACCAGCAAATCAGCAGAAGCTGGCATGGATGGGCAGGGGCAGGTCTCTACTGGGGAATCTATTGCGAAGGAGTCACACACGGAGGGGTTCCAAACGGAGAATCAGAAGAGACGCCATAGAAACAAGAAGAGCAAGCTCAGGTCAATGGATTTCAATGCGCTTCGCTCGCATCTGAAGGAATTGTTAGTGGTTTCGTGCAGGACTCTCGTAATATGCTGATCTCACTTTTTGCAGACACAGAGTAGAGATGGTGAGCGACGAGGATTTCTTCGTACAAACTCCGGCAAAGTAGCAGAGCTAAGGAACTCAGACGAGAGGGACGATCTATATCGCATCTATTCATTTTTGCTTCAATTTATTTTATGTACTATTATGAATTAATTAGCTGAGTAGTCACTAACATTTACCGGATCAAAGGAGCGGCGTCTGTTACGGCATAAGCGATGCGGCCGCTCCTGCCTTCATCGAAATTTGATCGTGTTATCATACTCGTGTATCTGTTCTTGATATGAATGCAGAAGGCTTCAAATTCAATATGAATGAATTCGACAAAACTAGTAATACGAGGAGTTTGACATAGATGATCTCGTAACGATCCGGACAACAATAAGTTGTCGTTGCTCTTCACAGCTAGTACACGTTAAAATTGCATATGGCGCGGGCCCTGGTGTGCCTAAGATTTGAGTATGCGTTCAACTACTTCCTGTGCAGCCAGCACCAAACCGTCGCTGTATATGCGGCTCACGATCTGTAGTGACACAGGAGCCCCTTTGAATTTTGTTGCATCATCTGTATGCAAGGGTCAGCTAGTGTTATTCAATATGAGAAAGAGACTAACAAAGGGAGAGGTTGTACTCGTCTGCCGCGCTCATCGGGCTGGGTGGTTCCTGATATATGTCAATGACTGGGTCAGCAACGAAACCTGACGGGAAAGCCGTCCCAGGGTAGTCAAGCAAATTCCAGATGGCGGTGTAGCTAATGAGCTATTAGATGTTTTATGTAAAACGAAAAACCTTGACGCACCCCCAGTATTTTGCAGTATCATGACGACTAGCTGTACCTGGGAAGGGTGGACAAAGGACAACATCGACATTCTGGGACCACCAGTGATCAGAGTATTCCCTCCTGTATTTATCACGTTCATCGCGCAGCTGATCAAGGTCAGCGCCAGCGACAATGAGTAGCAAAATGCGATCTTGCCTTCCAAACTTCTGAGGCATCATGATTTCTCACGTGTGGTGGACTAATGACCCACTCTGTCAAGGGAAGCATCTCTTCTCCACTCTCCTTGAGAAGGCGTCGAACTGTGGCTCCTCCATCCTCATAGTAGAGCTTGCGCTAGGTGCAGTGTGAGTGACATCACTGCCATGCAGATCACCAGACTCACAACTATGCTGTATCCGCGATCGTGGTCATACGGAATGTAGTCCACCACCTCAACCTCTGACGAGGCTTCTAGCTTAGCCTTTGCCCACTTCAATGCTCGAATGGTTGGGGGATGGGGCATCACAACCCCGTCGTGCATCATGATTCCCACACGCAGTTTCTTCTTGGTCAGGTCTGGGACTTTCAGTGACACTGGCAACACATCTGGGTCCAGGAGAGCAGGATTGGCTCCAAGGACAGCTTCAAGGAAAAGTCGCATGTCTCGCGCTGAGCGACACATTGGACCTACAGAACTAAAGAATCCGTCCTGGCCAGGTTGACTGAATGATGTCAACATAATTCCATGACAGAGCTTGGTATACTCACTACCAGAGGACCCCATAGAGAGGCGTCGTCCGACAAGATGGACGGAACCCATATATACCACAATGGGCGGACGGGGCTCGAATGGATCCTCCGCCATCGCTTATTGGCAGTGCATCAACCTCTGGTGTGATGCGGAGGAACAGAGACTTACGTGCCCACACCTATGCAAGAGCCCTTCATAGCAACAAGGGCTGACTCGCCGCCAGAAGATCCTCCTGCAGTAAGATCCGTATTGTAGGGATTCAACTATGAGACTTGAGCCACAGACACGTGCTTTTTACTCGAAAGATAGCTTACTACTCGACCGTAGGTAGACTTGGACTCAAGGTGCATCAAAGTCTGCGGCTGATTTGTCTTGACATAGAAGACTACGACTTTGCTCGACCAACAAAATATAATTTCTAGCATAAATTACATACCTGCCCCTAGTGAACGCAAAATTCTTGTCATATCGCAGTCTTCTGTCGCAGTCTCGATATTCATGAGGAAGCCTGCAGACCCAACTGTTCCCTTGACAGGAAGCATGCCCTGACAGTGGTCATCTGAGGTAGATCATCGCGATTTGATTTCTCTGCACTTACTTTGATTGAAATTGGCAATCCATGCAATGGCCCAACGACTTTTCCTTCCTTTCGGAAGTACTCGTCCAGCTGCTGCGCCTGTTTGATGCCTTCATCGAGGAAGAAGTCGATGAGACAGGCTGTGAGCTGATGAGCAACAGCTGCGCGTTTTCCAAAGGCGGTGACAGCATCGACTGCAGTCAGCTCGCCTACGGCAATTTTTTGGCACACGGCAGTTGCATCCAGCTCGGTGATAGCCAGCTCTTTGTGGGTGAGAAAGCCACAAGTCTCAGGAATGCGAGTGACATCGAGAGGTGGGTCATCGAGAATCGCTCCTGGGAGTCTGAGACTCAGCGGAATCTTGGCTTCAAGTTGTTCCTGAAAAATGCGAGCTTTTGCCTCGTACGATGCATCACCGCCTACGCCTTTTATTTTCTCTTTGAATGAAAGTGTAGTCATTGTGAGGAAGAAGATAGTGCAGGTATGATTCAGGCTTGATTGTGATATATGTATGATCTCGTATCTGAGAGAAACTGTCAGATGCCTATCTTTCTATGTGGGCGGATGACATGTCTCGTGCCCGCAGCGATAACAAAATGAAGCCCAGAGAACTAAGAACGGTAAACTTGTGATCAGCTGTATTAAACGATAACAGGGAGCACGGCACTAACGGGATATTATAATTAGAGTGTAAAGCCCTTCGATAGCCTCCAACTTGGCGCGTGGTCACGGTGTCCGGACCAGGCTCATGCTACTAATTAGTAATAGACAGTGCACTTCGCGCGAAAACGATCTTGTGGATGGCTCTCGTGATATGAACTGGGCTAGACTTGGCTGATTCTTCCAGTACTAGGATGACATGATAAACGGAAATTTACCATGTCACATTGCTTGAAAGAAGAGTTAAAGCGGCGAGGGCCCGGGTCAATGCATACTAGTAGTATAAGCCACATTAAAGGCATATCGATTTCAGTCAGGTGAGATCCAGTCACATGAACAGCATTGATTACATAAGTCGTGGACCAACGGCTAGTGACTCCGGGATCTCCTGCACGCGACCCGCTGTTTTCTCTTTCTCTGGATCGAGGCAATTGTACGTCCACCATATCGTCGTCTACATCCCGCTGCAGCACACCCAAATTGTTCGTAATAAAACTTTTTATTTCAATTTGTGATGAAGTGCAGTTCGGTCATCGAAAAACTATGGTCATGGCTCGGGATGGGGTTCACCCGGGTATGGTTCAAATAGCTGCAATTATTCTAGAATCTACTGAGTACTAGATCTTCCAATGATCATAAATGAATCCTTGAAAGGGTATCTGAACAACTGAACTACAAGGAGCATATCATAATTAATGAAGATCCACGTCTCATAATACTGCCATCACACGTCAATGCATGGACCAGCCATCCATCCTAATCGCATCACACTGCACCTCCTTCAACTTATAACTTCATGAGCCCCTTCATCGCGTTTGCGACCGCAAAGCTCGACTTGGCCATGACCTGCCGCGATTCTTTCGTAACTTCTGGCAGCGTCTGTACCTCGGACAGCTTCCGTGCGTGCTCGCCTAGCTCCCGCAGCAGCTCTGCACCCTGCTGCGCAGATGCCGGTGGCAGGTTGTCGCTGCAAACGGCAACGATACTCGACACGATCGTGATGATCTGGGTTAGGTTTTCGTTTAATGTTGGCGGCGGTACAGGGCTGCGAACGCCGGAAAGGACGCTTTGGATCGCATAAACGATGGACTCGGTCTGCGCTTCGAGGTAGGGCTGGAGAGTGGTGTTTGTCAGTCGAAAAAAAAAGATCGGTCCGCTAGTAGAGCTGACCTTAAGCTCGGACCAAGCGTCCTCGCCGCCTTCAGGCGCTGCCGAATCGTCGCTAATTCCACCCAATGTGCTGGCGATAGGAGACTTGTCAAATATAGGCGGAGGAGAACTCGTAAGTGAACTAGATGGCTCAGACGGTGTTCGTCTGCTATGAGCCTCTGCAAAGCGCGATGCTGCGGTCGTAGGGGGCGATACAACATCTTCCGATCGTCTCGTGCTAAAGGTAGAACCCTTGCGTTCAAAGCTTGGTCTCACGTCTTCCGTCGAGCGCGCAGAAGATATATACGACAGCGAACCAGAGCTTGAGGAAGACATGAACTCCTCCTGCTCAGCCCGACTAGCCTTGCGGATGTAGATCATCTTCGCAATCTCTGTCAATGTTACGGAGACGTGGCTCGCGGCTGCGTCCAATAGGCTCACAGGAGACATGCCAGATGCAGTGGCATGTGTTTTGGATGCAGCTACAAGGTTGGTCAGTGTAGCCTCGGCGCGCTCACGCAGAGTGTGTAGGATATCGACGTCAACGTCCGCGCGAGATGGGCGTTGTTCGTATGCACGGACGTCATCGATAATGGCTGTGGTAGACGTGACCACGGCTTTCATCGGCACTAGAACGCGTGTCGGAGCGCTAGAACGACCAGCTGTCAAAAGACTATCGATCGCAGAGACGAAGGCAGTGACATGAATATCGACGAGACCCCCGTCAGGACCCATTGGCAGTTGGTCTTCCATCTTGGGCGCCTGCAGGAAGAGCTGGGATGTTACTGGCCATAAAAATATCAGATAAGGGCCAACTGCATCAAAAGAATATCTTTGCGAACCTTTGACGCTTCTGAGCTCTGTTTTGGCTTGCTCATACTTGCGTTTGTATTCTTTGAGCTGGCTGTCCAGATCACGGATCACAGTGAGATCCGAATCCTTCGCAGTCATTAACTCGTCATTCCTGCGTGACAAATCGCTAAGTTCTGACATTAACCCTTCCATATCAGAACGTAGCTGCTCGATAATTTCGCTGTTGTCCTACAAAAAGACGTCAAATTTAGCACGTCAAATTCAAATTACTGACGTACTATCCCGAAGCCAGAACTCCGCTCTTCTTCGAGTCGTTCGCAGCGGTCACGGAGTATTTGTAGTTCTTCCTCGTCGGCCTGTACTCGTCTAGCTTCGCGTTCTTTCTCTCTTGCTCGGAGGTCCCGAATATCATCTAGCTCCCTTTGCAGAGCCTTCATAGTAGATCCGTGCTCTTCGGCACGCTGTATGCTCAATTTAGCGACTATCTGAGGAAAAGATCCTCAAGACCTGCCTTTCGAAAACCTTCCAGCTCCTCTTCCAAACAGCGTACCGTCTGCTGCGTGTCTAGCTCCCGTTGCTCAAGGTCGCGTTCCAGACTCGTGATACGACTCTGCATCGTAGCAATCTTGAACTCGTAATCTCGCCTCAAACGCTCTTGCTCATCGCCCGCTGCACTGGGCATCCTCGATCCGCCGATGGACCGATCGGATGTCACTGATGCACGCCCCAGAGAGACTTTATCATATTCGTCGCTCCTCACATCCCCCACATCGTCATCTTCCGTATGCACATTCCTCAGCCTAGCGCTGAGCCCGCTCAAACCACCCCGCTGGTCCCAGTGCTCGTGTTCACCGTCGGTGGTATCAAACTCCCTGACGCCGTCACGGGTATCGACGGCTGTTCCAGAGCTCTCCCGCATCTCCCGCCCATACGGCACTTCAATGTCTTCCTCTGCGATGGTGCTCTTATTTGGGATCACCATCCCGCTTGTTGCAGTTGCACTCTGCGCATTTGTGGTTCCCGTCGAGTCACTCCGAATACTTGCGGAGGCACTTGGTCTTCGGCCAAAATCTGCCCCTTGGTCTTGAGAGGCTTTTCGTCGGGATGTGTGGGTGTCCTCGCTCCGTCGAGTCTCCTCTTCGCGTGCGCTGCCCCGATCTTCAGATGATCGTCCTGTGCGGGTACTGGGTGGAAGTATGGGCATGTCAGGCCGTGGGGACGTGTGGAACTCGGGCGAGGGTACATCATCGTATGCTGATGCGGGAGACGCTACCCCTGTGTCCTCCACCTAGCACCAGACTTGGTATAGATTAAATAACGATTAACGATGAAACCACCTACCTCTGTAAATTCAGGATATCTTCTCATAATTTCAAAGTAAACATCGCTACATAGATCTTCAAACTTTGCGCTAGGCAGCGTTGCCAATTTTTGGCGTGCCTGATTCCGCTTGGGGTGAAATTCATCACGCACGGGAAGGAATGGGACTGGAGAAGCGGCTTGGTCAAATGATATGATATAGGTCAGGTGACTTACTGTCGTTCTCGGGAGTGTTCCTTCGACGTCGGACGAGTTCGTCGTACACGTCAGTTGACAGCTCATGGAACTGTTGTCTGGTAAGATTGGTCAATTTTGAGCGTGCGTGGGCCCGTGACTCCTGCGGAGCTAGGTACGTGGCATCAGCATAGAATTGAAATCCGCATAAAACACCAGACCGCACCTTTCACAAGATAGGACACTAGAAAACTAGCTAACTCGTCGAAATGCGTGCGTGCGACCACCCTAGAATTTACGGCTGGAACAGCCGGGACATTGCCTTTATCCTTGATCGGGCGATAGGACTCGGTGCGGTAATTGGAGATTCCGGAAAAAGTGGTAGGTGTCGGGGAGGGAGCACGTGAAGAGCGTAGCCGGTTCATGGTGACTCGTTGATGGTGGTGGTAATGGTGGTGGTCAGAGCCTCAGAAGCATACACCGTCAACACCTGTGCTGGGGTTGCCAGACGTGTTGGAAGTCATTCGCAATGCTCGAGCCTCATTGCATCTCGGCCCCACGTGATCGGCACAATGTGCGCGCTTACTATGCCTCTGGCAGCCTGTCTGAAAACATACTAGTTGACGTATATAAATGGGTGAAACAATATTGAGTGGTACAAATGCATTGCTTGTTTGCAAAATCTGCGCTTGATCTGCACATCCTCTTCGAACGATTCACTGCTGGCAACAATGCCAATGCCCATTAACACACGTACACATACATAATAGAAGAGACACAGCAAGATGTAGTAATAACACAGTGCCCAACCTTCAACTTGAACGCACCTCTGCGCCGGCAAGGCCACGGTAGTACCTACTAGTGGCAAAAACTATTTGGAGATCAGAAACCCGGGTGAATTTCCACTGTTGGCAGGAAGTTCCTGAGACGTGCGCGTGATTCTCGAGCCTGTTTCACCTAGTGAATGTTATGAGCGAAAGGCATTAATAAAAAAAATCCACCAACTTACTGTACTATTCAACGTACTTGAAATGGACAACACCAGGTTCGAGAGTGTAGCTAATACTGCACATGCGACTCATTAAAACTAAGTGTTGTCCAACAAGATCAACGTTTGCCTAGTGTGAACGACAGTTTAATGACTGGTTCATTCGAACACTGCCCACGTCTGCGTCAACCAACAAGCAAATGAATGAATGAATGAATGCCAATCTATCTTGCTGTCCTTCAGATCAAGCATGAGGTCTCTGCCAACGGTACATTCCATCGATGAAAAGGGGCATTGTATAATATGTATAGTAGGTCGATATTATGATGAATCGACGATGAAACAAAGAATTAACAAAGGAAAGGCTAGAGAGCGCTGGGCCTTGATACTGAGCAGCTTCGGCTGTTGTCCACAGGAGTCATAGGGCAACAAGAACACTAGGACTCTCATGAACTAGCGACATTGTCTAAGAAGTGAGTCGGTATTACAACAATATTACAAGGCGTCTGGTTGAACTTCCTTTTGGTAGAAGCACATCGTGCTTCGAAGAAGTCCTAGCTGGTTGAAGAACGCGTTGCAAAAAGATACCAGAAAACAGTGAAAATTTAGTTTTAAACATTATTGACACATCTGCACCCCCACAGAAGAGAACCTAGCATGTTTTCGTGAAGCTATCTGCTCAGGAGTTGCAGATTGAGCAAGCCGGACTGGTAGCGGAACGGAAGCAAAGCCCACATCAAGCTCCTTTGCTCGCTATAGATTTACACTTTCCTGCTCTTCACCCCTTTGTTAGCAGAATTCCTGCGACCGTCTCATGGAGAAGATGTTTCAGAAATTTTGAGCTGGTGATCTTTAGATAGAATGTCATAAGACATAGCACTCACGAGCATTGTGGTTGATGGCTCGCGTTGACAAGCCGTTCGGTCCATTTTTGCTAGCGTGTTGGAGAATACAAGAAGATTGCGTCGGACCATGACATCATTGCACAAGTCAAAGACATAACTTCCGTCGACACATGGATGTTGATGCCGTAGAAATACTATATGTTTGTGTCATCTCTGATGCGTGATTTCACCTGCTGCACGCGTGAGACCTGGAGAAATGGAGATTTCTTTCAAGTAGTTCCGAGCTTCTGGGGCTGCAAGTGACCTCCAGACGCACATCATACGAATGAAATGGCATTAGATAGTACGGGAAGAGCGGCAGTCGAATGGAGATATATAAATAAGTAAGGGAAACCTTGAAGAAAATCAAGGAGAAATGGCGATTAAGCTCTGAGCCTCATGGGTGAGAGGATTGTACGGCGCGAATTGCCAGCATCTTTCATGAGCAAAAGTCATACGAGAGTCAGCTAAGACAAGGGATAACGTACCTTGAATGATTGAGAATAAAGGTTGGAAACATCTCAAAACAACCTTTAGGAAGCTTGGGCCAATGGGCAGAGGTGGTACGATCATGGTGCGAGACGATGAAAGGAAGCAAGAAGGTCATGTCCGAGCGTTCACTGATACGACCGACGCTGGCTGTCATACCTTCAGTATTTAAATTACCAGAGAAAGAATATTTGCACCTGCGATCAATTCAAGAAGGTCCAAGTGGGATATGATCGAGCTGAGCAGTGAGGGGGTAAGTGCCCTGATCTGTGCCTGCATGATGGCAACCAGTGCTGGCCCAAACGAGAGTCCCTCACGTAGTGCACTCGAACAAAATTTGGACTCATCCTGTTCACGAGTGATGAATTGCGAGCGAGATGGTAGGAAGATAGAGGTGCCTACCATAATCCATGTCGACACCAAACATAGTAATGAGACTACGGATTTTTTGATAGCCTTGGTGTCAGGGTTAACTTCGGTCAAGGAGACCTCTGCTAGCGCGTTTGCAGAGAAAAAAGTGGTATCCTCCTCGAGGTGCACATTCAATTGCGTGAGGAGCAAGCGCACATAGTCAAGGAAAGGCAGAAGAGTCGGGTGCCCGACGATGACGAGAGGCGCACATGCATGAACGCGATTCAGACCACGAATGAATGTGTTCTTCATTAATGCCATCAGATGAGGTAAAGCACAGCGTGAGTCAAGAGTTTCGAGATCGTCTGGGATAGAAGGGAGAACAGGAAGAGGATAGGTAAGTGCGGAGGACATGCTGGAGTAAGATGATACTGATGAGGATATCTGTCATCTTAGATGTCTTTTATATAGGCAGGGAGATGGGTGCATCATGTCGTGAACCGGAGTCCAACAAAGAGTCGCTCAACGCCACAAGTCATCAGGCATAACTAGGCTGACCGCGATGAAAGGCGTCTTTGTTCGGGTTGCAATGAGACTTTGTAGTTCCAAAAATCGATCTCGACTTATGTAGGTTGGAACATCATATGGTTGGCCGTTTTAATTTTGTTGGCCTACAATGTCGCTGTCCTACATCGACTCTGTCATAGGGAAGACGGACAGAAAGGCGCCGGGAGTGCTAAAGATATAATTTAAATTCGAGGATGTAGTGAACTCTGAGTCGATGAATGTTCCATCGGACGACGCAACCTGAGAGTGCAGGTAAACTGGTCAGTGCGAAAGTGGGGAAAGAATGTGGGATTGCGATAGCGCTTAGGTGAGTGGTACGTAGTTATTTGCAAATTAACAATTTGGACGACGTGTCACGGGCACGGCCAATTGCAAGGGGGAAATGAAATTTTTTTTTTTCCCTTACATAATTTTGCCGGCCCGCATGGTCAGAGGCGCTCACGTGATGGGAGCTGAGCACACCATCGCAAGCGTTTAGCACGCCATGACTTGTTCCATAGTATAAGTAAGATGAGCATTGAATTGAGACGTGACCTTCCCCGCCACCTCCATCATGGACATGGTCCACTCACTGTGCGCTCACCATCGGATACAGTTTTGACTCATCATCAACGTCTTTGCCTACCAAGTTGGGAAGTCTACCAAGCTATGATCCGTGACATTTAGTAGTGACTCACCAGCCCAAGAAGAGCTGTACGCTGACATGCCGTTCAAATTTCCATTGAAACACGTCAATAACCTCCCCCAATCATCGCAGACGATCTTATCGCACATATTTTCAACTTATCAATTAAACCAACAAGTAAGTAGCTTATCACGAGTCCAACTTACCTGTTTTTAGATTCCGCATGTTGTTGGTCCCGATATTATCCGACTACTGGTATCGTGTCAACGTCCTTGTGACCTCACCATCGGCTTCTCTTACGCCTTCGAGTTGCACTTGGTTTTATGCACTCGTTTCAGGTTACCATTTTCGCTTCTCGCATCAAATTCTAAGCCCTTTCTTCATGCGCCGCATCACACAAACGCCCCTTCTATACTGTATCCGGTGAATGTTGTCCTCGTGTCTCTCACATTGGCGAACTCAGCGGATGATCCCGTGGATTCCATTTACTCCAATTGATGTGGTGTCCACTCAGTGACGACCCCGGGTAGTAACTCATTACTCTGTTTGTACGTATATTCTGTGCATCCCTATAAAATCAATGTTTCACCTCTTGTGATCCTGCATTGAGTTCCGACCCCTTCAATATCATCGTCCTCCCCCAATATCTTGGGTGCGAACTCTTGTGCAGAATCGCCATGTTCTGCCACTCTGATTCCTCTCTCTCCAACTCCACATTGACCTCCAGGTCAAATACACCACTCTCCATATCTGACTTCCAGCTTGCCAAAGTTTTTCTCCTCTCCCCTGCCCTACTCGACACACAATTCTTGAGAGATTTCTCTAAGAACTTGGATAAGGGATCTGAGGACAGGATTGTGATTCCCATTAACCACTGCGATGCATTGACCAGTGACTGGATTCAAGAAGCCATCAAAACATTACCTTGTGTTGACCTTGAGGGAAAATGCTGGGAGAAGCACCTTGTTAATGGTATTGCACAAGTATAATCTCGTTTGTCAATAATACTGACTGATTGTAGAAAGCTTTTACTTCACTGAAACGCGCGAGGGCGTCGAATTTGAGGAATGGGTGAAAGTTTGCACGAGCAGTGGCAAATTAGCTGTAAGTTATAGCCTCTCAAAATTTGTGTGCTTTCTTTTGCATCTTCATATGGGAAGTCGACAACACTTTCATTTTTTACTTCGCTTAAATTTTCTCCTGCTTCTCATTACGTGCCGCTCATTCTCTTCATCTTAGACAAGCCTAGCACAAGCCTTGAATATCTTTGCCTCCGTTGGTCTCCGTCCGATCTTTGGACAATCTTCGCCATGTGGAAGGAGCACATTATATGTCTTGGAGCGCTCGTCTATATCCTTCCCGCCTCTTGATCGTACGAGTCCGTGGGGTGTCCCGACGAAAGAAGTATGTTGATCTTTTTCGTGGCTCTTATTTGGTGTTTGATTCATAACGTTGCAGGAATGGAAGGACGTATGGGCTGCCTGGGATCTTGTTACACTTGGCATGATCCCAAGCGTTATGTTACACCAGAAACCTATTGAACTGCGACACAAATGCTTGTTTTACATTGGGCACATACCTACGTGGGTTTTACATTGAGGTGCTTTCTCTGTCGTGCCTGAGTATCGAAACAGATTCCTCGACATGCTTATGGCCCGTGCTCTCAATCAGCCAAATTCTGAACCTTATTTCGCGCAGATCTTTGAGGTGCCTACCAGTTTTTAGTTCAAAGCATCGTTCCTGACTCCCCCTACTAGCGGGGTATTGACCCTCATGTCGATGATCCGGAACACTGTCATGTATGTATTTGCTTCCTTCGCTGTCTGGTTTCCTCTGATGTCATTTAAGAGACACTCTGAGGTTCCCACAAAGGACGAGGATTGGCCTACCCTTGGAACGATCCTTGCCTTCCGCGACCGTGTGCGTACGCGCCTTCTGGCGTTATACGACGATTTAGCATCTGGAAAGCGCAAAATCAACAGGAATATCGGCCGCATGCTTGCGATGACCCTTGAACATGAGGGTTGGCACATTGAGGTCAGTATAAAATTTCTTTATTTGTGCGATCGAGTCTGAAAAGCGTTTGATATGACATAGACACTTCTCTACATGCTCATCCAGCGTGCCGGAACAGGGACGCTCCCCCCACCAGGATTCGTCACCCCGCCATGGGAAGCGCTGTCTGCGCAATGGGACGCTTCCTGTACACCCCCTTCTTCATCGACTATCACCCTTGGCCCTGTCACCATCACGCTTGGGCACGACGACTGCGAGGGCAACGACTTTGATGAAGGCGTATGCGACCAGGTTGAGGGACACGAGTTTGGCTGGGACAATGAGAGCCCTTCACGACAGGTGCAGGTGGGGAAATTTCATGCTGAGTGGAGGCCAATCAGCAATAGAGAGTTCTATGCTTGGTGGGTGAACAGGAAGGAAATTGGTCTGCCACCCAGTTGGGTGGAAGGAGAGGAAGAAATTCAGGTTTGTTATCCAATTAGCGATGGATTGCGGGGACTGAGTAAAATTGTCAGGTCCGCACTCTCTATGGTCCTGTGCCATTGACCGTCGCGAAGCACTGGCCGGTGCTTACGAGTTACGATATGCTCAGTGAATATGCAAAGAGTAAAGGCGGGCGACTACCCACAGAACCGGAGCTAAGGCTCTTCTTCGATACGTATGAGGTTGGATTCGAAGGTGGGGCGAACGTAGGTATCAGAAACTGGCACCCCGTTCCGTAAGTCATTGTGCATTCTCCATTATCTAATCTCACACATCTGGTTATAAGAGCGACTACTGGCCTCGAGGCAAACGGCGGTCGTGGAAGCAATGGTGGCGTCTGGGAGTGGACTTCGACACTGCTCGATAGCCACGACGGATTATCGCCAACGAAGCACTTCCCAGGGTACTCCACAGATTTCTTCGATGGGAAGCATCATGTTGTTGTAAGTCTTGGCCGTCCATCATGTTGCTGTCAGCTGACACAATGGGTTATGCAGCTTGGAGCATCATACGCTACAATCCCGCGTCTTGCTGGACGGCGGACGATCAGGAACTTTTATCAACACAATTATACATACCCGTGGGTTGGTGGGCGGATAGTATATGATGCGTGATCAGGTTGTTTGTAGAGATTATTGTAAATAGTCCATGTATTATACTTGCTGATGTTTGATGTTATTTGCTGACCCGTTGACCCCTATATGTCAATGTTGCTCCTACGTCAAGACATCCCAACTACCTTTTAACAAAAACCATAATGGCAACCTGCAGTGGATGTACATGCGCTAGCGAATGCCCGTGAGTACTCACTTTTTTTGGTCGTTGTCTCACACTGAAAATTTCTTATAGAGCCTGTGGCCCCTCAGGGACCGGCTGTGCTTGCCCAAAGAACCAATGTAACTGCCAGACATGCGTCAACAGCGCACATTCAGAGAAGGTAAGGTCATGATAGGCTGATTTTTTAATAATACTAATTGCGACCCGGTGCAGTGCTCTTGCGCTGGCAAAGGGGAAAATTGTGAATGTTCTAAGCAGGGTCAAGTATGTACTTGTGAGTCGAAGTGAAGATTGAAATGAGTAGGATGGGCCGAAATCAGAGGCGATCATCCGATGAGGACGTTCAAAGTATTGTACTATGTATTGAGTTTTGTAATTCAGGTCGCCTCATTATAATAACAGAACGCACTGAACTCCAACTCGAACTCATGACCCCTGAGTACTGAGTCATGGACGTTGCTAGATCCTGCCCTTGGCCGGCAAAAAACATCATGCATCATGCGTTGCCCACAAAATATTCTCCACCTCTGAAACACTATCTGTCGCCCCTGCACAGCATGCCTCACGCCCATTGGGCCAGTTATCGACCGCAGTCACCGCAGGCTGCTGCTTTCGAGGACGCCAAAACATCGCGACTCCATGTTGAGTACTGGCATATCCATCTTCACACATCACCTGCCGAGCTGTATCTTGGTGCGTCAACCGAGCGCTGCAATATTTTCCCTCATAGGATCAGCACGTCTTCAGCGACAAGATCGTCGTGGAGTGGTATCTGGGTCAGCCCCATGGCAATGAAAAGCTTTTATAGAGGAATTTCAAGTTGTAGTTGTCACATCGCAAGAGAAAATAAAAGTACAGGAATAGTTGAGTGGTTTGTAGAATTACGGAAAAAATAGTATGTTACATTGGACATCAGGACCTAATTGTCCTCATCTTCCTCTTCCCAATCCACACTCTCCACTATTGCATCACCTTCGCTGTAGAGCTTGTCCAGTCCAGTCAACTTTTCAAGGAATCCGGGCTCGTTGAATGCCTTCAAGAGCATATCGAAGCCTTGTTCCTCGTAGGCTTTGAGAACCTGGTCCATTGATGAGCACAGAGATGTGGAGAATGGGTGATCGCGCTTACTGTCTCACTGCAACCCGTGCACTTGTCGTACGCTGCACCTGTGATCGGGAGGTTTCTGAACTGTGCCAAGAATCCACGCAATTGATGCGGGACAAGACCAAGAACACTGTCCGATGTGCTAGGGTCTGCAGCAGCACCATTGGCTTGAGGAGGGGGCGGTGGTGCATGAAGCCTGCGGACAATGTCAGGAACGAGGTCTTGATGTAAATTAGGACCTACCCATCAGGATGTTGTAGTAAAGAGACAAGGAGTTCGACCGCCGTAGAAGCTGCGATCGAGGCAAGGCCGGGTCTTGTCACGGTACACATTTGATCCAAAGTGCGATCCGTCAAGGACTATATAGGAAGATATGTGAGTGAATGTCGGTATGGAGAGTCGAAAGGAAATACATCAGCAGGAGCGACGATATCGTTGCAGTAATAGCAGCCAAGTCGATTGCCCGTCGTCAAAGACGCTCGAGCACCATGGCGCATCACAAGATACGTATCGAATCCAAGGGCAGCGTTAAGGATTATCTGCGCAAGGGCTCAGTACGAGCAATATGCATAGGATCTTGTGCCGTACCTTGCCCTTGGCAGCGCCCAAAACAGTGGGCAGCCAGCGGCTTTCTCTAGAATCCATCAAGAGGAATACAACATCGTGTTCGTCAAACAGCGTCTCTAGATGCCCGACGTTTTTCTTCGCTTGCTCAATGGACGCCGGAGGTATAGGGTGGCCTGGCATAGGTATCGACATATCATGACCAGTGGCATTCTAATTTACAAGTCATCAGAGATCGTTCAAGACGAGCGATACGGCACTTACAATACCAGGGAAGATTTTCGTCAGGCGCTGGGCGGCACAAGCCGCCTTGGGTTTACCGCCGTCGAGACAATCCTCGAATTCAAACAAGGGTTGGCGAACAGGATTCGAGAATGATACACGCGCAGAATCAACAAAAGTGATCGTACGAACCCCCCATCCCTAGTGGTAGAAATCAGTAATAACTGTGGGTTTGAATTCATGAGCACAAACCATGAGGGTACGTGCAACGTAGCAGCCAAGTGTCCCGGCGCCGAGAAGCAGGCATCTTGTTGATGCTATCTTCCCGAGGTCTAGTGAAGGTAAGATTCGCCAGCGCATCAACTTCAAGTTCAGGTCCACAGCTTGATCAGCGAGCCTAAAAGCCTATCAGCAGTATTCAATATGAGCCGCTAGATATCATGTACCTCTTCGGATCCATCATGGGTGCTAGATCAGCGACTCGAGCACTGAGCTTGTTGGTTGTCGGATGGCGCTCCCATCCTATGGAACTGGGTTTCGTGGTTGGATCTCCTTCTCCGATGGAGAGTACTCCAAACCGGCTCCTCCATGGTTTTCCAGCAATGGACTTCTCGTTATCTCTCCAGCAAAGAACTCGAACAGAAGACGTCTGCGATGGATATACCGCGCGAAGGAACGTGAGGAGATTCCGAAGAGGCCAACCTGGGTTTTCAGGAAGAGCAGATGGATCTACAAAGCCGATTATTCGCTGTGTAAGGGGAGTCAGGGTTGGCTCATAAGACGGAATGTATAAATCACGTTTGCAAGAGCAACACCAGCAAAGAACTCTTCATATTGTTCTATCGACCCTACTTCAGTTATACCGCCAATCTCCTTCACGAGAAAGAATGATTGAGTTGACTTGAGGAGCGAGTTGTAGATAGATTCCAACTAAGAGTGCCTGTGAGAATGTGGGAATGCTCCTCGAAGAAGGACATACCCCCTGGATCTCTTCATCCGCCGGCTTCCAGCCATTTTCTGAAATCTGCCAGGCTGGTTTGGACACGAACGCGGGGAACGCGAACCAGTAGAAGTACTGATACTTTTTCAGATCAGCGAATGTTATTAGTAAGAACTGTGTGAGGAGAGACGTGTCTTTGGTCGTTATGATGGTGTCCCAGATCTTATTGGGACAAATATTACCATCTACTGTCGGGCGCATCAAGTCATGATCGCACCTTGGAAACGACGTCATTAATGAGTGCAGCCTTATCTGCAGCCTTGAAGTCCTCGATAGTATTGAAGTTCTTGAAGATGCCAGTGGCTTGGACGGACATGGGCGGCAATCTGATATGGAGTGAGCATATTAGCTTCAACGTGTGTTCCATCGCAACATACTGAAGTGCCTTCTGGTAAGCGTCTTCCCCCACTATGAGGTTACATCCAAGAGCGATATCTTTTCCGGTTTCACGATCTCTGATCGATCGACCGACGGTGTATGATCCATTCACGGTAATAGCGTCTTCTGAGAGACGAAGGACATCTATTTTCATGCGAGTAAGCTCATGCCAAAAACCTGGCTGAACAAGGGACGAAAAGGGCGCGAACTGAACGACAGGCATGTCGTCGACTCGGATGGTGATGGTAGTTGCAACGAGGCTTAATGATGACTGACTTGGCTCGTGCCTCCATCCATGTTCGCAGGGACACAGGCCTACAAATGGCAAGCTCGGTCCACCAGCTAGCGCTAAAACGGTAAAACTTCACTGCTTGATCTCGAGCTCAATCAGCTCCCTCACTGGCCCAAGGGAACCGAAGAAACTACAGTATATAGAAATACTCATCTGCAGAAGAATCGACAGATCATGATTGTTATTAAAATGTTATATATTGAATCATTATGTACTGGTTATCAAGGTTTTGAGAGTAGCGTGGACGTTCACCTTTTCGCGTCGTGCTTGTCTTCGAGTTGATGAGTAGAAATATTGAAGAATGGCATAAAAACCATTAAGATGGTATAGAGTTGAGAGAAAATAATCGGACTGGAAACGATCAACGTACCCAAAGATTACTGTCTCCTAAGTCCTCAAATTGTACGACCGAGCAGCAGGCACGGCGCTGGGCGAACGTCAACATAAAATCAAGCATCCACAGGATAGAGGGAGAGATCAAAACATTGCCGCCTAAATCTTGTCTGTGCGCAAAGGAATGCAAGTATATCATTTGTCGATCTCGTCTAGCTAATGTCCATGGCATCACCGGTGGCGCCTACAAGCGTAATGTCTTCATTAACAATCAAATCTCTTATGTTTTCGCTCTTCCATGCCGTGGTCCCTCTTCTGAATGTGTAATGGCGTTCCTTCTCAACCCGCTCGTTGGGCTTGACAAAATTGCGAAGCATCTCCGTTTGCGTGGCGGTAATGATACACGCGTCAACATTGGACCCTGAGCCAAGGTCGTTGAAGATACCAGCTGAGACAGCAGCAGACACTAGGGCCAACGCGTCGTTGCGCTAGACGCGACCGGAATTGAACATCGGCCACATATGAGAACGGTGGAACGTACCTCCATATTTGGCTTCCAGCTGCTTTCAAAAACAGCCATGGCTGCCAAGCTTCCGGAGCCCATGGTCACGTAGGGCAACTTGTCTGTAGACCCATGTGGATGGATGGTGAAAAGATGTGGCCCAGTAGAGTCGACTCCGCCAAGGACAAGAGCAGCTCCGACATGGCCCTGGTATCTACACATCGCATAAATAATAAAATATTGAACAATGAAGACAGCTGGACTCACTGAAAAAGGTATTGTTTTAACATAGTCATCACAGTGACCACTCTTGGCTTTCTCCCAGTGGACAGAGCATGAAGCTCCATATTTGATGATATCGATGCGGTGGTAAACTCAGTGTCTGCAGCAGTACCTGCACCACAGCACCGGATCGATTCTGTTATGTAGTGGATCTAGGGATGCATTTTAGCTGAAGCAAAATGGTATGGATCTCCAAAAGCGAACCTTTTCACAGTTCTTGTCTGCAATTATTTCACCTTCTGTGGCACGCGTGTCGGCACCAAGAATAATGCCATCTTTGAAGAGACAGCCTACGATTGTAGTACCGGTGCTGGTAGCCTTTGGAAGGGGTATGCCCTTCTCCTGGAGGAAATGATTTCTATACGAATGCTCGTACAATAGCTATGGAAAACAATGAAATGTCTCGCTCACCTAACAGAGTTAGAAAAGTTGAATCCAGGAGAACTGAAGGCCGATTGTTGTAACATTGTGGAAGATTATCTTAAGCTAGTAGTAGACAGGCTTGCGCATTCGTGTTACGCGTCTGACTAGGACCCCTTGAACCTATTTCTATATGTGAAAGTAATTGGCACCGCTGGGCAGCCTTAGCTGCGGGGTCAGAGGTTCCACATCTTGAACCCTTCGTCTCTCTAGTTCCTGTATCATTATCACCATTTTCAAGTAAAGTAATGGACGGTTGGAACAAATTACAATCAAGTCTTTCTGGCCTGAACCTCGGGCAGTCCGCAAACAAGTTTGCAAAGGGCTTCAATTCCAGTGTCCAGGCAACCAGGGAGCGTTTAGGTCAAGTTGCCCCAGACGAAATTACGGAGTTACCTCAAGGTAAACCAGCTCTCTTGTAGTTTGGATGCTGAATCGTAATGTTCATTTCAGAGTACAAGGATTTGGAAGCTCGGGTAGACGCGTTGCGTCAGGCACACCTAGCACTTCTCAAGTTTGTCTACTTCGTTTGTGTATTGGCTCGGCCCTGATATCTCACCTCCATCAGAGTAACAAAGGCTTATGAGAACGAGTCGTATGACTATCCGACTCAAATTCAGGAGTCTATCACAGAACTCTCGACCACCATTGGCCATGGTATTACAAACTTCGCTGCTACAAACCTCAAGGGCACCAATCTTCCTACGCCGTCACTTGTCGCCCCGCAAGTTTCTCAACACAAGACTCTACCTCATGCTCTTTGTCGTGCTGCGACTAACGCTGCAGCTGCAGTGCAACGCACCCCTGGTGGCAATGAAGATAAACTCGGTAAAGCACTAACCGTGTACGCAGATGTTTTCGACAACATTGCGTCAGCTCGCATTGAGCAAGATGAATCGATTCAGACCCAATACCTCCGCCCGTGGCAGACGACGCTTTCAACGTCTATCAACGTCGCAATGAAAGCACGCCAAGCCGTTCGCGTCAGCAGACTTGAGTTGGATGCGGCTAAGCAGACGTCATTACTTTCACCAAGCTTTGGTCCTTCAAGTGCTCACATTTTTTACGTACAGTCTAAAAACTACGAGTCCCGTTAAGCAAGAGCAGGCAAGGCTTGACGTTGAGAACGCAGAGGATGATCTCGTGCAGAAGACTGAGGTTGCCATCACCCTCATGAAGACAGTTCTTGAAAACGTATGTCACAGGTATTCATTTTTTTAAAAGTTTTTCCTTATTGTTTGCAGCCAGAACCTCTGAAGAATTTGAATGAACTTGTGAAAGCTCAGGTATGTGACCTATTACAAGAAGGTTGCTGGGACTTACCCTTGGTTTACAGCTGCTTTACTTTGCGGCAGCTGCTGAAGTTCTCTCTTCCGCACAAGGGGAAATCGAAGAGCTCAGTGTTGCCGCAGAGGGAGAATATAGGTAATATTTCCCTCCCCTGTCAATGATATTGCTCATATCTTGTTAGGAAGTCTCGCGACCACTGAATCACCCCTACACTAGGTTCATGACATGTCGCATATACATTCTCTTGCTAGGTAGTCTTATTTACCAATACTGCTGCCCTTGTACGTCTCCTTATCGCAACACTATGCACAAACTGGCTCCGGACGTTGCAATAGAGTTGTACTTGGATTGAACTAGTCATCCAGGCACGTCTAACCCTTTCCTTCCCTCAGTTTCTATTATTTATGAGCCATAATGTGTACCCCGCGTGTGCATACAACTGAAGGATTTCTTTAGGTTTGATGTACATTGGAGCCATCTTGCCACTTTTAAGTCCATGTTCTCATTTATGCAAACCACGAGTAGGATGTTGTCCTGCATTGTATTGGAGAAGGTCGTAGGCTATATATCAAGTAGTGTAACATAAACAATAATGTCAAGGATGCACAACTGGCAGGTTTGAAACTGTCCTTCCTTGGTTCCTCTACCAACTTCCTGACTGCTGATGCGCGTGTTGGTTCGCCTGTAGTACGTTAAACTTATCAGACAATAAGTACTGTCCTTGCTTCATTATTGTCTCCCGATGTTAACCTCAAGCTCTTTTCTGTATTCTCAGCTAGAATTCACCAGAGGACCAAAATGAGCCTTCCATGGGTCGACAGCGAATCAAAAATACGGCAGTGCTTCGACGTCATCCCATCACCATCGAATAAAAACCAAAACACAATAGATCGGTTTGAAAATCGTTCTACAAATGGCGGTGTATGAATTAGTCCCAGTTATACAATACAATCCATGAATGTCAGATGAAGCAAATGGTGCTTTCTCTCGTGTCTAATATCCTGACGGTCGTGTGCTCGACTTGGATGTATCGTAAGCACGGATGAGTTTTGCCTGATCTTGACGACCGTTCTCTGTCTGACTGAATGCGAATCCACGGTTCCGGCGCATGCGCTGGACGGCGCGGACTTTTTTGATCGCTTTTTGGAATCTGACGTGATCAGGGGTTAGCGTCAACCAAGATATGCGATTTGAAGTGCCACGCACTGTTCTTGACGCGGACGGTAATCGGGAATGTTGTACTTTTGGAGCTCTTGAGCAATATGATATGGTAGAGGGATGTATGTCCGTCGGTAGCTATGCGAAAGGCGTCAGATAGTTATTCCGCTCAAGCGGGCGTGGACGCACTATTTCCAAACAAAGTCGCGGGTCAGGCAGACGATGGGAACAAGTATAAGGACAAAATAAAACACAGCATCAGTCCATAGACGAGGCACAAGTCCGTAGTACTCGGTAGAGAATCCAATGGCAGGAGCAACAACGGCGTATAAAGGAAGGAAGAGCATAGTGAAAACGAACGACCCGGGAATCGCTGAGGAAATGGTGTCAGTTGGATGTTTGTTCATAGAAGAAGACTTGTACTCACCAGCAACAGTATACTTTGTCCACAAACTAGAATACGCATTAGTACACGAGGGTGAGACAAGAATAGGGACACGCACTCAGAAACTAAAGCGGCCTTGCCAAGGACAGTGAGCAGGACAGCCAGGTAAAGCATGGCACCCCAGAACCAATGCCCAGAATCCAAGCCCGTCGTTTGCTTTAAATCTCCCCAGAACAAAATCACAGTGAATGTAAACAAAATCTAAAAGCCATCATTATCATCACTATTCTGTCACTCGAAATAAAACTCACGAGACTGTGATACAGCGCATTGCCTACCCAGAGCCAGAATGCTGTCTTCGTAAAGAAGACGTTCTTTTGACCGAGTGCATATAGTTGTGGGTATCGGTCTAGTATCCGTGCAGATACGAACTGATCAAACACGCCTATGACGAGAGGGGGGAGAACGGTAAAGATAACGTTATAAAATGATATCGTCCATGATTCGTAGGCAATCTGTCCTGAGAAGTTATTGAAGAAGGAATACTACAAGGTAATGATCAATTGGACATTCGTGAATGAGCGGGCGGATACATACCCAAAATTGTGTCATGTAAAGCGTGATGTTTTTGTAAAATGAGTCTGTGGTCCTTGGTGATAATGTGTCAAATAGAGAAAAACAGATACACGTACAAAGAATGAGCTTCGACAGTCTCTGATAACTCCACGCGCCGTGAACCAGCAATAGTTTCTTGAGAAATCTAAATTGCGAAATTGCCACATCTGCCGACCGCGCGGCTTGTAGACCCTATGCAGATCGCTTTCAATACAGACACAGTGTCGCACACTAATGATCATATACCTCGACTCCAGAAATCCCCACGCCCACATGCGCTGCCTGGATCATGCTCACGTCGTTTGCACCGTCACCGATTGCCAGGAGAATACTCTTCTGGTTCTTCTTGACAAGTTTTACGACGAGTGCTTTTTGAAGTGGAGATACTCTGCAACAGATAACTGCGCGACACATGAGTGCAAGCTCCAGAAACGACTTGGAGAGCTCTTTCTCAAGTGCGAAACCGAGGCTTTTGCCGTCTGCAAAGGAAGAAAGGGCTCAAATGTGTATGAATGTATTTCATGCCCATGCTAACCTATGACCAGAGCCAGATCTTCAAGCTCTCCCGTACTTCGCTGGTTCTTGATTGCTGAAAGTCGCTTCTGGATGAAATCTGCAGTATCACGCGAATTATCTTCGTTCACAATGACCTGTAGAGGTAGAACATTAGCACTGGAACGTCTTCGCCACATTCTCGACTTACCAAGTTCATAGACTCTGAGATCAACCGACAGGACATGCCGATATTGATCGCTGTCTCTTGTCTGTCACCTGTGAGCACCCAGATCTGCGTACCACATCAACATCGTAGACACAGACGCCATGATGGAATACCTGTGACAAACGCACCTTGATCCCAGCCATTTGTAACGTATGTATCGTATCTGGAACGCCGTCCTGTAGCTTATCTTCGATAGCTGTCGCCCCGAGCAAAAACATATCCTTCTCAATCAACTCCGCCGCACTGTCAAGGGCATCCGCGCGGCCGTTAATCGTCGAAGCTGCTTGCTCGTATATGGAAGCCCACTGCCGATATTCGGCTTCTGGGATGTCGCGGTATCCGATGCAAAGGGTGCGCAGACCTTCAGTCGCGTAGTCCTGTGAGTTGATTGGGTGAGCACGATGGACGTTGGTAGTAATAGAAAGGAAAAACAACAAACCTCGAGATGTATAAGCGTCTTCTCAGTGTACGGTTGTGCCTTTGCGAGACGCTCGAAGATGACGGTGTCTGCACCCTTGCAGAAAAGCTTGATCGAACCGCTGGGCGTGCGCACGATCGTCGACATACGTTTGCGCGTCGAGTTGAACTCGCACACGTTGAGGATCTCGTATTCAGCAGGAGCGTTGTCGATTGAGAGAAAGACAGAACGGGGTTTGCGAGTCTACCGAAGGGTGGGTGAGCAGTGTGGTTAAAGGGAGACAGCGGTATAAGAAGGGGTTAGGAGGGATATGTGAAACAGCATTTGACAAGGAATGAACAACCTACATGGAACTGATACCCCATCATCTCTGCCCCTGCTACTAGTGCGGCTTCATCCGGACTACTGGCCTGATAATGCATCTTCCCATCTCTCACCTCCGGTATCACCGTATGGCACACCGCCAGCAACGCCATGAACTCTCTAGCCACCTCCCGTTCTCTTTCCTCAATCCCCCCCGTACTGACCGGCTTCCTTGAATCCCCGTGCAATAACTTTCGCAGCTCCTCGAACGTTCTCGTGCCCTCTCCTTGCTCTCCAACCTCCTCCGCCACGTCCGCATAGGGAATCCCTGCAACCGAGCACTTCTTAAACTCCATCTCGTTCCTCGTCAGCGTTCCCGTTTTATCGCTAAACACAAATTCGATCTGTCCGAGCTCCTCGACGAGCGAGCTTGTGCGACAGAGCGCAGGCGTGTCAGAGGGCGCGTAGTACATGTCCAGATCGGCGTTGATGAGTTGAGCTTGTTGGAATTTAACAACCTCCATGGTAACGATGAGTGAAATGGGAATAAGGTTGTTGTAGAGGATGATAAAGGTGAGAATGTCTGAAGAGATTGAGTAAGAGAAGGTAAGTAAAATAAATAAATATGCTTGACCTTCGATGAATGCTTTTGCTGATAAAACGTGATCAGTCGGCGGTCAGAGTGATCTTCTTGGAAGGGTAAGGCACTTACCTTTTCCAGTGAATGTGCTTGGCTCCGCTAGATACCATTGCTGGCCGGATAAGAACCACTACAAGTGTTCTGTCAGCCCCTATCTCTGATGAAGTAGATGGAATAAACATACTGTATTGATACTGGCGCCGATCGTACTCCCGAGTGAGAGGGCAAGGAGGAAGACGAAGAGGAAGATGATATGCGTATTGACCTGACGCTCGACTGCCGTACGTTTGATTGGTGCCGCGCTGTACCCGAGTTTAGCATTGCAGGACTTACAAAAATTCTGCAAACTAGACCTCGAACAATATTAAACCACTTACGTTGCATTTCGCATGAGCTTCGTCTCATGACCTGTGAACACCACGATCCCATATACCCACGGTGTATTCCTCAACTGCGCGCCCCTCAACAACATCTGATCTGGGCCCAATGATACAGTCTTCGGTACATTCATATCGCTCAACAGTTCCAATGTCCCTTCATATGTGTACAATGAGTTATTTGGTTGTTCTGAGCGCAATGTACCGTGCAAAGCGCTTGCGAGGGATGGGGAGGTGAGTGAATAAGTTTGTTGAGAAGCTTGTTTGATTTTGAGGTTGGTCTCGCTGGAAAGGTCTGTCAGGTAAAGAAAGAAAATAAAAGGAGGGACGCACCCGTCAAGATTGGAAGTCTCTATGTAACACAATCCCTCGGGCTCACTCGAGGATATGAGTACCAGGTCAGCCGGTATAAACTGATCGGACTCCACGCGTACGATGTCGCCTACGCAGAGGTCTTTCCATTTCCGTGCAGCGAAAGTGTTTCCGGAGAGTGCCTGAACAAGTCGTGCATTGAGCTCGGAGTCGGATTGGTGTCGTTTCTGAGGTGAAGTGAGAATGGGTCAGCGATTGGAGGGATAACGTACGAGGTCTTCTTGGACTTCTTTGAATGCGGAAGCGAGGAGGACTACGGCCAAGGGCGCGATGGTAGTGTACTGGTTCGTGGGGGATACACCGGGAATCTGCTGAATGCATGCTGTGAACAAAAAGAATAGATTGGCGTATTTTGAGAATTGTTCTACGAGAATAATGCATAAGTTGGTGTTTCGTGGTGTACGGGATATCAGACGGGACACACCGGTAAAAAACTTGGGAAGAAATGAGACCATGTTGTACTTGCTCGTTGACACAAAGTTTGAGCAGTAGTCGTCGTTCATAAACGGGTTGTTGAGAGTGATTACACGCTCGCCAGTGAGTGCCGTGTCCTTCTGCCAGGGCCATTTCCACTTTCTGCGTTGCTTGAGAGAGCGCATGGGCATTGAGGATGGTTCTTCCGAGAAGGAAGGGACAGGTGAGAACGCAGGCGACAGAGAGTCATCATCAAATGCCCAGCCTTGTGGTTGTCCGTTAGGTGTTGTTGCAAGAGAAGTAGAAGATGCTCCTATGCCAGCTGGAGGGGCAGCTGAGCAAGCGAGAGGGAGGCCGCTCTCCTGGGAATGCATTGGTCTTTGAGCAGAGTACATGGCAAAATTAGAATGAGAAGCGTCGTCGTCCTCGTCGTCAAAGAAGGGATCCATGAGATTTGGTTGTGGAGGATAACCAGACGCTGTAGTATTATTAGTAGTAGAATCTGAATGGATGTATGGGTTGTTGGAATCTCGCTGATGATATCCGGACGCTGCTGGATTGGCAGTATTGACCAGCGCTGCAAACGATTCGTCGCTATTCATCGTAGAACGGAGCGGGTGCAAGTTTAATCCTAACCGCAGTTACACTCCATGTCTTGCACAACCAACATGTCCAAATAGAACTAAACTAAAACCTTCCCAAGGCGATATAGTGTAGTGGTTATCACTCGGGATTTTGACAGAAACATCTTCCCGAAACCCAGGTTCGAACCCTGGTATCGCCTCTTCTTTTCCTCTGCATTCAGTGGTTGCAAATCATAATTCTGAGACGATTTATGTAGAGAATGCTGTTTATATTTTTTTTCCCATGATAAATAGACTGGTAATGCCTGCGGCAGCGCAGAATATGCACTCAGGCTTTCCATGCATAAGAAAATCCAGAAATTGTAAGGCACTATAGGCGTTTGCTGGGCGTCATGCGGTCACGGTACATTTGTGACTTAACAGTGACAAAACACAGAAAATAGGTTGACAGGATACTAGATGGTCACCAGAGTTCGTGTTTTTTGTTGGCAACGACAATAAGTACTCTAATAAGATAGGCCTCACTCAAACACCACCAACGTCACGTGATGTATTTAGTCACACTGCTGCAATTTTGAGGGAGGAAAGCGTGACAATTGCTTATTTCAGAGGCTACACTAAATTAAATAGCAAACGGCTTTCGGGCGCTACAGCCTATATAACACCCCTGCCATTCGCAGGAAACGGAATTCCCATTATTGCCTGTAAAGCAATGTAATAACACGATTTGTGGTCGGTCTTGCTGACTAAGTCAGACACCTACTCCTCTTGCCTCGCCAGCAATGGGCAAACGGACTCGCGCAGACTCAGCAAGGAATGCCAATCTTGCAAAGGCACTCGTCAAGAAGAAGAAAATCAATAACGAGAACAAAGAGAATGTAAGTACTCACATTAATTACAGCCGAAATTAAATTTCTGATGCGATGTTTCGCAGATTAATATTCCAGCGCGAATTTTGATGCCTAATGCGTCCGACGCGTCAAACACGCTGTTTCACGCGTTGAACGTGTCAGACATGCCGGCCACATCCATTGGGGCTTTTTGTGATGTGTGGGAAGTGTTGGCCAACCAATCTGAGCAGCAGTCTCTCCACTTAGACATGCCAGTGGTTGAGCAATATTTCCTGTCGGCTGAAGAAGAGGTGATGTCTGATTCGGAGCTACTACACACGGAGACTGAAAACTCAGAGGATGAGGGTTTTGATGCCTCGGATGATGCGGGAGAAGAGATACAAGGCTCCGTGCAAGATAATGAGCTGCGAGAAGGCCATAGACGTGTTTCACCCACCATTCCTGCATGTCAATCAGCCCTCTTAGATCTCATCGAAATCTTGAATCCCCTCCGCAAAAATGGAACTGGCCACTTAGCATTTTCTGGGGACAATATCCTTCGAAAGCATCTCGAAATGATGTGAATGTTCCTATGGATGTATGTTGATCAACGGAACCCTCGAACATGGACCGAAGCCTCTCGTGACACAGCACAGGCTCACCAAAAAGCTGCCCATACAGCCCGACTCCTTCGTAAATGGGCACGTTCATTTGTCGAACACCGTGGCAACCTCCCAATGAACCTTTACAGAAGTTGGAATGTGTCCCTGCTTGATAAAGGGGACCTTGCCGAAGCTATTCACAGGCACCTGCAAAGCATCGGAAAATATGTCAGAGCACAGGACATTGTTGATTACCTTGCACAACCCAATGTACAGCAGAAACACGGCTTGAAGAAGACAATTTCCCTCGCAACTGCTCAACGGTGGATGCACATGATGGATTTTCGCTGGACGAAGTCTCTGTCAGGTCAATATGTCGACGGTCACGAACGTGACGACATCGTTACATACCGTCAAAAAAAATTCCTACCGTCGATTGCAGAACTCTTCATACACATGCGTACGTGGAAGGATGGTCTTGAAGAAGCTAGTGATGAGCCTCGCCCACACACCCAGCGTGTTGTCTTGTGGTTCCATGACGAGTCCACGTTCTATGCCAATGACCGTCGCAAAGTTTACTGGGTGCACGGAAACGAAACTGCGAAGCCTCGTCCCAAAGGGGAAGGGGCCTCATTGATGGTCGCAGACTTCGTTTCAGCCGATTACGGGTGGCTGCGCTCAAGTTGTGGTGAAGAAGCTGCCAGAATACTTTTCCGTGCGGGAAAATCCCGGGACGGCTACTTCACTAATGCATCAATCCTCCAACATGCTGAATTGGCCATGGACATCCTTGATCGACACTACCCACATGACCAGCATGTACTCGTCTTCGACAATGCAAGTACCCACACGAAACGGGCTGACGATGCACTTTCTGCTCGTCGCATGCCAAAATTCCCCACGAAGCCTGGGAACGTCCCATTTGGAGTCGAGAGAACCATGATAGGCAGCGACGGCAAGCCAGTTCATGGCACTGATGGCAAAGCACTCAACGAAAAAGTGCGCATGGCAGATGGTGTGTTGCCTGATGGGAGTGCACAGTGTTTTTACTTTCCAGAAGGTCATGCACGTGCTGGCGGATTCAAAGGCATGGCCGAAATTCTCAAGGAGCGTGGTTTCGAAGGCTGCAAAAAACTTTGTGCGGAGTGCCCGAACTTCCGGTGCAACCCAAACATCAATCGTTGTTGCTGTCGACGTTTGCTATATAATCAGCCCGACTTTTTAAATGTTAAATCTAACATTGAACTTGCTTGTGAAAAACGCAGTTACAAGGTCCTGTTCTTGCCAAAATTTCATTGTGAACTCAACTTCATCGAGCAGTGCTGGGGATTTGCCAAGCGCCATTATCGACAATTGCCGCCGAGCTCGTCCGAGGCAGTGCTCATGCAGAACGTTATTGATTCTCTTGAAGCTGTTCCACTTGTATCAATGCGAAAGTGAGTAACACTCATCTTTATATTACTACTTTCTTAATTAAATGGTGTTGTACAGGTTTGCTACACGATCACTGCGTTTTATGGACGCATACCGCAAGGGTTTAAACAGCAAGCAAGCTGCATTTGCGACGAAAAAGTATCGTGGTCACCGCACTCTCCCACTGTCTGTTTTCGATGATCTCACCGAGCTCAATTAAAGCACCTATATATCTTTATACAACTACTAGTCTACTATATATACCTTTCTATTACCTGTACCCTCTCCCCTCAGGCTCAGCGCTCAGCGCTCAGCTTTTACGCACCGCAAAGTTTGAGTGAGAGTCACACTGTTGTCACATCACGTGATGTTGGTGGTGTTTGACTGAGGCCTATCTTAGCTCATAGCAAGCTGTGTTTAGTGCTGCATTTCGGCACAGTCTAAGCGGAATCTCAATTCGCTCTGGGTGGATTGTCACGTCTGGTCGTGTTTCTTATACTGCACCTCATTCTATTAAGAAAGTAGTCCCAGAGATATATTCATTTTAACATGGCCTAATCATGTTCAAACATAATGTACCATTTCAAAATTTTCCGTGATGACATGCCTGCTGGAGTGTGCATTCTATGTGTAAAACTAGCCTCCAGCACTATAAACTGAACCCTGGCACGAGAATCACTCGGATTTTTTTTTACAAAAAAATATGACAATGTGTATTATGCTGGGGAGAACCTATGTGTGACATACATAAGGATTCTATGTAGAATTGCGTGTGCTACAGTGAAAACACGAAATGGTTGAGATACGAGCCCACGTGGCCATCTAGTGTGGGTCCCCGGTGCGCGATAAACTTGCGTGCGAATATATTACGTCAGCAACTGCATAAAAATTGTCAGCTCACCGTTTAGTATGGCTTTTAGTTTCTTGTCTCATACTTCTTGGCTAAGCTCACAGGTGAGATCTAGATTTTATACCTTTTTTTTGTCAACTTTTTGTTGTGATGATATATTGCTGTGCACCAGACCGAGTGTCCGCACGTTGGAGATAATTTCCCTGGCCCTCTATTTACGCTTGAGGGTCCTGATCCACATTTTTTGCACCTATCGTATGCGTTGATCATAACTAACCATGCTTGCCTACAGGTGCACGTAACACAATTGATTCAGGAATTGAGATATTCACACGACTTCCGTATCATATGCTACTTCTCGTTATACAAGAAACCTATCTTGACAGCGCACTATCATAATGTTGAATCACCATTATCCCCCAATCCAATCATGCTATATTTATCCGCATATTGATAGATTTAGCCCTTGTCAGTTGATCATATCCTGTGGTTGTATTAGTGGCCTCAGTGTTAGCTGTGTCAATGGGAACGCACCGAATTTGCTCAGACTGATGCCACGCCCACTGTTCTTTATCCCCGTCCAGGCCAAAGCTGGGTCGAGCGAGTCGCATCTTGAAGCATGGGAATCAGTCTGGGTTACCAGTAATCAATCTGGATACAGAAACCACACCTATTGAGAAAGATTGTCCCAGCTTGCACTTGGTTTGTGAGGGTGTTGAAGTTATCCAATGAATTGGTCCAGATGGAAGCTGTGAGACCATATTCCGAGTCGTTCATGAGCTCAATGGCTTCTGCGTCAGATGAAACCTGCCAAAGCTTATAGCCTAGCCTTAAAGAAAACACTGAGCGAATTACCTTCTGGATGCCAATGATGGGTCCGAATGTCTCTTCCTGTATTAAATCAGACATGACTGTGCATAATGGAGAAAGGATTGACCTTCATGACGTCCATCGCTATTGTCGGAATTCAGGACAGTATCGAAGGACGCGGATATAACAAGCTTACTGTGATTCACATCGACCAGGACTTGGGGAGCAACAAATGCAGTACCTCTGGAGATTCTGAATACCAATTTCTGTCATACAGACGTTGACTCACGGTTCTGCCTTTGGATACAAGTTTTCGGGTATTAGTGCTTTCGCACCCGTTTGCACTGCGATATGATCAGCCAGCGGCAGTACGATTTGTGGAACACTTGCCTGCGCTGAACACCTGCTGGCGAATCCTCTCTGCACTAGCAATACTAATTACCGGACCGATGGTCGTTTGCTTGTTCGTGGGATCCCCCAGTATGAGTTTCTAGATTTACGTTCAAACCATATGAAGATATTCCATAGGGGTCACGACATGCCTTGGTTTCTTTGACATATTCATTTACGAAATCGTCATACACTGACTCGTGAACGTAGATCCGCTGTTCAGCTGAGGTAAGTTATAATTCAACATTGAAAGTAATGTTTCTTACTTCAACTGCACAACAACTCTGCCCAGCGTTGTACATTGCACCTACGTATATCGGTGAAAAAGTAGCATAATTGTATGTCTTTCTTACTTACCATCGACTAGCTGTATCACTGCATCTTTCAGGTCTGCATCCGCACGAACATATGCTGGATCTTTTCCTCCGAGCTAGACTTTGATTTAGTGACTTGGTACTTGCGATGAATAAATACGGCACCTCCAAACCAACGCCCTTGAATCCATCAGCAGCAACGGCTGCTGTTTCAATAGCTTTCCCTCCTGCCACGCTGCCCGTAAACACGACAAAATCAACTAGCTTATGCTGCACGACATATCGAGTAAGCGACGGCGAGAGATGCACGACTTGTATGAGATCGGTCGGAAATCCAGCGTTATTCAAAGCTTCCTTGAATCGCACGGCTGTAAGAGGCGTTTGGGGAGAAGGCTTTAAAATAACGGCATTTCCGGCGACGAGCGCTGGAAGCACAGAATTGATCATGACAAGATACGGGTAACTGGAACAGATGAGTCTCTAGTGCCTTCAAGATCGAATATACTGACTTCCATGGAGCGATGACGAAAACGACACCGAGGGGAACGCGCTTTATTGAGCGATTGAAGCCAGGTTGATTTTCTGAAAAGGTTATGTCTGAGAGACACGATTCAGCGATGTCGACCATGTAGGTTGCACGCTGTAGAAATCCTTTAAACTCCCCCCAACACTGATCGACAGGCCTATGTGCGTCCAGAATCAGTACATTCGCGATATTTTACGCGTAAAGGCATGCACCTGCCCATCTGATTGCATAGCTCTTCAGCAAGGTTATGATGTCCAAAAGGACCGTGATCATATGTTGCTGGTGCTTCTCGATTTGTAAGAGCAGAAAATTTCTCCTAGAGTAATGATCTAGCTCTGCGAGTAGAGTTATCAAGAGTGCACGGACAATGAATTTGCGACCTTTCGCGATACGTTCTTCTAGAGTAGTCTTGATCCACTCTTTCTGAGACTGTGCTGCACTTTCGAGAGTACGATCTAAATCACTAGAAACAGGATATGTTTCTACGTGGTATGCCTGTCCATTATGAGGTGAGATAGTTGTCTGAACATGGAGATCGAATGAGCTGGACATGGTAGCAGAGTACGGATATACGGCGCGTCTCTTGGTCAAATATCTAAATTTTGGTCAAGATCATCTCTAAACCTGCCAAGACTCCACTGATATCGGTCACGTGGGTATGAGGTCAGAGGCCTATAAGAGTAGCTTCAACTTTGGAATCACCCAATAACATGGCCAGCTCCATCTTCGCAGATGCCATGGATTCCAAATCGCTTACCATCGCCACGCCTGACGAACCCTTGAAGCGTGATGTCCAGAACCCAATCCTTTTCGAGTGTGCTTGGGAGGTTGCCAACAAAGTTGGAGGCATATACACGGTCATCAAGACCAAGGTCCCCGTGACCATGCAGACGTACGGTGATCGTTACACCCTCATTGGTCCCCTCATTTATAAGACGGCTCCTATGGAGGTTGAAGCGCAAGAGCCCACTGATCCTGCTCTAGTCGCAACACTTCAGTCCATGAGAGCACAGGGTGTGAAATGTCTTTATGGCCGATGGCTCATAGAGGGTGCTCCCCGTGTCCTACTCTTCGATACGGGCAGCCAATATCACCGTCTTGACGAATGGAAGGCCGATCTTTGGAATCTTGCAGGCATCCCATCTCCCCCCAATGATCACGAGACAAACGAGACCATCGTGTTTGGTTATCTCGTAGCATGGTTTCTCGGTGAGGTACGCGATTCATATACTCCAATCAATATATTGCCTGCTTATCGATGCTCAGTATGTTGCACACAAAGCTCATACAGCTGTAGTCGCCCACTTCCACGAATGGCAGGCAGGACTTGCCATCCCCCTCGCCAGAAAACGCCACATTGATGTTACCACCGTTTTTACAACACACGCAACCTTGCTCGGCCGCTATCTCTGCGCTGGAAGCGTCGACTTCTACAATAACCTTTCCTACTTTGACGTTGACCACGAGGCAGGCAAGCGTGGGATATATCACCGCTACTGCATCGAACGTGCTGCTGCACACTGCGCGGATGTCTTCACAACTGTCAGCGGAATTACTGCATGGGAGAGTGAGCATCTTTTGAAGAGAAAACCGGATGGTGTCCTTCCAAATGGCTTGAACGTGGTCAAGTTCCAGGCAATGCATGAGTTCCAGAATCTTCACGCGACTTCCAAGGAGAAAATCAATGAGTTCATTCGTGGGCATTTCTACGGTCACTATGATTTCGATCTTGAAAACACCATTTATGTACGTCGTGCCATTCCTCTGTATTTCTCTAATTAATCACCTCCACTAGATGTTCACAGCTGGTCGGTATGAGTACCGTAACAAGGGTGTCGATATGTTCATCGAGTCCCTTGCTCGTCTCAATCACCGCCTACAGCAGAGTCAGAGCAAGATAACAGTCGTTGCGTTCATCATCATGCCCGCTGCTACCAATAGTTATACTGTTGAGGCCCTCAAGGGCCAGGCGGTCATGAAGCAGCTGCGCGATACCGTCACCGAAGTACAGGCCCGTGTTGGCGCACGACTGTTCGAACACGCCGCGCGGTTCCACGGTGAGGGTCGCTCAGAGGTCGCGCCAGAGGACCTTTTAAGCACAGAAGACCAAGTCCTATTGAAACGTCGTATTTTCGCGCTCAAGCGACACACTCTTCCTCCGATCGTTACACACAATATGGCAGACGACTCGAATGACCCGATCCTCAATCAGCTACGTCGCGTACGTCTTTTCAACACACCGGGGGACCGCGTTAAGGTCATCTTTCATCCTGAATTTCTGAACTCAAATAACCCAATACTGGGTCTTGATTATGAGGAATTCGTGCGAGGTTGCCATCTGGGTGTATTTCCAAGTTACTACGAACCATGGGGATACACCCCCGCGGAGTGCACAGTGGTACGTTGGGTATTCATTTTATCATGCAATTCGAGCTCATTCGAGTAGATGGGCATCCCTAGTGTAACAACAAACCTATCCGGATTCGGGTGCTTCATGGAGGATTCGATTCACAATCCCTCTGAAGAGGGTATCTACATCATCGACAGACGCACCACCTCCATTGATGAAAGCGTTAACGCGCTCACGAACTCGATGTTCGAGTTTGTCAAGAAAACACGGCGCCAGCGGATCAACCAGCGAAACCGCGTCGAGCGACTCTCGCCACTTCTGGATTGGAAGAATATGGGCCTTGAGTATGAGAAGGCGCGGATGCTTGCGCTTCGGAGAGCGTACCCCGATGCATTCATTGGCCTTGACGAGGACAATGGGGAAGAAGTTGAATGGGGCTTTGGAGAATTCCCTGTTTCCGTCCAAGCCAGTCCGAGGCTCAGAATTTCAGGACTCGCAACACCAGGTGACCTTGGAACACTTACAGAGGAGGTAGCTATCTTTTGTCATGAGGCAAGTTGAGGACTTATTGTGTTATAGATGCAACGCCTGGAAACCAGCGATTACCGGGGCCATTGGTCGCGTACAGGGGAAGATGAAGAGGATGGCTATCCCTTGTGAGTTTTCTCTTACCTACTAGTATTCTGCTTACATGTTCCTTCACCCAGCCCACTTGTCATGAAAGTTCGCTCGCGTGCGTCATCTGTGATGTCTGGGGCAAGCACGCCTGGCGGTGGTGCATTCAAGAGTCTTAGCGAGCACGATCTTCAAAAGGCGGACGCTGCGCTCAGCCAGGTGAACGGAGTGTCTGCCGCCCCTGCCATTGCATAGGTGACACATTTCTGGCTGAGTATACAATCAGAATCTAGGCTCTGTGATATCCAATGCCTCGAGCTTGGTTTCTGGCTTGGTGCTAGACCAAGAAGCTTTCATGTCATGAATGGATTCATGCTCTATTTTTCTTCAAACACCCTTATTTTTGACCTCCAGAAATCTGGTTACATGTTCAAGCCTCTTACCATCTTCATGCCATGATATATGTTCAGTTATCAAAATTGGCACTTATCTGCCTTTTATGTCTTTTGCTTCTAAATTGTGCGCCTTTACCAAATATCCATTATGTCTTTTATGTATCCCAAGCTCTTCATTGATTGAAATCGCACAGAACTTACCATGAATCTATCGTTCATCACTACATACCATAATGTGACAAGGTACGAATAGCGATCAAAGTGAACGTAAGGTTTTTATGTAATGGGAATACCGTGTGGTGTGCTCTTGAACTGCTCAGACGAGTCCTCGCTTCTTGACCATCATGGCCCACATCCCCTTAATACCGTTAATTATTTCCACTCTGCTCAGTGTACATGGATTGCGCTCACGATCACTCTCTTTCTCTGGTGCAGCGACTGCCTTCGTGGTTGGCTTCAGCATTCTTGCAACGCCTGTGCGGGCCATTGGGGTCACTCTCATCGTGTTCTACTTGATCGGCTCCAGAGCCACCAAATGTAAGTGTCAACCCGATGAACGACATTGGTATGTATTGTAATCACTGATTAGATGGCAAGAAACGAAAGGCTCAGCTTGAAGATGACTATCAAGACGCTGGCTACCGATCTGGCGCCCAAGTTCTCTGCAACTCATTCACCGCGTTACTTGCGAGTGGAATATGGTGTCTTGCCTTTGCACCTGACATGTTGCCGTGGAGTCTACTATTCAACTCTTACATTCGCTCGGGCTCCCCATTATTGGAGAGTGTGCCATACGGAGATGGTCGGTGGTGCCCACTGGACGCAACGGTGTCAAGTGGATTGAGTCGCGCGCTGATGTTTCTGGCGCTTGGGTAAGCTCCGGCTTCTACTTGATTGGTATCTTGTTCATTAGTTTATAAATACCTCACCGCCAGCCACTTTGCCTGCTGCCTGGGGGATACTCTCGCGTCAGAACTCGGTATCCTCTCTTCCCACCCGCCAATTCTTATCACGACGCTGAAAACTGTTCCACCCGGCACAAACGGTGGTATCTCACTCGGCGGGACACTTGCCAGTTTATTCGGCGGTCTGTCCATGGGTGTAACAATGTTAATTTCAATCATCGTAGAAAATGCACACTGCAGGAGCAATTGGATGGTTATTCTTCCGTCACTCGTATTCTGGGGTGGTGTAGCAGGTGCTGGCGGGAGCATGGTAGGTTTCAACTTGTGTCACAATTATGCCTTATATTGATGCGATACACTAGCTGGATTCGTTCCTGGGAGCGACCCTACAGCGCACACGTTATTCGGTTGAAAAAAGGATTATTCTTACTGGTCACAAAGCAGAACCTGAACGCGGACGGAAAGACACTGTGAAAGTTATCAGCGGACTCAATTTATTGACAAACAATCAGGTAATCTAATATTATCCTCCCCTGTCTTGATGTTGACCTGTCCCACAGGTCAACTTGCTGTCATCGATAGTGACTGCGCTTGTTGTCGCAAGATTTGCCTCGACGTCAGAGACATGGTCATTTTCTGTGCTTGATCTGTAGAAACTCCCTGATCGCGGCTACCATGTAATATTTATTTCTCTTGATAAACGTGGCACTGCCTGTTCCAATGAAAGTGACAATGACTATCAAATGCACAATTTGGAATCTGCTTAAACGTGCGCGCACTTGCTTTGAGTATTGGCTGACAAGGTTAACGTTCAGAAGACTTGGGATAGGATCCAAACGAAGAATTGACAAGGTGGGATGATCCTTAATGGCGATTAGGACTCATGTCATGTGTTATTATTGTTTGAGCACATGGCCAAGACACTGCCAGCCTGCCATATGCTAGTGGATGCGAAGGCAGCGCTTCCACCTAATCTTCGGAACATGGGTCCATGTAATACTTAAGGCCTCATTCCTTGAAGCTGGAATCCATAGACACTCTTGTCTCCCATCAAGTACTTACTGTAGATTGCCGCTATGCGTCCGCTCACGTTCCCTTCTATTCATGTTCCATGTGCTTACGTCTCTGTAGGTCTTATCATCCGCGACGACCCTGCTGCTGTCGGTGACTATGTCGCCAACTACATTGCCAAACGGTAGTAGACTCATCCATATTTCCTTGCCTGTGCCTCATTACTATCCCCTAGCATTAATGACTTCGCACCCACCGCCGACAAACCTTTCGTGCTCGGTCTCCCAACCGGCTCCTCTCCTATTCCAACTTACAAAGCCCTCATCAACAAAGTCAAGCAGGGCAGCTTATCGTGAGCGCTGAAAAGCACTTTAAGTTGTGTTTATCCACTCATGACCCCAGGTTCAAGCACGTCATCACTTTCAACATGGACGAGTATGTCGGCATTCCTCGCGACCACCCAGAGTCCTACCATACATTCATGTTCCGCGAGTTTTTCTCCCATAGTCCGTCTAGTCCAGTCACCCTTGCTGAAGAATACTGTACTAATTTCATAAACATAGTCGATATTCCCCCTTCCCAAGTCAATTTACTGGATGGAAACGCCGAAGACTTGGTCGCGGAATGCAACACATACGAGTCCCGCATCAAGCAGTGTGGAGGTATCGAACTCTTCCTGGGTGGTATCGGCGAGGATGGTCATATCGCATTCAACGAGCCTGGTATGTCCCGTTCTTTAACCCATTTCGCCCCTGTTGTCCCTCCTCGTGGCTTGTATGATTGTTCTCCCTTTTGTAATGTTCATTGACCTGAATAATGCTTGTTTCTGTCAAAGGCTCGTCCCTCGCCTCCCGTACCCGCATCAAGACACTCGCTTATGACACCATCCTCGCCAACGCCCGCTTTTTTAACAACAACATTGCTGCTGTCCCCCGTATGGCCCTTACAGTCGGTGTTGCCACAGTGCTTGAATCAAGGGAAGTCGTGGTTGTGGTCACGGGCCAGAGAAAGAGCTTAGCTCTTAGCAAGGCTATCGGTGAGTCATACGTTGAGGCTATCTTCGGGCTCGTTCATTGGCTATCTGATTTCAACTTTATCATCGTTTACAGAGGACGGCGTAAACCACCTTGTGAGTAGGCCGTTGTCTAGTATATTACACAAACTCACGTTGAGGTGACAGTGGACTCTCTCGGCGCTGCAACTCCATCCTTGGGCGTTAATTGTAGTTGATGAAGATGCTACAGCTGGTGCGTGGTGTCGTTCGGATAAAATAGGGCCTTCGGCTGACACACGGATGCCGTCCTGTCATCCCTTACTTCTCATCACCTCATTCTGAATGAAACACAAACTTCGGAAATATAACTCAGAGCTGCATGTCAAAACAGTCAAATATTTCAAGTCAATCGAACGCGTGCAAGATGAGGTGGAGCAACGGCAGGCGGAACTGAAGGCGAGAGGTCGGACAGAGCACCAGGGGCAGGTCGGCAGCATGGAGTGATGTTTTTCTGTCCATACTATGAGATATGATGATCAAGTAGAACAGATAAGATGTTTAGAACTGTAATTTTCTTCAGTTAAACAGACATCAGATTTGCGTCCAACCAATATTTTGATCTCACTTGTCGTGTCACTTAGATGATGTAAATGTGCAGCACGTATGATTTAATTGTACAGTGTGAATAGTGAATGATGCGGTTGAGATGTAGATTGTACAGTGTACGTATCTAGACCTAGAATTAGAATCGGTTGCGTTTTCTTTGCTGCTTTATCATTGCATCCACCGCCATGCCCCTATGAGATCCGTCAGTACTCGGTACAACACGCAATAGGTTGAACGTCTTGAGGATATGGAAAGATTGTAGCAGCAGGAAAGAGTTGGGATGGACCGAAAACGAAGAAAATAGAACTTACTTCCGCCCTTTCATTCTCGGCTCTTCATCCACATCCATTGCATCTGTCAAATCGATGCCACCTCGCATGATATTCCCGCTAGCTGTCAACGTCCCTCGCTTTTTCATGTCCTTGGACACATCTTTAAGAATAGCATTATATGCCCTATCGTGCTCCTCATTATCCACTGCAACTGCAGTGCTGTAAGAAGCAATCTGCGCAAGCTTATTGTCCAATGCTGAGAGGACTGAAGCGGTTGTCGAAGCCCTAGAACAGATCATAGTTAGTCGGGACAAAAGGAGCCGGGATAAAATTGGAATAACACACCATGCCTTGAGGGCCGCAAGCACCGCTTCTACTTTTCCAGGCTCGAGGTCTCGTCCCATCGTGTACTCAATCTCGAATTGCTGCTCCTTCTGGTCAAGCTTCCCGCGGAGGATGTCGAGATATATCGCATCGATTATGAGGTCCTCAAGGTCACGGATCGTGGGCATTTGCAGCTCTTGAAGGAGGAGAGAGTATGGGAGAATCTGTAATGATAGTGCTGTAGCGTTAGTGAACTAAGCGTTATGGTACGCCTGGACGTACGCGTCTGGTAGCGGCAAGCGATACGATAGACAGGTGCTTGAGCTTTATTATTTGAGCTTGGTTCAGTTGAGGCAGCGAGTCCTTATTTGCTGTATGACAGTCAGCACGAGTCATGATATGAGATGACGATCCACATACCAAGGTAATCCTTGTACGTCCGATACGAGAATACCTGCAGAAGGGAGAAGAAAGGGGCATGGTGCTCGTTGTTTGACAGCTGATTCGCGAAATTCAGATAAGGAGCAGCAACCAGAAATGCCATAGAATATGACATACCTCCTGAATATTAGGGAGCTCAAGGAGCTCGGCAAAGACAAACACGCCTTGGGCTGAAGTGGCATCCTGAATAAGTTTTGCTGCTGCTGCACCCTTGGCTGACTTTGATATGAGAAGGAATGGCTCGAGCTTTGCAGCAAAATTTGTTCCTAACTCCATCTCCACGTACAAGCTCAAGTGTTCCTTCATGAATTCACGATTTGGTCTCCCCGTGAGAAAAAGATGCCAAGGCTAGTATTGATACAATCGTTTCCTACACAGTAAACTAAAGGTGCTACAATATTCAAATAAAAAGAGCTAAAAGTACATGCAGACTCGATTTCTCCAGACTTGAATTATTTCTTGCTACGTTCAGTAGGAGAGGCCGACTGCGGGGGCGGTGCCTCGATGGTGATGGTTTTGGTCTCCTGCTCCGGAGGTGCTTTTGGGAAGGTGATCTCCAGGACACCCTTGTCCATATGCGCCTGAACTTGTTCAGACTTGGTTACAAGCATATTAGCGACGAGCTCGTTCATCATTACATATGATCGTACCTTAGTTCCCTCAGGGAGCTGCAGGTTTCGAGCAAAGCGTCCGAAAGAGCGCTCGCGAACCGCAAACCGACCCTCGTCAGTCTGGATTTTTTTCTCGCCTGAGATAGTCAGGCGGTCATTACGTACTTCAACGCTAACGTCGCGCTGATCCATGCCAGGGAGTTCGAACCTCGCCACGACCTTGTTATCCTTTGTCTCAACGAGATCCATCCTGTGTATTCAAAGATGTTAAAGCAGATTTTCGTTGCGGTACAGGCACTTGTCACGCACTTAGGACGGATTGCTGTAGGACGAGACTCGTCGGAGTCGGGCCGGAAGCGTGAAGTAAATGCTTCGTCAAAAAGACGATCAAATTCAGTGAATGGGTCGTACAGAAATTGTGTGAGGGCCATATTTAGCAAAGACCAAAGTTGGTGTGATGATGAGAGCGGCAACAGCGGTGGTTCTCTGAATCGAGGCCGTATTATATGTCGCCCCTGTCGACATATGGGCGTTCCTCCTGTAACTTGCTCCACTACCAGGGGCTACGCCTTGGACTCGTGAGGGTAACGTGACGTATAAGCCTTTTCGGGAATATCAAAGATCACGTAAACTTTGCTCGGGCCAGCCTGGAGTCTGGACGCCTAACATTAGGGACCCAGGTGCCCAGGCACTAGTCTGGGAGACCGGTGGCCCAGAGTCGATGTCAGTCCAGGTTTGCTTACAACAACCTACCGCGGGGGACACAGAAGGGGAACAACACGGTCACCGTTCATGGTCAGCCCTAGAGCAGTCTGGATCCAGGAAAGTTGAAGACCACAGTAAGTCAAGGCGGAGTTAACTGAATACTATCAGGCTTACAGTCTGCTCCAGATTTTGGCCCTAGCCAAAATCACTGACTTTCGAAAAAGCCTCATGATCTTGCGGGGGCGCGGTCGAGGACTCGAGATATGTATATCAAATTACACCCGCGTCATCATCCCGTCATCGTTGTCAACTCCAGTCTGGCCATAAGGTCCAATGCGCATGCCATACTGCCAATGCGTTTTTGTCATCTCCCTCACAACTCCCTCAAGTCACAAAGTTAGTCTTCACTTTCAAAACACAATCTGAAAGCATATAACTATAGCTGCAACCTGTCAGTGTACATGCAATTTCTATAATTAGTGTTTAGAATGCGTCCAAGCACCAACTCGACCGCAAAAATTATCGGAAATACGACGCCTGATTACATTGCCAAGAGCCAACACACCGTCATCGAGCTCCTCTGCGCTACCGCTAATCACCATGTTTCATCTCCGTTGGATCCAGACTGTAATAAGTGGCGACCTTCTACTACCACTGCTAGTATTGGGAAAGAATGGTACACAAATTCAAAGCATTGTTGCGCTCATTCTTATCACCCAGATTTGTAGTTTTCTGTCAAAAACAGCCTCCGATGCTCAGTATAAAATCCCAGCGTTCTCTGACCTTTCCTTCAATTCCTCATCTTATTGTCGAATCATCTCACTAGCGACCTACATCTTATACAATGTCTTTCCCCAACGACGGAGTGTATACCATCAGAAACGCTGGCAGAAACCTCATGCTCGACCTGACGGGCGACAGCACCAATGAAGGCAACCAGATTCAAGGCTACGCCAAAAATGGCACTGTAGCTCAACAGGTATCTATACGCGTTTGCACCCACCTTGTGATCGGTTCTCACACACCCACGTAGTGGGTGATCAAGAGGCAAAATGAGCCAGGGACCCCCAACAAAACTATCAGCATCCAGTCCAACAACAGCGGCAACAATGGAAATGGATGCTTTGCTACCGCGAAGGAGGTATGCCAGATCGGCATCCATTCTTTTACTCCTTGTTTGTTGACACAGGCATGGGCAGAACGCGGGAGAACCAGTCGTTTATACTAGGCAGGCGTTTGTCGTCGATCTTTCTGGACAGGCGGACAATACTTTTAAGTGAGAATACGACAGTGCTCGACAACCTATTTTTGTTAACCACTCGCATTTACAGCATTTGCTTCACTCGCGGGAACAGAAACTTGGTGTTATCCATTCCAAACCCAAAGAACAGTGCAGTAAGTCGGTGGATCTTTCTAGAGCCTTTCGCTTACAACGTTCACAAGGTGAGACTTGAAAATCACGCACAAGGAAATACTTGCCAGCAGTGGGAATTTAACCGGGTTTCTGATCTCCAACCAATCGCCTAGTTGTCGCCACTAGGTACCACCTTGCAAAGGTGTTCAAGGTTGAGCTATTGAAATTGTGCCCGCGTATGTATAATACGTATTGTCATGTCTGCTTCCGCTTTGTATGAGTAGTTGATGAATAGCATCGCTTTAGTCTGGCTCTGACTAAATCAGAAAAATGAGTGAATAGAGGATGACACATGCTCAAATCCCAGCGCTGGTGCCCCAAAGACCGAACACAGAGGCAGGGAAACGACAGTATGAAGCAGATGTGGTGCTACAGCTTCGTCAATCCATTCAGCGTCCCAATTTCGTTTTCGGAAGTACTCCAATTTGAGTCCAGAGTGGAGAACTGTAATAGAACACGTAAATAATGAAATCTAACAGCTGGGAGACGGCATCTGGTGTTCTGAATGATCCGAGGCACACAGAATTGAGTCTACGCTTGAGTAAGCAATGTGGCGTAACACTCCTTTGCCTCACCCACATCAGTAGTCGATGTTCCAGTCATTTATCAATACCTATTATTCTTTACACTATCTCTTTCTATCTTGCTTTACAACGTGCATCACAATGCCCCTCCTGGCAGAAGATCCGAGTCTGAACTTTGCAATCCTTCCAGACTTCGAATCAGAAGAATTTGAAGAAGCTCATGCCCAACTCATCAATGACACAATTGATGACCGTTTAGCAGCAGAGCTCTTAGCCAACCTCTGGCGCGTTCAGAATGATGCAGACAAACGTTGCTGGGCAACCAGACTAGAAGAAGATGCTTGAGCTGCAGAAGCTGAACACAGACAAGCGGATGAAGCAGAAGCTCAAAAAGAAAGAACTTGCCTAGATGAGCAAGAAGCTGCTGTAATGGAAGAGCACAAAAAGAATAAATCTAAGTATGCTCCAATCCGTGACATCAATGTTCTGTCTGACCCCATCATTATCCCTTGTCAATACACTGTTTGCAAGATGAAATCTAGCAAGTACTGCGAACTATTCTACTTCACTAATAGCGGATTGGAAGAGGCCTCCCACATGGCTTTCACGGCTGACAAAGATGCCCTTGTCATGCTCCCCATGGCTGATGGCCTCCACAAATGGATTCCAGCAGGAGCAGCCAGAGACCCCAAAGTCCAGATAGTAAAGGACAAGAACCTCACCTGGGAGCAGTTTAACGAGGCAGCCCACATATGATCACCCTGATGAAAGAAAATGACTGGCCAGAAGACAGGATGAACATGCACATCGCCTTCTGGTCGGCTCTACAAAACCATCAATGGCGTCATGATTTTGACGTCCACAAACAAAGAGCCCTCCTGCTTTACCAAGCTCAGCAAAGGAGGCGGTGGCACCTAGCAGTCGAGGCTATACTGTCATAAGTATTAATACAAGCCCTGGTAGTGTAACAAACCATGAATGCATACTTAGCAAGGATCCTCAGCCCCCACAAATGTATGCATACATGGGATCCTCAGCCTCATACATGCTTCTTTGTATCAATACAATAGCTCATACCTATTTCTGGCTTTCCTGGATGCTTCTATGTATCAATACAACCACTTGTATCTATTTCTGGCTTTCCTGGATGCTTCTTGGATGGGCTTCTTTGTATCAATACAGTTGCCCGTTCCTATTTCTGGCTTCCCCAGATGCTTCTATGTATCAATACAGTACCTCATACCTATTTCTGGCTTCCAGGGGATGCTTCCTTGTATCAATACATATCAATACACTCACTCATACCTAAGTATCACTAGCCTATTAGTATTTGTGGATTTTTGTATTAATACATTGACTGGTACCCTACCATTTGGTGCCTGGATGGCGAAGCAAAAATTTATTCTAAGTCTCACTATCACTGAATATGTTCAAAAACAAAGTAACATTTCATTATTTTATGACGGCACCAAGCAAAGTATTACAGCAAAATAAAAAGCAATATACCACAAGAACATGAGTGTATCATGAAGTGCCAACAAGTCGCAAAGCAAAAGTAATACAGCAAAAATCAAAGCAATTAAGCACAAAACATCAGTAAGATATCACAAGAACACGTGTACAATGAGTCTGTCTAAGTGGTTGACTTACGAGCCTTGCTATTGTGCCCTTTCTTTGAAACATGCACATCACTACCAATGCGGTTGGCTTAATCCAAACATGTTGATGGCACATGGGAATGCGTACTGCGATGCCAAGGCTGAATCACATTATCATCAAGCGGCTCCATGATGCCATCTATGTCTGTCTGGGCAGGAGTTCCCACAGTGACTGAAAGAGAAATGTGCATGGGAGATGCTGCATGGTCAGAAGGAGATACTGGTTGAGGAACAGCAGGTGCTGCATCCATGGAAGTAATGATGGGTGCAAGAGCATCTGCAGAAGGTGTGAGAGGTGTTGAATATGTGGAAGTAATAGTGGACATTAGAGGATTGTGTCCATGGACATAACAGCAGATGTCAGAGGCTCTGGGTCCATCAGAGTTGCAGGAAGGTGAGAAGCCCCAGGTGCCTCAATAGATACTGAAGGTGGCACAGATGCAGAGAGTGGTTGAAGTGCACAAGGTGGCTGAGGGTTGTCTGGACTCTTAGATTCAATTCTCCAAAAGCATGGAGGTGAGATGAGACCAAGGACTGCATCCCTATTCCAGGATGAAATGGGTGAATCCTGATCATTCACAGGTGCTGCAGAAAGAATCAGTAGACCCTGACTCACAGGTGAAGGAGGTAGGGAGGGAAACATTGGTAGATTGAATGAATCCAAATCCACCTGTGAAAAATCCATCGACTCAGGATCCAGAGACAGCAAGTGCTCCAATGACAGTAAGGGATCCAACAATGGCACAGATGGGGTGTGGTGGATTTCATCTAGAAGCTTGACATTATGTCTTGGGCCTTGAAGAGTAGAAGTAGAACTATGTGGAGTGGCTAGTGCGGTGATTTTGAGGCCAATGCCAGCCGAAGTTGATGATTCTCTTGTAGGTGGAATTACAGTTGAGTTTGTTGAAGGATGGGAGGCATTAACAGCTGTGATATCAGGGCCGATGCTGGCTGAACTCTCATCAACCAATGATTCTCCCACAGGCAGAGTCATGCTTGAGTCTGTCAAATGATAGGAGGCATTAACAGTTGTAGCACTATCAGTATCAATGTCTGAGGCAGAAGAATATTTACTTACTGAATGCGCCTTTCAAAAAGGCAGTGAATGACTCAACAATGCAACTGTGATGATTGGGTAGTGTCTTGTGAAAATTGAAACCAGAAAAGCCCTTTCCATGATGGAAACTGTACCATATTAGATTAGAACAAAGCCCAGAAAGTATCCATGTGCACATACCTGAAGACACGAATCTCCCCATTCACACGAGGATCAGGTCCCCTAAGGTAGACACTTCTGTGCCATCCAGTCATCTCATGAATAGCATCTAATCTGAGTCACAATCTCGGCCTTGACTTCAGAATTGGCCTTGTACTCTGTCTGGATGAAGTGTTTGACTGCTGATGGACCTCGAGTGTGATTCATAGTCGTACCCATCATTTTGGTGATGGTCTTGGTAAACTGGGTGACACGTGCCCTTCCTGAAGCTGTGGATGCACAGTACAAATAAGAACATATTTGCTATTACAATTATGATTAGTTGAACTGAACTGAAATGAAAATGAAACATGACATATACAGAATGCCATTGTTTGGTGTACACACCCAGCTGCTTCATCTGCTTGTTCGTCAATTGACTTTCTGTGAGTGTAATACCAGCATCATCTTTGAAATGTGCTGCTATTTTTGGCCATTTTTCAAACCACTCTCAGTATGTATTAGTACAATATGCAGCCACTTCCCCTTGCAGCTGACTGAGGCAAAAGCCATCCACCTTACTTTTTAGGAAATCAGACTGCTCGTGAGTCATCCATGACATTCCAGGCATCTATCAACCAGCAGCAGGCTAAATAAATGTCATAATCTGGATGTGGTGACACATACCTTGTGTTTTTCTGATCAGACTCAGTGTTAGTATGCTTGGAGCGGTGTACGGATACTCCATTCAGCAACAAAATCTGAAAATTTTCTTCAGATTGACCAATGAGAGTGTGAGAGAGCTGGAGTTTGCCGAAAGCTTATAATAGCCAGGCTAGACTCGCATTTTTTTTACCCACCCAACTTGTTTTTCCACTCCGCATTGTTGCCCTAATTGTCACTGCCACCTTTTTGATCAAAATGAAAGTTTTTCCCACCTTAGCAAAGAACGAAACTTTCAGTTTGTCCGAGCTCGCTAGTGCTTTGGAGCTGATATGCAGCCAACATGGTAAGTTGTGTCACTTTTACATGTTACTATTAGAAGAACTGAGAGTTCAAAGTCAATGCACATGATATTATTGCGTAAATAAGTAAAGTACTATACCTGAGAGTTCAAAGTCAATGCACGAAGCATGTAAGACTTGTGAACTCTGCACTATGGGCGAGTCTATGTAAACAAATATAAACAATTCCTAGTATGGTATGTGTCCCCGAAGTGTCTTAGAGGTCTGTCCTCAAAGTGTCCTCAAAGTCCTCAAAGTTATCTACTAATATAGTAATGTCCTTGAAGTGTCCTTCAAGTCTTCGAAGTCTTAGAAGTCTTTGACCTATCTAGTGTGAAGTCACCACACAACTAATAGACTGTTGCACTATTAGCTGCTTCAGAGATATCAAGTAATAATAATATTCAATAGCCCTGGGTCTGTTTAGATGACTGTATATACATAATACATAGAGCATCCAAGTCAGTTGAGTGTAGGACAATAATTGTCCTGAAGTTGTGGCTGTGTCTACATGTAAGTCAACAACTCAGACTGTAACAAGTACACACTTGCCCCATTCCTTACACAAATCACGCACACAATCATATATCCTTTCTTAATACTCATGAGATGCCATTGCAAATCATCACCAAACCAACAAGAAGCACGCCAGCAGACAAAGTATGTACATTACTTGCGGTGAGTGGTTGTATATTTTACATAGTCTATTGGACAGGAACATGTTCATCAGGCATATTAGTCATGAACACATTAAAGCACAATGCAGATGGAGGCAGAGACAGGGAGCCCAAGATGTATGTTAACTAGTTCTACTGATGTATAATACTGAGGTCATTGCAGGTCACACTGAACACTTTTGAAACCTTAGATGAGATACTGAGCAGGACATATACTGGTAGTAGCCACCATCACAATGGTTGTCAAGCTTGTGTTTGTGCCATTCTGCAGAATATAGACATGTGAGGGTGGAGCATTGTGAGATCAGAGTTTCTGGAGCAAGTATCAGAGGCTACTGCTTTGCTCAATGACACTGAAGCTCTGTCAACATCTGTTGCAAATTTAGAGGGTCCGTGCACCACATATCTTAAAACTGAATGTTCATGTCTTCTTCATACAGCATATTTCTGGCTTGCGGCTGAGGAGCAAATCCTATCTCTGATGGACTAAGATCCAGAAGCACTGGACCACACCCTGTTCAGTGATGGGCTAGTATGGCAGCATGTTTAATTATACTGTGCTTTGATTATATCACATGATTGAATACACCGTGCTTTGATGATATCATGTGATTGAATGTATGTTGTTGAATTTTGATCAAGGTAACCAACTGTTAATATTGCAATAATGGTCTTGAAAGCTAAGTTTAAAGGTTATCGTTGAAAACTCAACAAGTATGACCACCAGTTCATTGCAGAAAACAGTGCTTGATCTGCTCTGAGGCGAAGCACCGACATAATGATGACACTCAAGATGGTGCTCCAGTAGGAAGCGTGTTTCATGCACATACGTCTATAGATGTCACACAAAGGGTCCGACATTCAGTCAAGACTTCATATTTTTGGACGCCACAAGTGATATCATTGCCACATGTTGTTTCACCTGCGCCAACCCCATCAGGACTTACGGAGGCTTTAAATTTTGACATGGTTGATGAAGCTTATGTAGAATTCCTTGCGGATATGACCACAGACATGAAGGCTATTAAAACCAAAAGGAAACACACAGCAGGGGTAAGTCATCTTTTCTCTCTCTGTATGTTGCTCACCATGTTCAAGGACGAACCTATGAAGCTATGGATCCCAGAGCGAGAAACATTGCTTAGAGAGTTCATCCAACTCAAAGGATGTGAAGACACTGTGTTATATCAAATATGCCAAGTTTTACCTGGATGTCCAAATGAAGCTGTCATCCATTGTAGGGACTGTGAAGGGCTTCAGCTGTACTGTCAAGGATGCACAGTTGTGCAACACACTGTGACACCATTGCATGTTATGGAGGTAAGTTTTTTATATTTGTCTTTTTGGTCTGCATTGTTCACTCTGCTCAGATATGGATGGGCACCCATTTCCAATGTATCTCACTCCGTGACCTTGGCCTACGTGTTCAACTTGGCCATCCTCCTGGAGTCATGTGTTGTAATCCAGCCTCTGCATTCAATAATGATTTCCCTGTACTCGAGATCAACGGCATACACAGTGTCACCCTGGATTTCTGTAACTGCACTACAGCACAAACTCATGATATTCAACTGTTGCCCACTCGCTGGTACCCAGCAACTGTTAGTTGTGTGGTGACTTCACACTAGATAGTTCGAAGACTTCTAAGACTTGAAGGACACTTCAAGGACATTACTATATTAGTAGATAACTTCGAGGACTTTGAGGACACTTTGAGGACATATATCATACTTGGAATTGTTTATATTTGTTTACATAGACTTGCCCATAGTGCAGAGTTCACAGTCTTACATGCTTCGTGCATTGACTTTGAACTCTTAGTTCTTCCAACAGCAACCACTACTCATCCACGGACGGCTGCTACTTTCCACCTTCTAGATCATTTCCAGATGTATACCTTTGAATCCAAAGGATCTGTATTCAAATACTATCAATCGCTGTCATGTCTGACCGACAATACAGAAATATGTCAACCGAAGGTACTGAGCTAATTTTATGATGTAGTTGGGATACTGACAGATATTTAGGACCATTATGGGTCTTTCTTAAGGATGAGTTGCCAACATTGTCACCTCACCTCTCTTCTACAAGCTGGATGTGGTCATGATCCAAGTGGTATTCTCAGCACGAAGGAAGGGGAGCTTGCAATACTTTGTCCAGCTTGTCCTCAGCTGGGCAGAAATTTGCCACAAGATTGGGAAAATGCTCCACCAAATGTAAAGTATGTTTCATGTTCTTATTTATGTACTCAACATTCATACTTACATTTTGCCAGGTGGATGTATGTATTATTTTTGGCTATTGATGCAAACTTTTGGTTATGCTGTTGCAACAAGTCTTCCAACCAAGTGAATCCAGGTCTAAGTAATGGCTGGTCATATTTTATGGAACAAACTGGATTCAAGGAGGTACTGGATGCTTGCAGTGGGCAGCTACAAAAGATGAGCATTTGTCAATTGGTAATGTGTGACTGGCTGATTTTGTATCATTTAGAAAAATTCCTGTGCAGGCCATAATGCTGTCAATCTTGCTGACACTAAAAAGGGCATGGGATGGCAGCCACAGGTGTTGGCGCCATAGTTTGTGCATGGCATAACCTGACTCGTCCATTGGCAGTCAGTGATCTACAGAAAGATGAAAAGTAAGTTCATTTCCTATTCCGTCTCAGTGCGAATCCTAATAGATGTTTGGTTAGATATGTCAATATGGATTATCTTTTCTTCTCAACTTTACGGTATGCGAGTGATGTTCATGTGCTTAACATCTCTTATGATATCGTGTGCCAATGGTCCAAACACCTTTGGACACAGATGTCATGGTACCCATCCAGGATCCATTTGCAGCCCAACAACAAAGTCTTCACATTTGTAGTTCTGAAATTCCATCTGCTGTCACACATCCTTTCTTGCCAAACCACATATTCCCTCAACCTCATCAAGGGTATGGCAAGGACTGATTGCAAGGCCATCAAATGAGGTTGGTCTAACATCAATCTAATTGCTACAAGTACATGAGAAATGGGCCCAGGACCGTGACACGACATCCTGGACAATCATTTCAGTGATTGGAATTGGCACAAAGTTTGTAATTTGGGTATGTACTGCATCTCTTTTTGTCTCTCTCACACTCACTTGTCACCGTTAGATCCTTTACTTTTACGGAAACTCAAAGAGGTGATTCCTGAGCATGACCAGCATATCTTTGACCTCTGAGACTTCAAAGAAGCAATTCCACCAGCCAGTCTTGCAGCCTGGCAGGACATGATCACAGAATGGGAACAGGACCGATCAAAACCAAATCCTTTCAAATTGGAGGGATCAGGTATGTATTTCAAGTTCATGTGGTGTATTGTAGTCTGACACTCTTGTTGCAGTCACTACACAAGCTTCCATCAGGCTTGAACTCTCACAACTCGAAGGGCAACAGCTCAGCCATGGTGTCGACACCTCCCTGTATCCAGATATATCTCCAAGTTTGTTAGTAGCTGTCAGAATTGATCTTGAATCTCTGCAGTAAGTGCTTCATGGTGCTGGCTGCTGACTGTTCATTGATCTTTTATTTCTTAGACAGCACCTAGCTATAGATAGTACCAATACTGGTGCTCACATGATGGATAATTAGCTTTCTCTACTACAACAACAAACAAACAGCCTGTACCACCATATCAAACAATGGGTACAGATACAAATGCTGTACATGCCATGTGTTGCCTACCTGCAAAGTGACACTCCTGATATGCCCAACCTGCCTGAAGAGCCAGTCCACTGTATAAGGTTATGGATGCCTTCCACAGTGGCGAATCTGGATATGACTTGTGACATTAACCTCTATGACATTGAGTGGAAACTGTGTTGTGCCCAGGCACATGATGCTCTCCAAGAACTCTGTAAACATCTATGACTCAAACAGCATCTCACTAGCTTCAAGAGGGTTTGGATTAGAGGACAATGTGTACATACAAGATCACGGGCAGTTATCGATACCGTACAGCTCAAGATAGATGTCACTGCTACGAAGTATTGCACAGCTTGGGCTGCCTTAGATTCCCTCAGATTAAACTCTCAAAGCTTATCTGATAGGTCAAATTCCTGAAACTCAATGATGACAATATTTGAGGGATGATAGAGGCACAGGCAGGGGGAGAAGGTGAAACAGAGGGTCGAAGATTAGTTTCAGTTTCCTGGATTTGGAAGCAACACCACAGCATGGGTGACAAAGAGCTTTTTACAGCCATGTGTGTGGAATGGTGCAAAGCACACACATGTGCTAACAGGTGGGCTGAAGAAGTTGATCTTGTGCAGGAGGAGATGCAGTGTGTACTTGCCTATTTTGATTGGCAAGGAAGGTGGTGGGATGAATGTGCCATTGCCAGAATTGATTTTGCAGTGCAAGAGAATGAAGCTCACATTGCTTATGCTTCATGGCAAGCTAACATCCGATGTTCGATGTGGACCCACTATCTTTCTTTGTGGAGTGTGGTTCCTGGCCTCCTTGCTCAGTCAGCTACATCCTATGCTTGTCATATCCCATATACCCACGCTTCTGATCCAGACCTTGGACCCTAGATCTGATCTGATCTGATATACAGATCCGCTTCCGATCCAAGATACAATAAGCTTCCTATTCATTTCCTGTTCATATAATGTTAATCACAGCCTATTCCTTTATTTGGTATTCCTTGTTCCCGGTATCTCAGTTATCCTTACTTCTGGCTATGTTTTATGATCCGTTAACCTGTGCTAATTTCCGACTTGCGTTTAACTTGTGATAAACTTCGCTTATACTTTGTGCATAGCCTTGGATAGTCTCCTAGTATATAAACCCTTGTATATGCCCTGTAATACCTCAGTTCAAATATCATCTTAGTTTGTTCTCTTTCTGTCCTCCGGACTCGAGCCTAGTTAAGCTCTTGTAGCATTCTGTCATATCCCATATTCCGGACCTACGTCCAACAATGTTCCCACGCTTCATCTGGACCTCGGACACTAGATCCGGTCCAGTCCAGTCCAATCCGATATACGATAAGCTTCTTAAATTCAATTCCTGTTCATCTAATGTTAACACAGCCTATTCCTTTATTTGGTATTCCTTGTTCCTGGTCTCTCGGTTATACTTACTTCTGGCTATGCGTTATGATCCATTGACCTGTGCTAATTTCTGACTCGCGTTTTGACTTGTGATAAACTTTGCTTATGCTTCGTACATAGCCTTCGGACCTTGCTTATTGATCTTTCCGATAGTCACTTAGTATATAAACTCTTGTATATGTCCTGTAGTTCCTCAGTCTGAATATCATATTAGTCCTCGCACTAGTCTTCACAACTAAGTCCTTATACTAGTTCCTTCCTTGTGAAATCTTCCTTAGACCTAGGGAGGAATTCCCTAGGCTGGAGCTCCGCTCCTCTGCTCCTCTGATCCTCTGATCCTACATTCCTCCAAGTTTCTGGAAGTTCGTCCGGATCTTTCCCATGGTCCTCCAGAACTATTCTGCTTTGGACATTGTCCTTGCAGCCCCACCTCTGTTTGCTTCTACTCAGGACTTGTCCTGAGTAGCCACTACACATATTCATATTAGGACGAAACCTCATTGTAATTTCCAGAAGTTCCTCCAGAACTTTCCCGCACTCATCCAGAAGTTACTTGCACTCGTCCAGAAAGCCCTTCTGAAGTTTTCCGCACCTTCGGACTTCCTAGGATCTTCTCTGGACATCAATCTGAAATTAAGGGCACATACTCAGGTAAGGGGCACAGCGCACGAGCTGAAGCCAAGCCCCTCAGAATCAGTCCTACCCTTTGTGCATGGTCTTAACACATTCCGAGACTTAAGGATTGTATCCTATAAGTCTACATCTCCGACTCTATCTTCAGATAGTCTATACTCTGTTGTTTTCTAGTCCGGACCTGTCCGGATTAGTCTTACACATGCTTCCGTTATCTGGACGACCTTCGGATATCATTACGGTACTCGTCCGATCCTCTAGACGTGTTATATCTCCCTCTCTAAAATAAGGGGCAATACTTGGGAAAGGGGCACAGCATATGAGCTGAGGCCAAAGCCCTATCGGATCTGTTAATATGAGAGTACGACCTTAACAATGCTGCATAATATGTTTTTCAGTGCTTTTATGTTTTTTTCCATATGTTTCTTGTATCTGGCAGCTAAATCTTAAATTACTATTATTGCATTCACTTGTTTGTCTCACTGGCAGTGGTCATGACTTGTATAGGCTGAGAGAACATGTTGATTTGTGCCTTTTGGCTGGTATGAAACAAATTTGTGTGATTTCCATTATTTCCTTATATGGATATGAAAAAAAACATGATATTCAGATACAAGATCTATTAGAGTGTGGAAGCCTAGAATAATACTTATGACAGTGCCTCAGACAGAAGATGAGAAGGTGATCTACCAGAGATCTAACACATCTGATGATCATTGATCTTAGTCAGCACACATTGTGGAGCACCCTGGGGATGAATGCCAAGGAGAGTATGAATACAGGACATCAGGGGGAGGTACTGCAGGGGGAGTATTGATACAAGAAGCCACTGGCCAGCAATGAGAAGTATGCATTCGTGGGTTGTTACTATGGCCATTAAGTATTATTAGTTGTGTGGTGACTTCACACTAGATAGGTCGAAGACTTCTAAGACTTCGAAGACTTGAAGGACACTTCAAGGACATTACTGTATTAGTAGATAACTTCGAGGACTTTGAGGACACTTTGAGGACAAACCTCTAAGACACTTCGAGGACACATACCATACTAGGAATTGTTTATATTTGTTTACATAGACTCGCCCATAGTGCAGAGTGTTAGAAGAACTGAGAGTTCAAAGTCAATGCACTTGATATTATTGTGTAAATAAGTAAAGTACTATACCTGAGAGTTCAAAGTCAATGCACGAAGCATGTAAGACTTGTGAACTCTGCACTATGGGCGAGTCTATGTAAACAAATATAAACAATTCCTAGTATGGTATGTGTCCTCGAAGTGTCCTCGAAGTCCTCGAAGTCCTCGAAGTTATCTACTAATATAGTAATGTCCTTGAAGTGTCCTTCAAGTCTTCGAAGTCTTAGAAGTCTTCGACCTATCTAGTGTGAAGTCACCACACAACTAACACTCCCCCCTGACTGAACACATCTCTAATCTCTAACAACTCCCCCCTCATCTGTGTAGTCCCATCATTATGCAAAATAGTTCCACCTTGGGTCGACTCAAAGACTTTGTCAAGATGTCGGCTGGCTGATCAGCTGTGGGCACAAAGATAGGCGCAATTATCTCTTTGTGAACAACGTCTCTGAGCCAATACCAACTAAGATCCAGTTGCTTCATCCTCCTGTGGTGTTCTGGGTGTTTGGCAACAGATATGGCGCTCTGGTTGTCTATTCTAAGTATGGATGGTGCAGTGGTGGAGAATCCCATCTCCTGCAGCAAGTTTCGCATCCATCGGATCTCCTTGCCTGCTGACACTGCAGAGATGTACTCTGCTTCAGTAGTAGATAGCGCAACAATGCTTTGTAGCTTAGAAGACCACGAGACGACTCCAGAGCCAATCTTCACCAAGTATCCACCAGTGGAGCGCCCTGTGTCCTTGCATCCACCATGATCAGCATCGGAATAGGTTGAGAACAGTTTGGTGCTTGATGGATCAGGCGCATAAGTGATCTTGTAGTCGGCAGTACCTCTGAGATAGCGAAGCAGGTGCTTGACAGCTTGCCAGTGAGCTAATCCTGGATTCGAGTTGAATCTGGCAAGATAACCAACAGCGTGGGCAATGTCTGGTCGAGTTGTTGTTGCCAGGTACATCAGGGCGCCTACTGCAGCCAGGTATGGGACGGTCTTCATGAGCTGGACCTCTTCAGGCGTCTGGGGACTCTGGGAGCGACTGAGTCGAAGGTTGGGCTGCATGGGAGTGGATATGGGCTTGCAATCAGCCATGCCAAAACGCTCGAGGATGTCTAGACAGTACTGCTGTTGAGATATGGTGATGGAGTGTTTAGACCAGTCTCTGTCTATCTTGATGCCCAGAAACTGAGTGGTGGGACCGAGATCGCGAAGCTTGAAGTGCTGGGAGAGCTCCTTGATGGTGCGGTCGATGGCAGCAGCAGATTTCGAAGCAAAGGTCATGTCATCTACGAAGACTGGCAGAATGATCCTTACATTGTCCTTTAGATAGATGTAGATGGACGCGTCCGAGTAGGACTGAGTGTAGCCCAAAGACTCGAGCACAGAGCGCATTTTCTGGTTCCATCTGTTGCCTCCTTGCTTGGTGCCATATATGCTCTTCTTCAACAAGCAAACCATCTCTTTGGCATCTCCTTCAACAAATCCCTCAGGCTGCTCCATGTAGACGTCGCAGTCCATCTCCCCATTGAGGTAGGCATGAGATATGTCTATAGAGCGCAGGTGGAGGTCGTGAATGGCGGCCATGGCTAGGACGACTCTTATGCTGGACATTCTGACTGTGGGCGCAAATATTTCGAGGTAGTCGAAGCCAGGTCTTTGATTGTAGCCTTTGGCCACCAATCTGCCTTTGTAGCGCTCCACAGATCCGTCTGCATTGCGCTTCACCTTGAACACCCACTTGCAGCCTATGACCTTCTTTCCAGCAGGTCTGGGGACGAGCTGCCAAGTGCCATTGATGCTGTGGGCGTTCAGCTCCTCCATGGCAGCTTGTTTCCACTGCTCCGCATCAGGGCGCTTCAGAGCTTCGGAGTAGGACAGGGGTTCAGCTGGTGAAGCTGCAGAGAGAACAATCTCATGGCCAAGATCCGCGTCCTCAATGTCATCATCCACATCAGAGTGTAGTTGGGCTGGAGATAGCTTCCACCACTCTCTAGGCTTGGTTCTATTGCGCCTGGGCAGTCTGGCTCCAATGCCAATGGGCGAGGGCGGTCTAGGAGGTGGAGATGGTGGTGGGGATGGAGTTGGAGGTGAGGCTCGGACTTTAGGAGGATCTGGATCAATATTAGGGACTACAGGGGCAGCAGGAGGCGCATCTGGAGGACCATTGCTCCCCCCATGATCCTGATACTCATCAGAGCTGGATTCATTATCAGCATCTGAATCGTCAGGTATTGGGAATGTCCTTCGTGTCTGTGGAATAGGTGGGACAGTAGGGCGAGTTGCTGCAAGTGTAGGTGCAGTAGGGACTGGTATGGAAGGCTCAGTAGGTCGCTTCGAGAGGGGGAAATATCTTTCATCAAAATCAGCTCGTTCTGATATTACTGTCTTCTTAGTAGTGGTATTGTAGAACTTCCAGCCCTTGTAGCCCTGAGGATACCCAATGAACACGCATTTCTCCATGTGAGATCCAAGTCCTTCTCTCTTGTCCTTCTGCACGTGCACATAGGCAGTGCAACCCCAGACTCGAAGATGGGAGACATCTGGCTTCCTTCCATGCCACAGTTCGTAGGGAGTGGCGCTTTTCACTGCGCTTGTGGGGCATCTGTTCCACACGTGCACTAGGGCACCTAGAGCCTCGCCCCAGAATGCTTTAGGTAGGCCAGTTTCATCCAGCATGGTGGTGATGCGCTCAGAGAGCAGCCTGTTGGCTCGCTCTGCAACACCATTCTGCTGAGGACGTGCTCGGACTGTGTGCTGGCGCTCTATGCCGCAGGAGTTGGTGAACTGCAAGAAAGCATTGCTCATGTACTCCCCTCCCTTGTCGTCCCTCAGGATCTTGATTTTTCGCTCTGACTGGTTCTCAGCATAAGCCTTGAATGTCTTGAAGGCCTCAAAGACATCAGACTTTGCTTTGATGGGCAAGACGAATCTGAATCTGGAGTAGTCGTCTATGAAGGACACCCAATAGCGAAATCCTGAGAAGCTGGGGTGAGGGACTTGGTGCACGTCGGTGTGGACGAGCTCGAGAGGCCTGGAAGCGCGCCATTCAGAAGTAGGGAAGGGGTTTGCGTGCATCTTGCCAGCTAGGCATGGTTCGCAGATAGGATCTGGTGCAGATTTCGACTCTATGGTCATCCCAGTGACGAGCTTCTCCCTTATAAGCGTCTTAATACCTTCTAGGTGATGGTGAGCGAGCCTCCTGTGCCAGAGGTCGAAGTCTAGGGGCAGAGTCGCAGCTGCAGACGCATATTCAGTTAATTGCAACAGTAGAACCATCCAGGAATGCAGCATTCGAGTTGCTGATGCTGGCTACAAACAGTGGGGTACCAGTGGGGCGTTCGAAGGACATCTTAGATGCATTAATGAGCACAGTGAACCCCATGTTGCGAGTTAGATATAGGACAGATAGTAGATTATTTCGCAAATCTGGTACATGAAGGACTCTAGTGAATTCTACAGCTTCGACACGCCTCCCATTAATGACTGGACTGAATACCACTGTGCCCTCGCCAGCTGAATAGACTATGTTGTTGTCTGCGAGCTTGATAGGGACGCGTTTGGGCGCATAATTGCGCAGCCAGTGACGATGGGGGGTCATGTGAGAGGTAGCACCTGTGTCTGCATTCCAGTCAGCATGTGCATCGAGTTGCAAGGGGCAAAGCGGATGAGATGGGTCAAAAGTGCGAAGACTTGCATTACCAGCAAATTCCGTGACCTGTTGGGCGCTCTGGGAGGTGTTCTGGGCAGTGGTTCGAGTTGGAGGCAGGGTGCAGCAGTGTTGGGAGAGGGTGTAGACGCTGCAGACGATGATTGGGACGCCTCAGAAGCCTTGTTAGTGCTCCTTCCACCTTTTCGACCATTGTTTTTGGTCTTGCGACGATCCTTATCACCTTTAAGACTCCTGCACTTGTGGGTGCAGTGACCAGGCTTCTCGCAGTACCAGCAGGTGACAGAGGTGCCGCATCTACAGTCTCCAGACGCAGTAAACAGCGCTGCATCGGTCCCAGAGCCTTCAGGACGTCTCCTCCTTTGGGTTTCCTCAGCCAGGAATGCTGCCTTCAGTTCCTCCTTGTCCAAGGACTTGAGTAGCATCAAAGACGACGCAAAATTGGAGTACTCCTCGCCCAGGGAACGAACCATGGTCATGCAGACCAGCTCTTGATCGAGTTTCTTGATGGTGTAAGGCTTGGATGGGTCTGAGGGTCGAAGCTCCTGGACTTTGGACATGCCATCTTCGATCCTGGCAATGAGGGTGCTCAAGGACTCGTCAGGCTGCTTCCTAATAGAGAAGAAGTCGTCCCAGGCATTGAAGGCGCACACCAGGACGCTTCTGGAGGTGCGTGGAAGCCAGGGTGGTCCAAATCTTGACAGGGTCGTCCTGGACAGCGTCGATATGGGTCCTTTGCTCTACAGAGCACGCCAGATACAGCTCCCCAGCTGCCTTGTCTGCCTTGGTGTCCCACTTTGCTGCAGCTTCTGTCTCTGTAGGTCGAGTCTCGATGCCAGTTGACAAGCAACCAGAGACCCTTGACTCGAAGATAGGCCTTCATCTCACCCTTCCAGGTAGCATAGTTGGTAGAAGTGAGTTTGGTGACAGTGCGAATAGATTTGGAGTCTTCTGAGGACATGGCGAAGGAGACAGGCGCAGTTTTGCAGCAGTGGGACGAATTAAGGGCAAGGGCTTGGTAGAATTTGAAGGAAAGGCTGTCTTTGCTGATTTTCAACAAAGAGAGCAAGGGATAATGGGTGGGGAGAGCACCAGTGGCTGGATGCGAGAGGAGGGAAAATGCGCACTAAGTTGGCCCAAAGACAGTGAACTCCAGCGACAGATTTGACTGCTAAAGCGCAGGGCTCATAACCTGTTAGAAGAACTGAGAGTTCAAAGTCAATGCACATTGATATTATTGTGTAAATAAGTAAAGTACTGTACCTGAGAGTTCAAAGTCAATGCACGAAGCATGTAAGACTTGTGAACTCTGCACTATGAGCGAGTCTATGTAAACAAATATAAACAATTCCTAGTATGGTATGTGTCCCCGAAGTGTCTTAGAGGTCTGTCCTCAAAGTGTCCTCGAAGTCCTCGAAGTCCTCGAAGTTATCTACTAATATAGTAATGTCCTTGAAGTGTCCTCAAAGTCCTCAAAGTCTTAGAAGTCTTCGACCTATCTAGTGTGAAGTCACCACACAACTAACAGGCTAGACCCGGCATATCAGGTTGGGCCAGAAGTGACTGATCTGCAAGAATTTTGTGTCAACATGCATTGCTAGATGATTTAAATAATACTCACCGTGCATCCCAGCCATCAGGTCATCCTCAGGCCCAAGGTATAGGTCCGGGTAAACCGGGAGGCCTAGTTGATCACGTTGAGCCGGAGGTGAATGATCTGTGAGATTTGAGTGACCATGGATGATTAGATTGTCATCATATCAATTGATAAACTCACCGGAAATTTGAGAAAAGACCTCCGGACCATTGGATGACACAGAACATGATTCTGGGTCATCAGCTGGCCCAAGATTTAATTGATCTGAGGATGTCCGGTAAATTGATAAGGTATGATGGATGTTGAACATACCTGTTGACATCCGGGACACGGTTGATTCATCCACATCCATTGAGTTATATTCAGTGACCGGAGGGTCATTGAATCTAACTGTAGCAGGGGAGTTCATGTTCTGTGATGAACTGATCAACTGATTCACTGATTATTGATAACTTAGAAGTTGAACACAAGGCGCCGGCAATTGCCGAAAGTTGAACCACGACCAAACAAGGACAAACAATCAACGAAATTTTACATTCCTAATCACTGATCTTGTTTTTACTGAAACATCATCCTTGTGATAACAACCTGAATACAACTTGATTTCTACCTGATCTCAACACTTTCAACACACCATGTCTACTCCAGTTGACACCTCTTTACCAGCCTCAAGGAAATCACTACCAAGATCATGGCCATCATCACCGGCGCTCGGCAGCTTCCTCCGGGCCACAGCCACTTTTCTCTGACAACCCAGGTCAGTACACTCGTGGTATGTAGCATTGTCATATTTTCTCCACTTCATTTTTTTCATCATCCGGGTAGGCTGATGCGGTCCGGCAATATGGGAGGTCCCTACCTTCCAGGTCTTGTGTGTTTGTGCTCGAGGGAGTTAATTCGTGTTTGGGGCATGACTCCTCAGGTCTGGCCCAACTGGCCCAGCATCAGGTACGACAATACCCGTTTGTTGATGCACCCCTGGCGCAGCAAGGTTCTTGCCTGGGAGGAGTTAGGTGATCACACCTTCGATCTCCTGGTCGTGTCCAGTCCTTCAGTAGGTCCAATTCCTGTGGATCTTCCACCCTCGCCTGTCATTGCTGGGCCTTCTACCAACCCTGCCTCCAAGTCCCAGGAGAAGGGAAAAGTAAGGCAGTTGTCCTGGACCCAGAACCAGAAGTGGAAGGGAGTCGGAAGAGGAAGTCTCCAATGATTCCAGCACTTCCCTCCCAACCCCTGAAGTCCGCTATGAAGACTCGGAAGTGGGCAAAGATCACTGGCCTTGCCAAATTCAAGGTGTTTGTTGAGTCGGAAGATGAGGAGGACTCGGTCACTCAGGTATGTCCTCTGGTTCATCGTTTCATTGTCTTACTCATTTTGTAGCCGATTTCACATGGGGTTCCGGAGGTCGTCCTCCCCCGGCTCTCCCCAGATGTTGCAAGGACATCTGGATCACCTCAGTCACCCTGGAGCCCAAAGAAGAAACCCTTCAGGCCTGCTACAGTAAGTCGCACTTTTGCATCCAGCACTCGGGTGAGTCCTTACAATGTGCTAGGCAATTGCCGGCAAATGTCCGGAGGTCATTGAGCCCCCTCAGGCAACTCTTGAACCTCCGGTAGAGGCACCCCCAGTCATCGACACAGGTGATATACTCATTCCCGGACCCATAAGTACACCATTGAGACTTGGTGTGTCTATGAACTGACAGATCGCACAGAACAACCCTTGCCAGGCTTGCCACGAGATGGAATGGCCCTGCGCAACTTGGTTTGACAAGAGGACCGGCACCCCATGCATGACCTGCGTCTACTGCACCACCAAGAAGATCAAGTGCATCTCTGTGAGTATGGGAACCCCACCGAAACGCATTCGAGGTCAATCTGTCACCCGGACCACCAGGAGGACCAGATCCAGGACCCCTTCCAAAGCTCCCTCCAAAGCTCCGGCCGCCTCACAAATCACCGGCCGGATGCAGAGTCAATCTCAGGTCTCTTCCGTCACTCCCGGTCCATCTCGTGCCCAAACACCAAAGGCGCAAACATGTGGTCGCAGCAAGACTGTCACTGCTGCCAAGGAACCTACACCTGCACCAGCTCGTAAGTCACCTGAATTTTCCATGTCCATCTGACATAATGTTCCACCTGTAGCAGTCCCATCTTCGACTTCCGGAGTTCCTCGTTTGGCACTTGATGTGCCAATGCTGGATTTGCATGCCATGGCAATGGCGATTCTGGAGGGTGCAGCTCGAATCGCCGCTCTTGAGGAGCGTGTTGTTGAGCAGGATGCTAAGATTGACACCCTGCAATGCCTTCATGAAGGCCTTCGACATGAAATCATCCTCCGGCACCCGGCATTTCCACTTCTGGACACCCAAGGTGATGCAACATCATTTTTGCTTCATCAACCTGTCCCTCCGGCCATGTCAACCCCTGCATCCGCACTTCCTGCTCTCATTGACCTGTCTATAGAAGGGATGGAGCCCAACCCCCTCAACCTCCAGGATGAGTCTGCCATCAACGGACTCATATTTGAGCTCAACCAAATTCATCCTGAGGTTTCACAGACGCCCAGCGAAATTGTGAAACCGGATGATCTGGGCAATCTTTTCCCAGAGTATGATTCAGTTGAAGAGATGGATGTTCAAGTGAAGGGTGAACCTTCTGGTGAGGATGTTGACATGACTACATAATTAAATAGTCATAGATGTATATGCAATGTTTTAAATCAATGTTACCTTTTGTTAGTTGTGTGGTGACTTCACACTAGATAGGTCGAAGACTTCTAAGACTTCGAAAGACTTGAAGGACACTTCAAGGACATTACTATATTAGTAGATAACTTCGAGGACTTCAAGGACACTTTGAGGACAGACCTCTAAGACACTTCGAGGACACATACCATACTAGGAATTGTTTATATTTGTTTACATAGACTCGCCCATAGTGCAGAGTTCACAAGTCTTACATGCTTCGTGCATTGACTTTGAACTCTCAGGTATAGTACTTTACTTATTCACACAATAATATCAAGTGCATTGACTTTGAACTCTCAGTTCTTCTAACACCTTTGTTATCATTGACTTATTGATTCACCGAGTGCCGAGACCCGAGACCCGAGCGCCAAGTGCCGAGTGCCGAGGCCTGAAACCTGCAACTTGAAACGAGTGGAAGACTAAATGTTGCAAAATTGTTGACATGAAAGTGTAACTCCCAGAACACCGAAATCCAAAACTCAATGGTTGAATCACTGAGTACCAAGTACCAAGTACCAAGTACCGAAGCCCGAAGCCTGGGGCTCACAACAGACCACTGGACACAATACACCATATGGTATTTCTTACAAATTTGACGGAGGTCCCATCGCAAAACCACAAAACTTATCAGTGACTTATCAATTCACCGAGTGCCAAGATCCAAGACCCGAGTCCCGAGACCCGAATGCCGAGTGCCGAGGCTCAAAGTCCGAAACACGAAATGATTGGAAACGCACATTTCGCAAAATTGTTAACATGGAAATATTAGATTGTCTTCAACAGTTTGCCAGAAGTCATTTTCCGATTCCCAAGCCCAAAACCTGAAACCCAGAAAACCCGTAGAACTCATTACGGGTTTTCTGGGTTTCGGGTTTCGGGATCGGGGATCGGCAAAGGACTTCCAGCAAACTGTTGAAGACAATCTGATATTTCCATGTTAACAATTTTGCGAAATGTGCGTTTCCAATCATTTCGTGTTTCGGACTTCGAGCCTTGGCACTCGGCATTCGGGACTTGGGACTCGGGTCTTGGATCTTGGCACTCGGTGAATTGATAAGTCACTGATAAGTTTTGTGGTTTTGCGATGGGACCTCCGTCAAATTTGTAAGAAATACCATATGGTGTATTGTGTCCAGTGTTGTGTTTGGAGCCTCAGGTTTCAGGCATCAGCACTGGGCACTGGGCACTGGGCACCAGGCACTGGGCACTCGGTACTTGGTACTTGGTACTCAGTACTCAGTGATTCAACCATTGAGTTTTGGATTTCGGTGTTCTGGGAGTAACACTTTCATGTCAACAATTTTGCAACATTTAGTCTTCCACTCATTTCAAGTTGCAGGTTTCAGGCCTCGGCACTCGGCACTCGGCACTTGGGTCTCAGCACTCGGTGAATCAATAAGTCAATGATGAATTCCAGGGTTTTAGGATCGGCATGGGTGAATTTTGTAAGAAATTCCATATTGTGTATCGCTTCCAGCCTCGGGTTTCGCGGCTCGGGTTTCAGGCTTCGGCACTTGGCACTAGGTGATTCAATCAGTCAGTGGTAACACTTTCGGTTTTGCGGTTCGGATCATGGCACTCAGTGATATGTCTCAGGACATCGATATTTCACACATTCCTGTGAGTATCTAGTGTCCAGTCTGGAGCTTCCGGTCATCAGGCGTCCAGAATTCGAGACAGTGATTTCTCATTGAAAAATGGATGTTGTACCATGGGATTCAATGTTCAGGCGTTGGGACTCGGTGATCCATGCATGTCAGACAAGTGCTTTATATATCTATATAGTAAACCAATACCTTGGCCTATACGTCTACACAATATCTCCCTACCTCGGCCCACCAGTCTATATCATAAATAATTTCCTGCACTCTCGGCCCACCCGTCGATATAATAAATGTTTTACCGCTCGCTCAGCCCACCCATCTGTACAATTCACAATGACCTCGGCCCACCTGTCTATATAATAAATATTCCACCACTTTCTCGGCCCACCCATCTACAAAATTATTCCTGTACGTCGGCCCACCTGGCTATACAATGTACCTTTACATTGGCCCACCCATCTACAAAATGATTCCTATACATCGGCCCACCTGTCTATACAACGTACCTTTACATCGGCCCACCCATCTATACAATGTACCTTTACATCAGCCCACACATCTATATAATAATGATTGCCTCTCATCTCCCTTCAGCCTAGCTGTCTATAATATACATGTCCATCCTACTGTACATATTCCCCAGATGGGCCCACCTATCTCCATCAGTAAAAATATTCATCCCGGCCCATCCAACATCATCAAGCATATATATAACATTGGCATAGATGGGCCCACCCGTCTCCATTGGAAATAATATTCCCCCTGGCCCATCCGTCAACATCGGGGATATACATCACATTGGCCCATAGTCCACTGGCCCGTTGTCTTAATAACCAAGGGTCTTATATAAAGTCGTGTAAATGTAATGACACCACAATTACACTTTGGATAAGACTGCTTGCCAGTCCTCGATTAACACGGTCTACGACTTTTCCTATTTCGTGGTAGATAACGTGTGAGTTCTTGGGAGGCTCGCTAAACTAATCTTTTTATTAAGATCAACCTAGCCGGAGCTTTACTTTTCTTTGTTGAAACTCAAATCTCTTGTCTAGGAATAAGCTTCTAGACACGTAATTTGGTTTCTGGGACATATTTGCTGTTAGTTGTGTGGTGACTTCACACCAGATAGGTCGAAGACTTCTAAGACTTCGAAGACTTGAAGGACACTTCAAGGACATTACTATATTAGTAGATAACTTCGAGGACTTTGAGGACACTTCAAGGACATTACTATATTAGTAGAAGACCTCTAAGACACTTCGAGGACACATACCATACTAGGAATTGTTTATATTTGTTTACATAGACTCGCCCATAGTGCAGAGTTCACAAGTCTTACATGCTTCGTGCATTGACTTTGAACTCTCAGGTATAGTACTTTACTTATTTACACAATAATATCAAGTGCATTGACTTTGAACTCTCAGTTATTCTAACAGGTTATGAGCCCTGCGCTTTAGCAGTCAAATCTGTCGCTGGAGTTCACTGTCTTTGGGCCAACTTAGTGCGCATTTTCCCTCCTCTCGCATCCAGCCACTGGTGCTCTCCCGACCCATTATCCCTTGCTCTCTTTGTTGAAAATCAGCAAAGACAGCCTTTCCTTCGAATTCTACCAAGCCCTTGCCCTTAATTCGTCCCACTGCTGCAAAACTGCGCCATCTCCTTCGCCATGTCCTCAGAAGACTCGAAATCTATTCGCACTGTCACCAAACTCACTTCTACCAACTATGCTACCTGGAAGGGTGAGATGAAGGCCTATCTTCGAGTCAAGGGTCTCTGGTTGCTCGTCAATGGCATCGAGACTCGACCTACAGAGACAGAAGCTGCAGCAAAGTGGGACACCAAGGCAGACAAGGCAGCTGGGGAGCTGTATCTGGCGTGCTCTGTAGAGCAAAGGACCCATATCGACGCTGTCCAGGACGACCCTGTCAAGATTTGGACCACCCTGGCTTCCACGCACCTCCAGAAGCGTCCTGGCGCGCGCTTCAATGCCTGGGACGACTTCTTCTCTATTAGGAAGCAGCCTGACGAGTCCTTGAGCACCCTCATTGCCAGGATCGAAGATGGCATGTCCAAAGTCCAGGAGCTTCGACCTTCAGACCCATCCAAGCCTTACACCATCAAGGAACTCGATCAAGAGTTGGTCTGCATGACCATGGTTCGTTCCCTGGGCGAGGAGTACTCCAATTTTGCGTCGTCTTTGATGCTACTCAAGTCCTTGGACAAGGAGGAACTGAAGGCAGCATTCCTGGCTGAGGAAACCCAAAGGAGGAGACGTCCTGAAGGTTCTGGGACCGATGCAGCGCTGTTTACTGCGTCTGGAGACTGTAGATGTGGCACCTCTGTCACCTGCTGGTACTGCGAGAAGCCTGGTCACTGCACCCACAAGTGCAGGAGTCTTAAAGGTGATAAGGATCGTCGCAAGACCAAAAACGATGGTCGAAAAGGTGGAAGGAGCACTAACAAGGCTTCTGAGGCGTCCCAATCATCGTCTGCAGCGTCTACACCCTCTCCCAACACTGCTGCACCCACCTCCAACTCAACCACTGCCCAGAACACCTCCCAGAGCGCCCAACAGGTCACAGAATTTGCTGGTAATGCAAGTCTTCGCACTTTTGACCCATCTCATCCGCTTTGCCCCTTGCAACTCGATGCACATGCTGACTGGAATGCAGACACAGGTGCTACCTCTCACATGACCCCCCATCGTCACTGGCTGCGCAATTATGCGCCCAAACGCGTCCCTATCAAGCTCGCAGACAACAACATAGTCTATTCAGCTGGCGAGGGCACAGTGGCATTCAGTCCAGTCATTAATGGGAGGCGTGTCGAAGCTGTAGAATTCACTAGAGTCCTTCATGTACCAGATTTGCGAAATAATCTACTATCTGTCCTATATCTAACTCGCAACATGGGGTTCGCTGTGCTCATTAATGCATCTAAGATGTCCTTCGAACGCCCCACTGGTACCCCACTGTTTGTAGCCAGCATCAGCAACTCGAATGCTGCATTCCTGGATGGTTCTACTGTTGCAATAACTGAATATGCGTCTGCAGCTGCGACTCTGCCCCTAGACTTCGACCTCTGGCACAGGAGGCTCGCTCACCATCACCTAGAAGGTATTAAGGCGCTTATAAGGGAGAAGCTCGTCACTGGGATGACCATAGAGTCGAAATCTGCACCAGATCCTATCTGCGAACCATGCCTAGCTGGCAAGATGCACGCAAACCCCTTCCCTCCTTCTGAATGGCGCGCTTCCAGGCCTCTCGAGCTTGTCCACACCGACGTGCACCAAGTCCCTCACCCCAGCTTCTCAGGATTTCGCTATTGGGT